ACGCAAAACTAGGCACAAGAGAGAACGGTGAGCTGAAGGTAGGTAAATGCCGGAGCTGAAGGCCGACTTGTGTGAGTAAGTCAGAACTATAAGCATACGTTAGAACAGTCTCGAAATGGCCAGGACGACGTTATTAGTCACGAAAGGTCACGCACGTTAATTATTTCCCTTGACTATATTTAATACAATTTTTAGTTATCATATTAAAATGTACACTATCAAGCTGTGCAACAAACAAGTGGGTGATAGCGACAAAAAGGCCCAACTGGGAACCCAACATTAGGAGTTCTGTACGTTCCTTGCTATGATATGACAGTTTCGCAGTTTATAATTCATTGCGAAAATGATTTGGTGTTACCTGAGACTTATCTGATTCATCAAAACTAGTAATTTCCTATATAGCTGGCTGTGTAGCCAATCTAGGGAAAAGTCAAATTTTTGGCTGCAAAAACTTACTTATGAGGAATGTCAAGGTGCACTCGTATCAGAAAAAAGAAACAGTTTTTATAAATTTGTAAGTGCGTAGAAGAAGAATCGTATGCCGCTATATTTAGCAATTAAATCACTGCAGATCACTAATAACTACATTTATTGACACGCACGTACAAATTAGACGAGAGTACAGAAAAAGACATTCATTGCATTTAGAACTCTACCCGCGCGCCATTGATGAGAACAATAAGTACACATCATGCTGTGTTTGTCTTAAACTACGCTCCGATTGTGGTAGTCGGTTTGTTTATAACCGATGTATGACGTAGTGGTGGCTTGATCCTAAGGTCGGTTCTTACTACCAATTTACTCGCCACAAATATATTATAATGCAAGATAGAGGTGATCTTATTTACCCATCAAATGACGTAATAGACATTTGTATAAAAACGGAAACAATAATTTTAACCCTTCAAGCACCATAAAAATCTCATGCAGTCGTTTTATATTGATTATATAATGCCAAACTTCTTCATAGAAAAGTAGTCTCTATACATATGAGACCGCTAGGGATTTAACGGATTATGGTCGCGGTCTCATGAGACCGCTAGGGGGTTGAGAGGTTAAAAAACATATCTTCCAAAAATTATGGCAATATTATGACTTAGTTTTTAACCTTAAAGTTGTTCGTAGGAAAAGATATTTTTACATATCTTCGTTCATGAAGATTATGTTGTATATTCCATCAATCACCCCACAGGTACCATTTTGTTCATTATTGCGTCCTGTCATTCAAAAATATATTGCCATTATAGTCAACCAAATCCATAGAGATATAATACCTATGGAGGCGGCGTATTCTACTATAGAAATAATAGTTATACAAATATCTATAATATCGACACACACTTGTCAAAAATACTTTTGTTTCTTTTTAACAAAGCAGTAGCTTCATTAGAAAAGGGAGACAACAATAGATTGTCAATTGCTTATTTTGATAACACTTTCGTGTGACGTCATTAGCTCATCCATGCGTGACTGCGTCGCCATGTTAAGCGCTGTGTTTTGTGGTAGATCTGCTGTCAAACTGTTGAATGCTAAAAGTTTTTTTTGTTGTGTAGTGCAGTGCCTTCATCTTATTTTATAGTAGGTGTTTTTCTTCTTTTCATATTTTATTATGTCGAATAAGTGTCTTACAGTTTATTTCAAGTGTAATGGTAGGGATGTATTTTTTAATTATTACTTTATGTAAGATGCATAATTTTGTAATTTATTTAGCCAATAAAAAAACTGCTAAGAAGTTTTGTAATTATTAAAAATCACAGTATATGTATGTTTGTCGCTACTATTTGGGAAAAAAAAACTGGAGTGGTCTTCATACTGAAGCCTCTATTAGAGTCGTTATTTAAAATATTAAAAAAACCTTATCAATGACTGTATTAGAATATATTGCGGGATTTGTGGCAGAAAAGTTTCAGATACCATGCAAGAAGAAGCAGTGACAAACTGTCTTATAGAAATTATATTAAAAATAATTCAGAAATGAACAAATAATAATAATAATAGTTTATGTAAAAATCCATCATGATCATGCAACGGTGGATGAAATATGATATCCAGGATGTTATCCTGCATATCATATTTCGTGATCATGCCAGATTTTCGAATTTTTCGAAATTTGATAATATTTTTCAGTTAAAATCCGAATGAATAAATAAAATATGATATACAATTTGCTTGTATAACTTACTATTTGTGATGAATTATGTGCAGAAAAATTAATAATAAATAAGTATTGATTTTTAAAACAGTTTATTTCATTTTTACTCAACTAATCATTATTATTTTACATTAATAATATGGGATCTGGGATCACCATCCCAGTAATACTTTCAACACAAAAGAAGGATTTAATTTCTATCTATACAAAAGCCATAAATCAGTCAGTCATATTTATTCGCCAGATTAGTTATTTGGCGATTGAAAATTCAGCCCTGTATCTGTATCTATGTAAATACCTACGGAATAAAGTAAATTAAGCAACAAATCCAATTATATAATATGAGAAAAAATTCATATTAGTTAAAATATCGATATCAGCTGCGCATATTGTAGAGTTACCCTATAAAAGGCGGCCATTTTATGCGCCAGTTTTTGTAGGTAGTCACGCTAATTTTGTAGGTATGCCCAGTCCATATACTTCTAAGTCAGTGACCAAATCTAAGAAATACCTTTTGACAGCTGTCAGATTTATTGCAACAAGCATGCCAACCAAAAAATGAGAACGTACAATAATCGATTCTTAAAAAAATCGATATCGATTATTTCGAGTTGGTAATCATTCACAGTTAGGTTTAAATAATACCAGAATAAATTAGAAACGTATAATTTAAAACAAAAGATTTATCGTTTTCATCGTATTTATTGTAACTGCTTATTTCTAGAGGAAAAGTCATAAAAATTTAAGAGTGAAACTATATTAAAAATAAATTTATTCAATCACTTTCACTACTACTAGTTGAGCTGTCCTTGTTAAGATTAATTATTATTTGATTTTCAATAATGCAATCAAAATTAATGTCTCTTTAAAGTCATCCATAATCATTTTTTTTTCTACCACTTTTGCCCAATCATCCTTTGTGACATGGATACATGCTTCCTTGAGCAAACCATCCATCCTTCTTCTTCGTCGTGAAAGGTGGCTTGGTGTTGTGTCGTGCTACATCGCCTGTAAAAAAGCATATTTTCATTTTGTGTGTGTTTTAGTAAAGTTAATATGTTTGCACTTTTCATATAAGAACTAGCCTTTGATTTCGACCCAAATCAATTCAATATCATTATATTGGCAGTGATATGGTGGTAATCTTATAACTTTATGCCCGTGCTCTTCTGCTAATTTATCAATAACATATAAAGGTTTACGTGGTTTATTTTGCTTTACTAATTGTATTAGCTCAGCTTTCAACAACTTCATGTCCGCTTCCACACCTTTGTGTTGCAGCCATGCTATTAAATCTGCTTTCTTATTCGCTTGGGTTGGGGCTTTATGCTGCTATTCGCAGGAATGTTTCGTAAAAGGGTTATAAACGTCTTTGAATTTTTCTGCATCAATTTCCTCATGGTATTCTCTTGTACTCTTTGATTGGAAGGCTAATAAACAATTTTGTACAAATCCTCCTCCGGCTAATCCCGCAAAGCAAACTATGAGGCACCCACCTTTCCTCGCGGGCACCTTCAAGCAAGTTGCTGTCGTGTCATCTGTTCATATTTGCGCTACAGTGTGGTTGGCGTTTAACCAAGTTTCATCAAGAAATATGACGTTGTCCCAGTCGTTTATATTTTTCATTTCTCTTAAAAATTTTATTCTTTGCAAGACTATGTCATGTCTCTCCATAATTATTTAAGTTGTCAAGTTTATATATTTTTGCCGATTATTCGCATAACAATGAGTTTTAATCATCTAAACAATAAGGTAAAAAACAAGGTAATGTACATAGCGACATATCATTGATATGGCGTCAAGTAAAAAAAGTTGATACTGGTTATTTTTTAATATCTTGCTTTGTTTGAAAAATTTAAATTTAAATTAGTGATAAAGAAATATAGATAACTTCTTAATTCGTCGGATTTACGTAAAAAGTTATTTTTAATCGTGTGTGCAAAGTTATTGCGGAATGATTAATGTGAAACGTCAAAAGGTATTTCTTAGATTTGGTTGACTATAGGATAAAATATCTTGTTTGCAAAACTGCAATAAAGCTATCAAAAAGACAGTCATATTATAAATTGAACCCTTAAGGGACAGTTACTTCATTAGATTTTTGTGTTTATTTAGTAATCGTAGTTTTATAAGTAAGTTTTTGTGTTTATTAATATTCATCGTTTACAAATTCATTCCCATTTTTTTACTAAAGAAAACCTACCATATATTATTACCACTTGCCTACCCAATATTTACTAAATACTTATCTATTACTTCAACTTATTAAAATTATAATTTGATTAAATCAATACATAAGCATCAATGATGCAGCATCACTATCTAACCGCTTCATCTATGTACCTACCAGCATTATAGAACCAGGCAAAGAGTATAATAAGTATGCACAGGAACCAGGTGTTCTTATTTACACCTGGCATAATAGGAAATGGGCGCTGAGCGCTCTTTAGCTAGCATAAAAATACTCTAGGATTTTGAGAGTTGAAAGATTGTTTCATTTACGTGGAGGGAGGATTAACTATGGTCATTTATCACAATCATGATAAATGAGACGGATAAGTTTTTGGTTTATTCTACACTTGTTATTTATAGTAAGTATAAATAATAATACACAATTTGAGTATTTTTTCTTGCGATGCATTATTTTCCTACATGTATAAAAATCTATATTCTATTTTAATTTATAGTCTATATTTTCATGTTTATAACACAAAATATTGGAATGTAAATCGGAACGTTATGTTTATTTACGTTTTATGTGCTTATGTCAATCACACGCAAATCACAATAGTCATTACGCACAAAAATAAAAAAATTCGTAGTGTAATGAACGTATATTAATTTAAAAATGTTGTGGTATCTACCATGGTCTGAAAGTATTAAAAAAAGAGCCTGCAGGTATCTGCTACAACGCTATCTGGGAAATTTCCTTGAAGAAAAATTGACTTTGGATCAGCTGAGTGTCGATCTATACAATGGAACAGGAACTGTATGCGATGTCAGCCTTGACTGCGAGGTAAATTAAATTTACTTTATATCTATAAATCACTTATCAGTAAACATGTATACTTTATTATTCGGATTTTTCTAATCTATACTGCTTCTGCGCCAAATTTAAGTGCGCATTAATTTAAAAAAACACGTGTTTAGTTTACGTATTTAAACAAAGAAAACTTTTGAAATTATATTCTTATTTCATTGAATAGTCTACGAATTTGTTTCTTAGAAATAATTTCAATATATTTTATCTAAAATTGTTATTTTAGGAATTACATTCTCTTTTTAATATTTCTTTTATTAAAAATAAGTTTATTATTTTTAATAAAGTAATGATTTTAATTTAGTATAATAATAGTATACCATAAATTACTTAAATATATTTCTATTTCCCTTATGTGCGTTAAATACCTATATAATATGGCCTGTATCCTATATAATTTTACATTTTCTGAAGATGTTTGTCATATGCCACAGTGGCCATTTGTCTTGAGATGGACTGTTAGTCCATCTTATTGTATATGGTTTTTATAATATGCAGTTGCACAAATGCAGATGTGTTCATGACTAATATAATTTTTATATAAAGTAACATACAAACTTATAGTCCACATACTCGTAAGCTTGTAAGTGGCTACTACTTTTGACTACTACTTTTACTAAGTTTACAAAGTAACTTTACTAAGTTGATGAATGCCCGAAGCAGACTTCAGACAAAGAACGCTACAGATATGTTGTGTATAAAACTACACAGTTCAAAGTCTCATTGCATGTAACTATAATAGTTGTCTATACCTTTATTGCAAAAAGAGGGATGTTATAAGTTTGGCAGCTATGTGTGTCTGTTTATGCCACCGTAGCTCTTAAACAAGTGAAAAGATTTGGGTGCAGGTTTTTTTATCTAAAAGCAGGTTTTCTAGCAGTGTTTCTTTTAATTTTTTTTTTAAATTTATTTTATGTACACACATCAAGGTACATAAGCAGTCTTATAGTAATTTCGTACAAAGGTTCTACTTATTCCATAATTACCTAAAATATCTTCCAGTAGACCCATAAAGTAAATTATATTGAAATTGCAAACTTAGTGTATACATTAGTACTACTAAAAAATAAATAATATACAAAATGTTGCATAAATTATATAAAATAAAACAATAAATAAAAATAAAATAAATCAATACATAATAATAATAGTAATAAATACGATAGTTACATATGATATATATATAAACTAAAACTAATACAATAGAATAATATATATTAATTAACAGGATGCAAAGTAGTTATCTCTAAGACGTTTCTTGATAACCAATAGAGTTTTGGAATTTCTTATATTTGACGGTAGTGAGTTCCATGACCTTACCGCGTGAACTGAAAAGGAGTAGGAGTAAAAACCGGAATTATAGACGGGAAAGTCAAGAAGAGTTTTAACAAGGGATCTGCACGGTTTGTCCGGAGGATGGGGGAAGGAAGATCGGCTTCTGAGGTATGTGGGAGAGGAAGGGTTGTGCAAAATGTTATAGAGGAGACAAAACAATCGAGTGTTCTTTCAAAGTCGAATTGGGAGCCACTTGAGTTGCTTACGAAACTGAGATATACGGTCAAATTTCTTGAGCCCAAATATAAAACGGATACACTGATTTTGCAAGCCTCATGTTTATTAAGAAGCTCCTCTGTAGCATCCAAATAACAGGCATCCGCATAATCAAGGAGAGGTAGGATAAGAGTAAGCACAAGTGATATTTTAGCTTTAAAGGGTAAGAAATTTTGTAGACATTTAAGCGAATGCAAAGTAAAGTAGACCTTGCGACTAACCTCAACGATATGCGTGGTCCATGTTAAATGATGAACAAATATGACGCCTAAGTTTTTGACAGTATTGGCAAAGGGTATAGGAACGCCATTAAAACAAACAAGGTAGTGATGTAAATTCTAATCTATTATGCAAATGCCTACTACCTATTATGATGGCCTGAGATTTCGTGGGATTAACTAATAGTCCGAAGGATGCAGACCATTCACAGATGCGGCTCAGATCCGCATTCATGGCTGCAATTGCATTGTTTGTATCACCCACCGGAAAATGACGATAAAGCTGTAAGTCATCCGTGTAGAGATGGTAATTAGATGTAATAACACTTGTAATAGAGTTAATAAATATGGAAGGTAAAAGGGGGGAAAGAACGCCACCCTGAGGTACACCCGTAGTGATACCAGACCAATCGGAAAGAGTGTTATTAAGACGGACACAATGTGATCGACCACGAAGATATGAATCAAACCATGCGATAGCAGATGGGGAAATGTTTATAGATTCCAGGATCCGGAAAGAAAGTCAAAGTCTACTGAGGTAAAAGCACTACTAAAGTCAAGCAAAACTAAAAGTGTGAGAGATTTATTGTCCATGGCCCAACGGATATCATCAGTTACTTCAAGTAAAGCAGTGACTGTGCTGTGTCCACGACGAAAGCTCGACTGATAAGTGGAGAGCAAGTTCTTAGACATGTTTTATCAAAATCGGTACAGCCTTTTGAAAATTGAAAAAAGAATGTTTAAAATCTTCAATTTATGTTATAAATATATAAACCTAACATAAAAAGCATTTAAAATTGTTTTAAACAACATTTCATAAATGAACTTCTAACTATAATTGTTCTATATTTTTGTCTTACATTTTTCTGAAAGTATCATAATTGCTGTACCTTATCTATATTTTAAAAAGTATAGCAAAAAAATCTTAAAATCACGAATTCAGAATAACAGTATAAAGTTTGTTGGAAAAAATGTCATGGTTGTGTTATTTTTATTATCTTTAAATTTTTAATGCATTTTATTAACCATTTTTTGTGAATAAATAACTATCTCCTATTTTTATACTCCAGTTTTTGATACAAAGTATATATGTATAATTTTTGTACAGGCAACCACCAAAATCGCCATAAATGGCATAAAACTTAGACTGGCTACTGAGTTGTAACTACATTTTGTGCTTAATATAAGTTACTGATTTTTGTATCTGATTTTGTTGTGTTTATCTTAATGTTTTGTATCTAATATTCTATGCAGCTTTGTCTCTGATCTTAATGTTATTAGCTTCATTTACATTATTCCTGTCCACACATAAAATACATACTTAGACATGGAGTTGCAGAAAACAGCCCGTCTTAAACTAAACTAAACTAGCTTTATTTATTTAGAGTAGTGGTAGTGGTAGGAGTGGTAAGCACAGAAATCGTAATAATAAGACAATAGAAGTTGCATAGATGCGTGACCTATGATGTGTTGACGAACATCATTCACCATTTTTTGATTTAGTTCCGCGGGGAACGTTGTACGTGAATTTATGTTATTATAAATTTATAATGGTGAACTGCAGCATAATCAGTTGCAAAAACTCATCAAGAACATGTAGTTCAACTAATAAAAGCATATCATTGTCGTAATGCGACAATTTAAAAACTAAATAACCTAACCTAACTACAACAAAACAACCAAAAATAAAATAAATTATTTAAAAATTTGAAAAGATTTACAGTTTCTTTTATAAAAAAAGGTATGAAGGTGATGGTGGGCTGTAATGATGATAGTGATTTACAATATTATTAAAAAAAATAACAAAAATAAAGATACTGCAACGAAGTATGCACAGGCTATGCCTATGATAGGTGCACAGCGCCTGCTCTAGGTACACGCAGAATCTGGAGAAAGCACATGCAGCGTCTGGAGAAGGTACACGCAGCGCTTGGAGTAGGCACACGCAACGCCCGGAGCAGATACACGCAGCACCCGGAGTAGACACGCAGCGTCTGGAGTAGGTACACGTGGCGCTTGAAGTAGGCAAACACAACGTCCGGAGTAGACACACACAGCGTCCGGAGTAGACACGCAGCGTCTGGAGTAGGAACACGCAGCGCTTGAGACAAGCACGCTCAGTGGCCGAAGATAGCGCGGGCACTAATAGGTGGAGGCGTAGGCGTGGCTAGGCGACGACTTCAGGAGAAGGCTTGCAAGATCCCGAGGCAGTGCGGATAAAGCCTTTAAGAGGTGCTTCTCGTATCAAAGCTGAAGTGAGGACCTCTATCGGCCGATTCTTCGGCTTTTATACTTTTTGACGGATCTGGGATAAGAACGAGAAATTATTTGAAATTATTTAAATTAAAAGCAAATTTTTGTAAATGGCCAAGAAGAAAAGAGTATTTTTGAAGTAAAAACATCAGGCCGGTAACAATATTTGAATAAAAATTGCCACGACAACCAGATAAACAACGATGTCAAAACATGTCAAATTTTGGTTTTAAGCTCGTAATACAGAAACGGCAAGATTTAAGTGAAAAATGAGATATTATTTATATAGGAAAAAAGGTAGCGCAAGAGCGCGCACGAAACCCGAAATTGTAGAGTTACGGAGAACTAAATAAAAGATCGAAAAAGGTAGACTCCTTTGACACCGATTTAAAAAGTGCTGATAACGTGAAAATACGAAGTGAAAATGATTTGTTATTGTGTTCTTATGAATAAAAAATATTACAGGATCCTATGGAAATAAAGGTGATGCAAAATATCCAGTTTTGAGGTGAATGTAGAAAATCAAAAACAGAATGGAAAAATAAAAATAAAATAGTGTAAAATGATATGTAAGTATGTATGTAAGCATAACACTACATTTTCCCCCCGACCCTGGAAAATTTTTGACTCAGCAAAAATTTTGAGATGTACATTCCAAAATAAACCATAAAAACACAGCTTTGCAGTAACAGACATCACCAGGCAAAATCAGATATACAATCTCTTACATTCATCATCTGCATTCAGGTAAGGGTGGAGTTCACATTCAATGACTACCACTCTAAAAGTGTGTTTTCGAAAGGACATTCAGGCTTATTTAAGGAGTTGTCATCCGCTCCTGCGTGGAAAAAAAAATTCGAAAGGACATCCAGGCTTATTTAAGGAGTTGTCATCCGCTCCTGAGTGAAGATAAAGTTAAAGAAATTAATCTTAAGCAAGCTTTAGTCGCTATGACTTAAGTAAAGATTAAGAACGGCCAGAGCGGTAGGGCTCAAAGCCAGAGATGAGCAACATCACTAAAAGTACATTCAGGCTTATTTAAGGAGTTGTAATCCGCTCCTGAGTGAAGATAAAGATAAAGAAATTAATCAGGTAATAATTATACATATATACAAACATATATACAAATATACAAACATATATACAAATGTAGTGTCATGCAAAACAGTATTAGCTGGTTTCTCACATCTAATCTTCACTTCGTAATCGAGTTCGGCCTTATTAAGGAATTCGTACTCAATAACCCTTTTCATTGTTTTAGTTAAGTGCAAATAGAATAAGTAATAAAATAAAATAAAGAATAAGAAATAAAAATTTAATTAAAAATTGTACCTCTTTAAGTTATCTAGAATAAAAATATTAAAGTGATGAATGTAAGTGAAGTGTTATATGCAGGTCCAAATATAATCCAGATAAGTTGAAAAACTAGATGAAGTTTTGTTTTAGAATTTGGAAGATAGTACCTCTTTAAGTTATCTAGAATAAAGATATTAAGGTGATGAATGTAAGTGAAGTGTTATATGTAGGTCTAAATATAAGCCAGACAAGTTGAAAAACTAGATGAAGTTTTGTTTTAGAATTTGGAAGATAGTACCTCTTTAAGTTCTCTAGAATAAAAATATTAAGGTGATGAATGTAAGTGTTATATGTAGGTCTAAATATAATCCAGATAAGTTGAAAAACTAGATGAAGTTTTGTTTTAGAATTTGGAAGATATGATAAGGATGAGTAAATAAAGAGTTAAGAACGAAAGAGAAAGCAATTCAATCAAAAGGAAATGGATAAGGCGTAGCTAAGGTGAAGAAAAGAAGAACTTTTACGTCGGGCGCCAAATTGTCGTAATGCGACAATTTAAAAACTAAATAACCTAACCTAACTACAACAAAACAACCAAAAATAAAATAAATTATTTAAAAATTTGAAAAGATTTACAGTTTCTTTTATAAAAAAAGGTATGAAGGTGATGGTGGGCTGTAATGATGATAGTGATTTACAATATTATTAAAAAAAAATAACAAAAATAAAGATACTGCAACGAAGTATGCACAGGCTATGCCTATGATAGGTGCACAGCGCCTGCTCTAGGTACACGCAGAATCTGGAGAAAGCACATGCAGCGTCTGGAGAAGGTACACGCAGCGCTTGGAGTAGGCACACGCAACGCCCGGAGCAGATACACGCAGCACCCGGAGTAGACACGCAGCGTCTGGAGTAGGTACACGTGGCGCTTGAAGTAGGCAAACACAACGTCCGGAGTAGACACACACAGCGTCCGGAGTAGACACGCAGCGTCTGGAGTAGGAACACGCAGCGCTTGAGACAAGCACGCTCAGTGGCCGAAGATAGCGCGGGCACTAATAGGTGGAGGCGTAGGCGTGGCTAGGCGACGACTTCAGGAGAAGGCTTGCAAGATCCCGAGGCAGTGCGGATAAAGCCTTTAAGAGGTGCTTCTCGTATCAAAGCTGAAGTGAGGACCTCTATCGGCCGATTCTTCGGCTTTTATACTTTTTGACGGATCTGGGATAAGAACGAGAAATTATTTGAAATTATTTAAATTAAAAGCAAATTTTTGTAAATGGCCAAGAAGAAAAGAGTATTTTTGAAGTAAAAACATCAGGCCGGTAACAATATTTGAATAAAAATTGCCACGACAACCAGATAAACAACGATGTCAAAACATGTCAAATTTTGGTTTTAAGCTCGTAATACAGAAACGGCAAGATTTAAGTGAAAAATGAGATATTATTTATATAGGAAAAAAGGTAGCGCAAGAGCGCGCACGAAACCCGAAATTGTAGAGTTACGGAGAACTAAATAAAAGATCGAAAAAGGTAGACTCCTTTGACACCGATTTAAAAAGTGCTGATAACGTGAAAATACGAAGTGAAAATGATTTGTTATTGTGTTCTTATGAATAAAAAATATTACAGGATCCTATGGAAATAAAGGTGATGCAAAATATCCAGTTTTGAGGTGAATGTAGAAAATCAAAAACAGAATGGAAAAATAAAAATAAAATAGTGTAAAATGATATGTAAGTATGTATGTAAGCATAACACTACATCATTTCATCAGTAAGTTGATTATTTACTAATTATCATTATTTTAACTAACTTATATCTAGATGAATACTTTACTGTGATATTTACCTTTGTAAACTTTCATTTATTACTTTTCGTATTGTACAATTACCTGCGTATGTTTATAATACGGTAAGATGTGGCGACATCGGTTTTGGAAGTAAAGCTGTTATTGTAAGGTGTAATTGCAACTGCAGCTATAATTACACCTTATTGTATAGTACTTAAGCTGCAGTCTGCCTGCCAACTGTAGTAACTATGGCAAAATCGACCCTTAGAGACAACATATGTATGAGGCCTATGTTTAGCAGTAGAATTTTATAGACTGTTATGTTTAGTTAATTACAGTCTATATACGTCCCACTGCTAGGCACAGGCCTCCTTTCACTTTTGAGAGGGTTTTAGGACAAGGGTCTTAGAATTTTTTCCTTTCATTTCTCACTCACAATGTTTTCCTTCACTGGTGAGCATGTGGTAAATGAGTACTTAAAAATGTGATTAACAATTTCATTGGTATCACCGGGGGTTGAACCTGGTTTGCTCGCATACTGTGAAATTTACAGCGAGCCCTAAGCCCCTTGAACTACCATGGCTCCCTAAGCTCCTGAGCCACCACGTTTCCTGTACTGACCATGCTCCTGTACTGTACATACTGTGTATGTGTGTGTGTGTGTGTGTGTGTGTGTGTAATTGTAAAAGTCTTTGTACTTACTGTACTACACTACCATACATTTTGCAATATAGCTCTGGCAAATGTATCCTACTGTAAACAGATTCTGTAAGCAACTGGTTGTTTTTATGTCCAAAAACAGACTGTAAAATTAAAATTTATTGTTTTTGATAAGGCCTGTGTGTTTATTTGTTATATATATATCTTATTTATAACACTGCCTGTTTTTAATTTTGTACTTTTTAAGGCACTCAATGAACTGGGTGATTCACAAAATTGGCCACTGGAAATAGTTGATGGACAAATGAAAGAAATAACAGTAACCATACCCTGGTCAACTTTACTAAAAGATGATTCAATTGTTGAAGTCAATGGACTCTCACTCACAGTACAACCCAAAGTTCGAGCTGAACCAGGTAATAATAATTTCAATGAAAAGCATAAACTTTATTTTTATATGAAGTAACTGTAGTCATTATCATCATTATCAAAACTACTTTTTAAACTTCACTACTGATCATAGGGCTCTCCATAAATTGCCCCATGTGGGGATTACTTGCCATATTTGCCACGCTTTTTATTTGCTAGCTGTATTGTTTGAAAATGCTGCTGCCCTTCTCCTAATATTTATCTCTGTCGCTTATTAAGACACCCACAGGGGAATATGTGATAAGATCTTTTGCGCTTTTTATTACAGAAATTATTTTGTTCCATTACAAAGGAATTTCTTTTTTGTTTTGTTGTATCAAAAAGCCTTGTATCAAATACCTCTATCAATGTGAAGAACATAATCGTTTTACAAAACGTGATTTATTAATAGACTGACCTGTTAAAATAGTCTTTCTCACAATATTAGTCCCTAGTAGCTTTTTTTAACAACTTATAAGCGCGGTTGACACTTCCGTACTTTAGAAGCCTCAGGAATGATAGAGGACCTGTGCCTGGGAGTGAGACATATATAGCTTGCAAATTTACTTTACAAGTCATTAATGGGAGTGACTAGTTAATAGTAATTTTATTGCGAGTTCTCAATTTTGTCAGAGAATTCTCACTCTACAACAAAAAACATCATATTATTAAAAACCGTCACCTGAAGTAGTTAATAATTATACAACTATATTTGTCTGTACAAATTAAAATGACAGAAAACATTTACAAAGGGAGTAAACACACCATGGACAACAAATGTAAGAAGTTTACAGGATGGGGGATGTAATTGGGCGGGATATTATTGAGGGAATATTAATGTTTAGAGCATTCAAAGAACTGATGATTAGAGGATCCTTCGTCTAGGCCACATTCGCAGATTGATATATCCTTAACCATAAGACTAGCCAAGTGCATAGCACATTTTCTTAAATTCAACTTTTCTTATAACAAAAAATTGTTATAAAAATATGTACATGTTAACATAAAAGTCTATAAAACTCCTAACTTGAGTGTATATGAGAATAAGTAAACAGTTTCAACTGAAGAATATGCATATTTAAACAGTATCTTCAATGCTGGAATCAATGTGGTCTTCAATGTCATCATCAATGCAACTTGCTGCTGAGTGTCTCCGGGAAGAAGCTGGTCCACAAGAATCAAATCCAGTGGAGGGTATTGAAATGTTCGCACATGCTATCGATTCTGGTAAGGCTACAGCTAAGATATATTATCTTTTTTTAAATAGCATGTTTTTCATTTATGTCTGAAAAATTTCGCGTACTTCATCCCATTGTAGAGGGGATTTGTCTTAATCTTTGTACATGGCGGGCGATGGCTCTTACGACATTCTGGGGACGGTATGGGCTAGTGGATATTCTTACTATTGTATGGGCTAGTGGATATTCTTACTATTGTATGGGCTAGTGGATATTCTTACTATTGTATGGGCTAGTGAATATTCTTACTATTGTATGGGCTAGTGGATATTCTTACTATTGTATGGGCTAGTGGATATTCTTACTATTGTATGGGCTAGTGGATATTCTTACTATTGTATGGGCTAGTGGATATTCTTACTATTGTATGGGCTAGTGGATATTCTTACTATTGTATGGGCTAGTGGATATTCTTAATATTGTATGGGCTAGTGGATATTCTTACTATTGTATGGGCTAGTGGATATTCTTACTATTGTATGGGCTAGTGGATATTCTTACTATTGTATGGGCTACTGGATATTCTTACTATTGTATGGGCTAGTGGATATTCTTACACTGCCCACTAACTACATGGTTAACTGTTCTAAAATTTTATTTTCTTATTACGTAATTAAAACAATACTATCAATTTTTAAATGTCTCCGAATTCATAATAAATATACCATAATCCCATTTATATTTCAGTTTTGAGCAGAGTGAAAGTTAAATTTGTTAACACTAAAGTAAGAATTGAGCATGTGCCGAAAAATGGCGTCCGAGGAATTGCTTTAGAAATTCACATACAAAAGTAAGTGTCCTCTATTAACCAAATGATTTACATGTGCTCATAAAGTTCAATTTACAATAGAATAAGTATTGTTATTACTTCTGTAAATTAGCAAAGGACGATTGATTGTATATACATTAATGATTAAACTAATTGATTGCGATAATAATAAATATGTTAATGTTATTTTGATGTTGTGATGCTCACAATGAATATATTCCATCTGATAAAGTAGAGTAGAGTTTGAGTTAATAGTCAATTAACCGTCTCCCACACACAAGCAGCTTGCAGTGGCGGCCAGTTGTATCCCCTTGCAATATGAGTCTGCACACTTGCGATCATGTTGCGGCTTGCGAACGGCTGGCCGGGGCCGCAGCCTCGCCCTCTCCGCTACCGTGTGTGTGTTAGCGAGTGCGCGGCCTGTCGGTGGCCGCAACATTTGTGTTGGTGCGCTACAGATATTTTAATATACTTCCCACCGTGATTACAAAAGCATTACGATTAAAACAAAATAAAGGATAATATTGCTGAAAATAATATGAATAATAACTAATAAGACTACATCACAGTTAGGCATGTTGACTGACGTTCGATCTCAACGAATGGCATTTCGGGGCTTCAAGCCGCCAAAGTGATCGCGGTGGTGTGTTGTTGCAGCGGCTGGAGCCACGGCCCAGAGCAGCTGCCACCGCAAGTCACTCGTGTGTGGGAGACGCTTTGTTTTAATATATTTTTTTTAAATTATGAATGAAAAAAAAAGATTGACAGCGATAATTGTGCACAGGCGATTGATTGAAATTTCACCTCCATGTGGTTAACATTCCAAAAGTTCTATCTAATAAGCCTAACTTCACAAATATTTCCAAGATATTTTTTTACAATCATAATGATTATTATCTTCAAAAAAATCAGTTTTCCTTGATATTATTGTCACTAAATCGCTTCTTATGCTATCATCATATGCTTCGTCATCATCATCAATAATGTTAGGTTAGGTTAGGTTAGATGAAATATTATTATCAACAGCCTTTTTAACTCTACTGCTACTAAATGCTGATATTTTTTTAAGCATTGATTACTTTGATGAGGCTGGTGCAGAACCCGTTCCGGAAACAACTGACCCCGGCAAATCCAAAACCTATATTGTTGCAACATACACTAACAAAAAAATTAGATTTGATGGAGTGACCCTCTATGTAGATGAATTTCCATCAAAGCTGCGAACTATGGCCAGAAGTCTTACTATGGAAAAGTCAGTTTCGTCACAAGCCGATAAATCTGACACTGCAGCTGAGACACCGGATGTAAGTTACCAAAGCACTCTATCGGACGTGTTTTATGAAACAAAAAGTGTGATATCAACCATTGAGTCCGATCCAGTAAAAGAAATAATTGGAGAAGATAGAAGCCATTCAGTATCGAGAGAAGCTACTCCAGAAGAGAAGTCTAGTCAGCCTGAACCAATAGTATTTGCTAAATTAACAGGCCAACAAGAATTGGCACTTAAACTGAAATATTCAGAAGAAGTCGAGGGTCCAAAAGTTGAAGTGAAAGTGTTGTTAGGATCACTGATACTCTTTTTGACGCCAAGACAGTTACACACTCTTATAGAACTCGTTGATGCGCTAAATCAGCCAGATTTAGAAGATACAAGGTATTAGTTAAATATTTCTAATTAATATAATAAATAAATAATAATTGATTAATCTTCTTATAGTCGTTGAATACCAATGCTCTTTCTTATGTAAGACTTCGGTTTGAGATTGCCTCTAATCATTTTTTCTGTTGGGGCAAAGAACTTAAAATTTGAAGTAATAATTTTAGCCATGACCGCACATGGTAGCTATTCTAAATATAGGTGGCATTATCCAGTAGACTTAGTGTATATATCGACAGTTATGTAGTGCAGTGGCTAAGCATTTGCTTTTGTTCTTGTGAGACGCGGTTTCAAATTCCGCTCGTAACAGGTATTTGTGTGACTTAAAGAGAATTGCTCCGGGTCTTATTATCATCATCCAATATTAGATTATCAACATCCAATTTATTTTATTATTTTATTTATTTATGTAAAACGGCTCCCGCGATAGAGACAAATTTATATTATGTAACATATATGTTGGTAATATACAGGGTTATTTTTCAAAAAGTATTAACAATTTATATTAAAGTTCAAATATATTAATAATGATATACCGATATTACAGTTTTTAACTACAAGTAAATAAGGATTCTCATTATCTAAATGATCGCTCACTGCACTTGAATACTTTGTTTAGTTGTTAATAATAGTTCCTTGATTGGTAGAGTGTGTCAAAGTGTCAAATTAACGTACACATACGTTAATTTGACAGAATTTTTGTGATTTTTTAAAATTAATTTTTCTTTATCATTCGCCTATATGTATTACTTATTCTGAACCCTCTTTGCAATTTAACCGTATATTTCAAAATAACGCAACCAACCACAAATGTAAAATATAGAAGAAAGTATAATTTAAATTTAAAAAGAAAAAATAATAATATGAAAAAAAGGAAAACTTTATAGTCTCTGGTCTTCTGAGGCTGTTCATTAATAATATATGAACCGTATTAAACATTAGAGTGAATAATAAGTACTAAAACTTTTTATTTTTATTAAAATTTCAGCAATTTACCCCTTCGCCCAAGTGGCGTAAATACACAGTGTAAACCAATGAAGCAAGCAGATTTTCAGTTAATAGAAGCTCAGCTACAAGGAAACTTGGAAAGGCAAGCTAAACCAACACACATGTATGGATGGTCAGGACCTAGTTTTGGTGAGATGGTCAAATTTTCTGAAATTGTAACATATGTCGAACAAGTCTTCCATTCTATGGAGATTGTGAAAAACTTATTCAAATATTTTTTTAGTATTTCTTAGGCTTATAACTTGATCAATCGCCTTTTAATGACGTTTTCAAAGTTTATAATATTCCCTTCATTCAATCCATTACAACCTGTCAAAGCCACCGCTGCTAGGCTTCCTTCATAGTTTGTCGCAAATATCCCCCCATATTTGCCATAGCTGGTTATGGTTATAGTTTGGCAAGCGGGGCAGCAACTGCACTTTTTTAATATTTTTAGTTGTTATCGTGAAGATGCTGCTGCCTGTAGCCTGTTTAATTTCAAATTGTTGCCTCTTACGATACCCACGGAATGATACGTGATAGTGGATTCTCACAACCCGCCACTACATGTTGAGAAAAGTTACAATATAAAATATATAAAAATCCTGTAGTACTCAGTACCTACGATGCTATTAAATTTTATGTAAGCTATACGCGTCACGGTTTAATAAAAAGGTTTGCCTTACTAAGAACACAGATCTATTCGAATACACGCTCCGGTCTACGTACTTGCGCACTTGCACAGGTATACCTCTCCAGTAGACCATAGCGTGTGTGTCCAGCATTACATACCCTTCCACTCAAAACCAGTAACTATTTAAGGGCCTATACTACCTCAAATGGCTTAGCAAGATCCTCCGTTATGCCGAAAATATTTCAGCATTAATTTTCAAATAAATATATGGTAAAGTTTTAGGTTTAGTATTAGGTAATGTTAAGTACTATGTTAGACGAAAACATGATAACTTAAAATTTTCTCGATAGAAGAAAAATCCAAAGTTACCTGCAAACCGAACAATAAACTGCTGTTATTCACAAAATACTTTAAATTAGATCATGAAACTTTGCATACTAACTGAACTAACTATAAAGCAGGGCTTGTGTTTTTTTATATTTTTTAATTACCATTATTTTCACTGTAAAAAAATTATCTAAAATATCGGCTTCCTGAAGCTTGTTCCCTGCCGCCCGATACTCCCGCTCATTCTCACTTCGGCTTTCGAACGGGAAAGCTGTGTAGCCTACGATCAGAATACACATTACGTAACAAGACGACGTAAAATTAAAATTGGAAATAACCGCAATAAAAATAAGAAGCGACTAGGTTAGCGTAAAGAAACAGCAGAAATATGATAAACCTAATGAAATAAGTATCTAACGACGTATCTACTTACAGTATTAGTGATTACAAACATGTCGGTAGAGAGCATACGACGCGCGGGGTAATTAGAATTTGAGTTAAGGTAATATAGGCCCTTAAAATTCATTAATTGAAAAATTTCAGAGGACAGTGACGCTGAGAGTGAGAAGTTTCATCCTATGACGTCTTTCGGCAACCCAATGACGGAGAGTTTTACATCCTCGGTCAGTTCCATGAGCAACAGTATGACGTCCAGTGTCAATGTCCTTACTTCACAACCTCGAATCAAGAGAAATAAGAAAGGTAATGATTACGCTAATTAATATAATGCCTTTTAATAAATACCTTTGAATAACTTCTTCGAAGCAATAAGTCAATGCAAATAAGAATAAATTACTAGTTTCAGCCATGTACGAGTAGCAGTAAAAATTAGTTAACCGCACAATCCTTTGATTTGATTTTTGATGATAAATCTTTGCTAGAACGAATGCTAAGAACAGGAGAAGTGTCGTTTGCACGCACCAAGATGCTGCCGTGCTTAATCCAAGTGTATCTGAAACCATTCTTCTTAACAGCTTCCCAAATCTCACGAAATAAAATTTTCCTCACGAAATGAAATCTTCTATCAACTTGGTTATTTTATTATTCTGTTTGTCGAAGAACTCCTTCATTAATGCCATTAACTTATCTTGGAAAGACTGAAATTCACCACGTAGATCCAACACATTTTGATCAGCTACACCTTTACGGAACGTCACTTGGTCAGGCGGAGATTCTTTTTCTATCAGAGAGCTTTCTATACTCATTTCACCGTAAGGAAATCTATTAGAATACCGGCTAGACAGTTGTTTGGTGCGATGTTTATTGAGAGACGTGATTGGCATGTCAAATGATAGTGATTGGCATGTCAAATGATAGTGATCTCTTTGTATTTATTGCTCTGTGAAATAAGTAGCCGAAGTCTGCCAACACTATTCGTAATTTTATGTACACATAGAATACTACAATACAAAATAGAATAGCTGTCAAGCTTATTTTGTACGAGGATCGGCGTCGCCGGGAGCACATACAAGCAATTACGTCGTATTATCACTACTACTAACCCGATTCGCTGTGTTGACAGACTGAGTAAATTTACACATTTTAGACTTTTGATTAATGTTCAAGATCATCATTAAAAAAAATCGTTTAAATTTTAATACATATTTATTTGTAAATATTGTGCAATTTATCATTTTCTCAATAATTTGCATGCGAAATTTGGAAACAATTGTAACGTCAAAACACATCTCATGTTGACATTTATAGGTGTGAATTGACATGTTAGTGGCTACACGGGCTTCGCCCACTACCAGTTCTATTATATAGTATGTATTATAGTTTTCTATGTATGTACACGATGTGTCACTAGGCGATCGGAACACTACAAATTTATTAAAAACTATTTTTACTTATGGTCACAGGGGCGATTGGGTGCTGTAAAGCACTCGAAATATAAAATAAGTTAATAGACGCGATAGAATCCGTAAAAAATAGTTTTATTTATATAAGAAAGAAGCTCCACCCCACACTTTCAAATTGAAGGACGCTAAAAATTGCTTATATAGATTAAATAAAACTCAGCTCAGCTTATTTTTATATTCCCGACATTTCGTGTGTTTTGCACTCATGGCTACTACTTTGGGTTTAAAAACACGATTAAATACATAAAAATTAGCTTCATTATAAGTATATCAATAATATAATCACTACAATACAAAATTTCAATTTATTGTTATATGTTGTTACTATATACGTTTGTTTACTTCATTTCATCATCTATAAAAACAATGATACTTGTTAATGATTTCGAATAAATAACCTATTGTTCAATTAATTGTAGCTAGTACTTTTAATTAAAGATTTTTTTTACTTTTAGTTCCATACATTGATGGAGATCCAACAGCAGAAGTGTCGCATGTTAGTCTAAGAATGGCCTCGTTCTCCTGCGTGTTACTTCACAAGGTAAAATTTACGAAGAATATTTAAATAAAAATGATACTACAAAGGTTTTTTTTTATAGAAGAGGGGGCAAACAAGCATGCGGCTCACCTGATGGTGACTACCGCAGCCTGAGAACAATCGCAACACCAAGGGAATTGCAGGTGCTTTGCCGGAATTTTAGAAAGGAGTAAGTTCTGATAACGATCTGGTAAGACATGCAAGAAGTCCTAATGTATATGTATATGATCCATTCCCTAATTATTTCTAGTTTTTTTTTTATAGGACAGGGTGACAAACAAGCACGCAGTCCACCTGATGGTAAGTGGTTGCTGCGGCCCATAGACATCCACATCTATCCTCGATTACATATCAAAATGCAGTTGCGTTGTCATCCGTGAGGATTAAGATGGAATGCCTCGTTTCCAGTAAAAAGGGTCTTCGGTTCTCTACACTCACCATACGAAACACAGCAGAATTAAGCTGCTATTTCACGGTGGTATTCTGTGAGAGCGTGGTCCTTCCCCGGTCGAGCCGACCCATTCGTGCTACAATCATAATATAGGTGCAGCGTGGCTCTACCATCTATAAAATATACTCAAATATACTTAATCCTCAGTGGCAACAACGCATCTGTAACCTTCTCTGTTTGAAGTCGCTCCGGTCGAGCCGACCCATTCCTGCTACAACTATACTACTAATATAACTGTAGCATGGCTCTACCACGTATGAAGTTAATTATATGGTAGAACATGTTTCGTCCCCACAAGTCCGTCGCGATAGGTTGGATAGGATAGGACACTCTCTTACCCACTTTTGGCGCTAGGAAATAGTGCATCCACTATTGTGTTCTGATATATATATATATATATATATATATATATATATATATATATATATATAATATGTAACGTAATTAATGCACACTCTCAGACACCCCAATTAGTATATTATGTTATAACCATAATGCATACACTGAATTTTAGTTAAACATTTTTATGCACTGATTATTTGTCAAATTAGTTATACTAATTCCGGAAGAATGATGTGGTCACAGTACAAATCCACGAACGCAAAGACTTTAACGTGCTTGAAATAAAGTTCATTTTTCTTTATTTTTATTGAATGACAGAATTAGTAATATTACAAATAAAACTGCACTCTTAAAAGTCTTATTGCCTTAAGTTACTGTCCATTTCAGTTTGTTTTGACTGTACAGATTTAGTGTGACTGTAATTTACGTAGTTTTAATTATTTTTGGGATAAAAAAATTACCTATATTAAAAATGATAGGAATCGATTCAGTAAACGTTCTGAACAAACTACTTTCTAAAGTGCGTATATATATATATATATATATTACATATATATATATATATATATATATATATATATATATATATGTAACTTAAAGTTGGAGCCCTTATACCTATATCCCACTGCCAGGCACAGACCTCTCTCATTTCTGAGTGGGATCTAGGGCAAGGAAACGTCCGCCGCGCTTCCCCAATGAGGTTTTGTGGCTTGTTACTATTTAAGTATGAAGCACTCATAAAAATCGATGACCATTTAAGAAATGCTTAAAGTTGCTTTCTCTCTTTTCACTGAATGATAATAGAAAGAGATAAAAGTTAAAAAAAAAACAGTCAAACTTACAGCCCATATACGTCCCACTCCTGGGCACAGGCCTCCTCTCATTTCTGAGAGGGTTTTAGGGCAAGGAAGTGTCCGTCGCGCTGCCGCAATGCGTGTTGGCGAACTTCACATGTCTTCGAAATATTTTTTTTTGTTCTTATTTCTCAGATTGCAGGTTTCCTCACGATGTTTTCCTTCACCGATGAGCACGTGGTAAATCAGCTCTTAAAATTGCAATTAACAATTTCATTAGTGCCGGCGGGGATCGAAGCCAGTTTCCTCGCGTACTGTGAAATTTACAGCGTTTACCATCTGAGTTACCACGCCTCATCAAAGAGACAAGTATAGATAATAATATTATATATTTCAATTTAGCGATGTCTGATTATAAGCAACGCCGATGTTGTTTTATTAGTATGTAATAACAAAAATTATATTTGCAAAGCCTACTCATACATTTTACAAGCTGTAAAAACAAACATTTTATCTTAAAATTGTAAGGGCGTATCAATAAATGACCTTATAGTTCATAATAATCAAATCGAGGCAAGTCGACGACTTACTGGTATCATCATCATTAACATAAGATTACCTCATACCACCATTTGCCATAGTTGGCACGCTTGGTAGTCGGGTCCGCAACCAGTATTAGTTGTTATCAGAAAGAGCTGTTGTCCCATCTCCTTTTGTCGCCTCTTACGATATTCAACGGGATGATATGGTATAGTGGATACTCTTACACAGCTACGACGCGGCGTTTTTATATTTTGCTTAATAAAAATTTAATATAAAACGGAAAACCAACGTTTAAAAAATAGAAAATTCAAATTATGTGATGTAGTAATATGATATATTGATTATGTCTCTTGCCCAATTACACCCATTACATGTAATAACACTTATCTAATTTAAACACTTGTAGGATATCCTAGCTTCGACACCAATGGGAACAGATTACGTGTCACCCGCTTCCGCGTCCAAAATGCAACAGGCCTCTAGGGAATTTTTCGACAGTGTCGAAACGTTCTGTCGGAACGACGAGCGAAGAGAAAGTCACAGAGTCAACGATGCATTGGATAAAGCCACCAAAAGAAATCATTTAAGGTATAAATTAATTATATGTGGTATGCCAAATTGTGTGTTAATGTGTTCTATAATGTATATTATATTGTGGTCTCACACTAACAAACTAATAAAGAAGGAGCACTGTGTACATTTCAAGTGACGCAAACAAAACAATAACCGTGATCAACTTATAAGATTACGCAATTACATATACATATGCATCTGAAATAACTTGCAATGACAACATGATTTAAGTGCATTTGTGTGCGTTCAGGAGTAAAATTTTGCGGGCTGTTAAAGAAAGATAGAAGAAAAACGTGTGCATGAGGGTATGTCAAGAAGCTGAGCATGGTTTCGGCATCACCTGAAATGTACAAAGCGTTCCGTCTATCTTTCTCTGTTATGTGAACTACGCTGCAGCGTAATTATCACAGAATACATAATAGTACTACGCACAGAACGGCCACTCACCTCCCCGCACTTATTTCAAATACCGCACCCCACCCCGCACTTCGTTGTAGACAACACTGACACTTAAAAGCAGGCGGGATTGGACGAACTTGACGCGTACACACGATTTTACAATTTAAGAGATAGATACCTACAATTGTGTTTTCATTACGATGATTGTATATTGAGCTGTAATAAAACTGAATAATATTTTTATTATATATCTGATTGGACTGAATAAATATATAAAAGGAAATGATAAGTATATGTAAATATATATCATTTACTAACATAAATAAATAAACAATACATAAATAAATAAAAGCCCAACCAGATGGAGGCCCACGGCAGGGGAGACCAAACGGCCGAGGGTTATGGGGGAAGGGACAGAAACCGGCGGACGATGCGGGCGGTATCGAGGAGCACTGCCTTCTGCATTTGAGCCTGGAGCGGTCCGTCACGGAATCCCAGCGTGGCCCGAGAGGCTGACTGGGATTAGCCCATTCGCAGAGACGACTACAGGAATAATTTCGGTCGGCAGACCACCCCTCATGTCGGTCACCTCGTGAGCCTGGTCCAGATATTTTGTTTGCTTATCTGTTTCGGCTTTGACGAGGTTCTCGTCATACGGAATGGTAAAGTCGACCAAAAATATCCGTGACTGTGCCCGGTCCATTAGCACAATATCAGGCTTATTCGCAAGAATTTATTCATAGTTTTATTATTATTATTATTCATTTATGGTAGAACGATGAAGTTCTAAATCATTCAGTTTAGAACTTCATCGTTCTACCGTAAGTACGTAACTACTTACAATTATCACGATATGATCATTTAAGCCGATGTTGAAGCCGCCCCACCGCTTCAACGTCGGCCGCCGCACTTCCTACTACACACACGCATTTGCGGGTGTACAAACGTCATTTGCCTGTGTAGTAGTAATGCTCGCAAATTAATTACCAGTAATAGGTAATTAATTTGCGAGCGTTGTATGTAGCGTCCGGAGTATGGTATTACGACTGGAGCACTTATTAGTCGCCTCAAACGGGAAGGGATCACCGCTCTCACAGAACACTAATGTTAAATAACAGCATGTATATAGAAAATACTAAGAACCAGAGACATTTTACTGACAATGAAGCATTCAATCTTGCTCTTCAGAGGTGACAATGTCTATAGGACAAGCATCCACTTATCATCACGTGGACTGTGTTCACATTTGTCGCCATTTTGTATAATGGTGCCAAATAAGGTAATCGTTTTATATAGCATTTGATCGTCTGTCGGACACTCCTATGTCGCTCCTTTATTGCAAAGACTAGCAGCTTTACGATTGTCTTATACCACCAATATTCTATGTACGATCATGCTCAGAATACGTTATAACGCAATCGATCGCAGCGCACTATTTGGCAGTCATTTTTAACTTTTTATTAATTCTTTTTGAGAACAGTACTTACTTAATATAATAATAAAACAGTACACTTTAAATGCATTAGGAAAGTAAAGCAATTATTATGATGATGATTATTACTACGTAATGTTATTACAAAAATACCGCAAAGATGCGTATATCATTTTAATAATAATACTTATCCCGAGGAAATTAGCCAATTAATTTTCACATCTTTAATAATAAAGTAAATTAATGCAAAGAAACGCCTGACTCTGTTGATTGTTCCCGCATTTATCTAATACTATTATTATTTTAAAGTGTTTAATTGAAATTAGAAGAAAGTTCTCATTTATGTACGACCCATACATGAATTAAAACTTTCTGCTATGTAAGATTTGATAATAATAACCGACACTCACAAATTTATGTGTAATCAAGTAAGGTTCCTTTTTTAGAATACTCACCACGGAAATGAGTTTGGACGGAAGCGAAAAGGTGACATCGCACGGTAGTCAGACGATGTGTGAAGCGGCCATAAAGAATGCACTGGTTCGAGAATGCCTCTATTTCCAACAAGAAAATCCTGATGACGTGAGACTGCAGTGTTTCGATATTATAAAATTCGAAAATAAGGGTAATGATTAATTGTCTTCAGTTGATTCATATCTATCATATTCCATAATCTTTAAAGTTCAAAGTATGTACAGAGAAATAACCGCGAAAGGCTTGTGAAAACTACCGTGGGTGTGTGACGGGTCCTTCTTTTTATATGAACTTGCTGCATTCAGAATCCCGAAACGGAGTTTCGTATGTATGTAGCGGGCCTTACGGTATTAATATGAACATGGCAGCATTCTGTATTATAATTCTATCGTTTTTGTCTGAAGTAGTTGGTCTCCATGGGCTTCTGTAATATGAGTTAATGCACTGAGAGTCGTCTGTAAAATGTTCACAACAAATATGATCATTTTGTTTCGGACGACTTCACAATATTTATGCTTTTAAGCCGTAATTTTAGTCTAGATTCAGTTGGAAACCTATTAATTAATAAACATTTGATAATCATCTGTTGTTGGCGACTTTGTTTGTTAACAGATATGGGTAGGAAAGAACATCGATAAGTATTATAGACAAGGAACACGACAACCCTATTGAATTTTATTGTTTTTTATTATTATCAAAACTCACTAATATACAGCTAAACATGTTGGTATATATGATATTAAGATTAGTAACAAATTTTTAAGTATATATTTTATCAAATAGTTTTAATTTTTTTTTAATATTAGCTGCAAAATCACTTACTTGTGAAATGTAACTCACTCGCACTCTCTCATTATTATTAAAAATAATTATTAATATGTAACTAATTATACACAGTCAAACAACATAAAATACTTTCGTTTTTTAGTTTAAAAGTTCAAAATACAGATTTTTTAAATAAGACAATTTAAATAAAACAACAGACTTTGGCATATTATGTCAATTTTAGTTTCCAAGACGACCGTTAGGGGTGGATCAAATTGGCACAGACATTTTGTATGGTATAGCCAGTCCAGTATACTTGTATATATAGAGGTCAGTGGAGTTAATGTAATAAATAAAATCATTCATTCTAGCCAATCATAGTTGGATATTTTCTACAGTTGCCACGCTTGGCGGGCGGGATGGGATCGCAACGGCACTTTTATTTTGAGTTATGAGGAAGATGTTTTGCCCAAATCCTGTCATATCTTTTTTAATATTCCACGCATGGAATGGTTGGTTTGCCTCTTTTGGATGACAGGAGTCCAAGGTGATTTGCAAAACTTGAACAATTTTCTCATTCGCAGATGACGCGGAAATGGGAAGTGCAATTTCAGCGCCAAATATAAAAATAAACTTTAAACAAACATCCAAATATATGAGAGTATCTGGAGAAAAGAAACTGGTTTCCCCGACAACTGACATTGTGTAAGTAATGTATTGTATATTTTAAATTTACATAACATAATACATATTAAATATTCAAATCAAACGTGGAGAATATGTGCTTATTTATATGTACAATTCGTGTTTTTATTCGTTAGTTTTTATTTATGTTTAAAATATAAATATAGAATAGTACTTTGTTTGTAATTCAATAGAGAATAGTACTTTGTCTCTAATATATCGCAATGCTAGGGATGTTATGGCATCCTTTTTCTGGACATATTTCAAACGAGCATTAATAAGTTTTAAACAAAGCATGTAATGTACATAATTTCATTTTGCCGTACGTATCTTCTTATTTTCAGAGTAAAGTGCACTCCGTTCTACGTGGACGTAGAACTCACATTGATAGAGCGCATGTCGGCAACTTTCTTCCCATCGAAAAGCACTACTACAGCGCATGTATCCACACCACAGAACCATATGAATATGGCATTACATTGCCCACAACTCAATGTTATACTCAGGTAAGGCCTACCTGATTTGTTAACCTACATTATAGTCCGGCCGCTGAGTTATTACCGATTTGACACATTTACACGAATTGACAATACTAGTGAAGTGACTGAACCAGTAACCCTAATATCATTTGGGAACAGTTTGTTTTTAAATATTCTAGTATAGTGTGTAATTAAATAAAATCAAAACAATAATAGTTAAAGACACAGGTTCTTTATTAGGTGGAGTATCCTTGATGGGCGTAGATAATTGGTCGAGGACATATCAAAATAAAACAATTTTGTAAACACTGTTACACATTTTAATGAATAGAGTAAGTACAAGATGTTTTAATAAATGACTACCTATCATTTATTAAAACAATTATTCAGACTGAACCAGATTCGCTAGAGCTGTCATCGTTATCAGTCACTTGTATGACAATTTCATTCTCTATAATGGTGTCCACTCTTATATCGCGTTCATAATCTTCTGTTATTAGTTTTCGAGTCTTTTCGACGACCTTGACCCAATCTTCTTTCGTTATTTTGCTGCAAGCACCTTTTAATAGATCCATCATTTTATTAGTACTGAATGGCTGAGTCGTATTATTACGAGCTGCGTAACCTGTAATGTAAACATTAAATAACGTTAATTTATTACATTAAATAAACGAAATGTTACACAATTACCTACATGTAAGGGACATGAGATATTTATTTCTTAGTTATGTATCTTTTTACTTATATGCTGAATATTGGATGTTATAATAGTACAAATTATTCATATTCATAACTTATGCGATAAAAAACAATACCTTTGATTTGTGCCCATATTAGCTCAATGGCATTGTACTGGCAGTGATAAGGCGGATTTCGAAGTACCCGATGTCCATGTGCTAGAGCTATCTCATCTACTTCATAACGGACTCTTGATGTTTTATTTTCGCGTACCAACTTTACTAAGTCAGACTTTAGCATTTCGGCAGTAGTTTCAATTCCATTTGGTGTAGCCATGCTACGAGATCAGCTTTCTTGTCGGCCTGAGTAGGCGCTTTATTCACTTGTTTCGAGTGATATGAAGCGTTGTCCATTATTATGATAGAAGGCTCTGGCAGGCTGGGTAATAATTGATTTTCGAACCAATTCGTAAAAGTGTCTGTATCCATCTCCTCGTGGTAATCGGAAGTACTTTTTGACGCGAAAGCTAGCAGTCCATTTTCAAAGAAACCACTTCCAGCAGAACCGGCGTGACAAATTATCAGTCGCGATCCTTTTCCAATTGGAACCTTTGAGGTTGATGCTTTTGTTTCGTCAGTCCAAGAGCGTGACACAGTGTGGTTCGCATTTAACCATGTTTCGTCAACAAAAACGACGTTGTCCCAAGACTCGATTTTTCTGGCTTCTCTTAAAAACTTGCTCCTTTTAATTATTAAATCAAATCTTTCCATTAATATTTTCCTTTTATTCGTTTTTTTATATTCAAACCCAATTTCGTGCAATAGTTTTGACAACGCCGTTTTACCGCCTTTAAACAAGCCAGCTTCTTTTAAAGAGACCAAAAGCAAACGTCTAGTTGGAAACTCGTTCCTAGTATAATAACCATATATGTGGTTTCTTATTGCATCTGCATCAAAAACATCAACACCTGTCACGGGCTTTTGTCTTCGTTTTTTCTTAGGAGTGCGTAAAACATTATCTTCACTTCCAGAAGCACCAAATTTTTCTTTATTTATATTATATAGTGTTTTTGCACCAATTCCAAGAGCTTGTGAAACCCGATCTTTCACTTGAGTGACAGGAATCAAAGGGCCGCCATTTTGTGACTCACACTCAAAGTAATCCTGTAGCTTTAGTACAAGCTCACGACATTGACTATTCAATGTTTTTCCTAGTTTCGGCATTTTCAACAAAATGACCAAACACAAACAAAATTAGTCCAATAAAGCGCAACGATAAACAGGAGAAAACCGAGTCAAAAAACAACGGTTACACAAGAGAACGTAGTCTGTGCGCACGAGAGTACGGAAGACGACTAAACAGATTAAAATAGCGGTGGTAAGGGTGTTGCCAGAATAGTATCGCCAATAACTTAAATTTATACACCTATAACATTGCTTAATTGAGGGAGAAAATTATATTTATTAAATGTTGTTTTATATATTATGAATGTTAAAAATTATACATAATCATTTTAATTGTATTTATTTTTAAATCATAGAAAACAGTATTTCTGTCTTTGGATCACACATAAATCTTAAAAATCATAGAGATACTGGCAACACAGTGCAATTAGGAGACGCAAAAAAATGGTAGCATTATAGTCTAGTTGCTCGAAGGAATAAGTAAAATAAAAATATCCAAATAAAATAAATATCATATCTATTCCAATGAATTCGGACCGAATACTATCAAGCACATCACTATGAAAACTAGACGCACGATGTAACTTTGTACAAGCGCGCCAAAGAACAAAAAATAAATGTTTTCATATTATTTACAAACTATTTTAAGTTTTGAAACAGAGTTTATTGGAAAATTACTTGATTCTGACATTTTGACATAAAGTTTTATATTAAAGAGGTATTCTAAATCATTCGGCAAATGTGTCGCTCGTGCAAGGTTATATCGATTAATTTAAGAATAATCTGTCAAATCGGTAATAACTCAGCGGCCGTACTATAACTATAAAATTCGTATGCAATATCTATCATATAATCATTATCAAATTGATTTGCTATCTTGCTTGCTCTAACAATATAACCCGTGGATAAGCCGCCACCGCGCTGCCGTCGTCGCCGCACCGCCGGCCGCAGGCGGTTCCTCAAAAAAACGAATTTAACCGAGATCAACACGAACATTACCGACCGCTGTTATCGACGCATGCACCGCGCACCGATAAGCGCACTTAAGAGCGCGCGCGAGAATTTAAATTACTTTTCGAACATATTTTTTTTTTTTTGGTTTTATTCTGGAATATAATTCAATATTTTTCAAATGTACGAGAGTATTATTTTTGCTGTCGGTAGGCCTCCAGTATTCGACCGGCGGGCCGCGATCAGTGCATCTACGGGTTAAGGTGTATATTGCTATGGGCCAATGTTCTTATTTTTTAAGTTCTTGATACCTGGAATAAAGTTATTGTTTTGTGTAAATTAGAAAACTATTTAAAAGATAAGAATGTGTGGACATAATGAGCTCTCTTAACTTTTTTAATAATATATATTTTATAAGGATGTTTTGTAACTGTTGGGAGAAAAATAGTCTATTTGTGAGTTTCTTGTCACTTCTTCTCACAAGGTCTTTCGCGGTAGGAACTTGTAGAAGCGATGGTGTAGTATAATATCTGACTTTCATTTTGACTATCGGAGGCTTTAGGTCTTTTTAGCATCTCCCACAGTCTTCTCTTATGACACCAATAAAAAAAATGGAATATTTATTACCTTACACTACCACAACACAGCCAACGTCCAACTTATTTTCTTTTTTTATATAAGAGAGGGGGGAAGGGCAAACGAGCATGCATACTCACCTGGTGGTAAGTGTAATAAAACCAATTTTACGGATACTATCGCCTTTAATTTTAACTTTTTTAATTAAATGGGATGGATGATGGTGACTACCGCCGCCCATGAGAAACTGCCAAACCAAAGGAATCGCAGATGCGTTGCCGGGCTTTTAAAAATGTGAATTGACCATCTAACGGTTACCTTTACCGAATACCAGGTTCCCAATAGCGGACCTCCGGCCAGGAATAAGTGTTGAGAGTCGTCGCGTACGTGCAGACTACCTGTTGTTCCGCCTGCACGCAGCCACGGCGGGCTGCCTGCAGCTGGCCAGCGTGCGCCCGCTGCCCACCACGCTCACGCTCAAGGCAACTACGCTCGACCTGTTTTACTGTGTAAGTAACAGAAACAGACTTTGTTCAATACATATACAACATGTAACATAATTAACGCACTTTGAGAAAGTAGTTTGTTCAGAATCGTTTACTGAATCGATTCCTATCATTTTTAATGTAGGTAATTTTTTATCCCAAAGATAATTAAAACAACGTAAATTACAGTCACGCTAAATTTGTACAGTCAAAACAAACTGAAATGGACCGTAATTTAAGAACTTTTAATAGTGCAGTTTTATTTGTATTATTACTAATTCTGTCATTCAATAAAAATAAAGAAAAATTAACTTTATTTCAAGCACGTTAAAGTCTTTGCGTTCGTGGATTTGTACTGTGACCACAACATTCTTCCGAAATTAGTATAACTAATTTGATAAATAATCAGTGCATAAAAATGTTTAACTAAAGATTCAGTGTATGTATTATAAGTATAACGTAATATATATATATATATATATATATATATATATATATAACTTTTCCATAATACCACTGTATTCATTGATACACATGATTAGCTTAAAATATGTAAATAGACATACTTTTTACACTACTTCTAAACATAGTATTTCTATTTACTGGCTGGTCACGTAATTAAAACGCTAAATAGTATATAGCTTTATTCAATTAAAAAAACAGTCGATTTGTTACTGTTTGTACAATTTTGGCGCCATTTATTGCTGTAAAAGATTAAAAGTGATTGTTTCTTATGAAAAAATAATGAGAAAAAATTAAAGTTGTGATAAATCTACAAGGAAAGTAATAATAAAACTTCGCCGGAAGAATTGGTCTTATAAAAATAGCCGACCATCTGCAATGTTCAAAAACGATGGTTTCCATGCTGTAAAGCATTTTGCTACGTATCAAACTACTTCGAATGTTTCACGTGTACCTAAACAGAGAAAAACAACTCCTCGAGGTGACGGAAACATCGTTCGTGTGGCAAAACAAAATCCTTTTAAAGAGTCCAATGAGCTGAGAAAAGAATATTTTGGTGAAAACAACCCTTCAGCAATCTCAGCACGCACTATTCGAAGAGAAGAAAGATACCCATGTTGAAACTGTGCCAGAGGCAAGCCCGGCTTGCATTTGCGAGAAAGTATGAAAACTGGACTGTGCGACAGTGGGAAAATGTACTTTTGTTCTGACGAGACGAAAATAAACAGAGTATGTTCTGATGGAAAACGATATGTACGATGTCCCCCGAATACAGCATTCAACCATAAGTACACGAAAGTTACATTAAAGCACGGTAGTGGAAATGTGAAAATGGGGGGGTGCTTTTCTGGACATGGTGTTGGTTCATCATTACTTTAATAAATCCTGTTTTTTTTTTTGGGAAAAAACCTCAACTTGTTTAGGTTTATATTAAAATTTAAGGTTAGGTTAGGTTGATTTTATGATAAAAATAAATCTGTCTAAGTCTTTGATCAAAAAAACTGTATTTTCTCGGGTTTATGATAATATAATGTAGTAATTTTGTCTTCTTCTGGTTCTTGGTCAAAAACCTAGGCTTTTGATCAAGAACCGAAAGAACTTTCTTAATCAAACGCCTTAGTCAAAAGTTTTATCACAAACTTGCGACATACATATGTAAAATATAGAAATTTAAGAGAAATATACAACAACAATAAATCATTTCAAATTATTTATGTCACATAAACGAACTAATTAGAGAGAAATAATACGACATTACAAAATATTACTAGTACTATACTATAAGTAGAACACAGATTACAAATAGATTTTTCGTTCGTTTTTTAAATTATTCTATGACTATTCACACATATGGGTAACAGATTGGGAGATGGGCAGCAGCGTCTTCCTAATAAACGAATAAAATTTAAAAACTACGGTTCTCTACCTGCTTATCAAGCTTAGCAACTTTAGCAAATATACCCTCTACGAGGTAATATATGCGGGAGGACCATGTTCAGCAGCTGTCCTTAATACGCTGTAACCTTAGAGCATACATTACACGGAGGGAGCACTGTGTGAGCAGAAAGCGTGATCGGTGCTCTAAGGTTTAGGTAGAGTCTGTCTCTCTCGCACATGCTTCTGATTGGCTGTAATGTAAATCTCGTCACCTTGCTTAGCGCATGCCCAATGAAACAGCCAATGACAGTGACTGTGCGAGAGAGACAGACTCTACCTAAACTCAGTCTCTCTCTCTCTACGCCGATCACGCTTTCTGCTCACACAGTGCTCCCTCCATGTAATGTATATGCTCTAAGGCTGTAACGGTGAACGGTATTTACTTGTTCAAACTTAGCTAACATTTTAAAATAATTCTTTACAACAACAATGTGGTCCCAGTAAAGCCGGATAAAATCTGAAAGCAATCTACTCCTAGATTATGTCTAGCACCATACCTTAAATAGATATTCCTTAATACCCTCTCTTTGTAGTAAGATTTTATTCTAGCATTTTCTTTCATCATCACCTTTTAATATTTTCCGTCGCGTGCTAGAGTCCATAAATTTATTTTGATTTGTAAGATAATATAGCTATAGATTTTAAAACCCCGAACAAGGAAAGCCTATAATGCTGTGTTAAAGCGGTGATTATTTTCTTGCTATAGGAAAATGAGCACTTACCTCCTACACACGTAGCGCAGTCAACAATGGACGACACGTCTCTGGAAGGAAATATTTTAAAAGGAAATACAACTACACCACTGCCTATGTGAGTAAAATTTAATTAGCATGATAATTAGATATCTACTTACGCATCTTAGCTAAAGAAAATCACAAACTACAATTTAATCCTCATATTAAAGCAAAAGATATACTTCAAACTCTGAAAACGTGACTGTACAACCAGTGCGTGTTGCCAGTAATGACTTACGGATCTGAGACGTGGTCCTTCACTGCTGGCCGTATGAGGACGCTCAAGGTCGTTCAGCGAGCTATGGAGAGGGCTATGCTCGGAGTTTCTCTGCGTGATAAACTCGAAAATGAGCATATTTGCAGTAGAACCAGAGTGACCGACGTAGCCCAACGGATTAGTAAGCTGAAGTGGCAATGGGCCGGCCATATAGCTCGAAGAACCAATAACCGATGGGGAAGAAAGGCTCTCGAGTGGCATCCTCGTACCGGACAGGCGTAGTGTAGAGCGACCCCCCACTAGATGGAGTGACGACCTGGTAAGACATGCAGGAAGTCGATGGATGCAGGTGGCTCAGGACCGTAATACGTGGCATTACTTGGGGGAGGCCTATGTTCAGCAGTGGACTTGTGAAGGGCTGTAATGATGATGATGATGATGATGATTAAAGGAAAAGTAAAGTTGCAGCATATTTGAATACGACTAACTACAAGTAAAGGCCTCTTTATTTTGGAGGTTAAAATCTGCACACGTTCAGAATAGGATGCGAACTTTTGGAACTGAGACAGCTGCCTACCTGCCTTGATTTTGTATAGTATAAATATATTTTTCTTTATATATGATGTCATTGTGTGTACAATAATGAGTCGAAAGAAGAGTAAAATTTTGAAAAGACAATGACGCGAAATAATTCTGACAGTTAACAGATATTTCGAACTAAAAATTAGTCAGTCTTTAGTCTTACTTTACGTGGCAAAGCCATGCTACAGCCATAAATTGGTTGTATCACAAACATGTCGGCTCGACATCGGCGTAAAACACCAGCTTAATGCTGTTGTGGTTCGTATGGTGGGCGAAGAAAACCTAAGAACCTTTTTATTGGAATATGAGGCATTCCATCTAACTAAGTCCTCAAGGGCAACTCATTTGTATTTTTATTTTTGATGAAGGGTATATATAGAGCTTAGTGTCACGGCAACCACTTACCATCTGGTGGACTGTGTGCACGTCTATCACCCTTATTCTATAAAAAATGTCTTCTATCGCATTGAAAATAGTGATACAATTGGCTAAGGAATCTAAAGAATTAAGACATTGTGTTATTTAGAGTTCTTTTGGCGAAGTGTATATTGTTGCTGACATGCTGATGATGGATCACTCATGACTCATGGAGCGAATACGAGTGACATTGAGGAATTAGAACGACTTTTTTGAATAAATAATTACAAAAATGAGTTAAAGAATTTTTGAGTATTTTCGTAATGAAAAATAATACAAAAAAGTTAGTGGGAAATAGATGCATATTTCACTCTGGGACTGCCATTTTCAATTCACTTCGACAAGGTTTCATCCCATTTATCGCGCGCAGGTTAATCCCAGAATACGTTATTAATTGTCTTTATGTATTTCTCTCAGGATATCACTAACATTCCAACCGCGGGAATCAAACAGGGGCCCCTTTGACTCGCTACACGACGAACTAAATTTCGATCCGAAAGTGCTTAACCCCATGACCACGTCCATGTACATAATGAACAACTTGAAGAGTACCCTGCCTAGCCCGTTCAGTGGGAAGAAGATGGCGCATCAGAGTATAACGAAACAAGAGGACAGTCAGCAAGGTTTGAATTGTTAATGATTTATTTATATTATTAAAAATATCAATGATTTTTTTATTAATACAGTTCCCTGCTTTTATTGTCTTAATAGCCGATTCACACTTAAAATTTAAATAAAATTAATACTGACTTCGCTACTATCTAATTTTACCTGTGGAATGATTAGTTAAAATAACTGTCCGAACGCGTATTTATATATTTTTTTTTTTTTATATATATATGTATATATATATTATATATATATATATATGTATATATCTTACGTGCCCCCTATTTGCTTGTTTCGAAATGTGTTTATTTTCAATGTGCTCATCTCAATCAGTGCTCATTAGCGGTGGGCAGTAGCGGCTTTTATGAGTAACGAAACGAAACTATCTATCGAATATCAATAGCGGCTTTTGAAACACTCTATTTTAATACCGTAGCCGTGCCGTACCGTAGCCGTAGCCGTCGTCGATGCGTCGCGTAAATAGCCAAATAAACGTTTTGTTACTGATCGCTCGTTCGTGATTCGTGAAACGTGAATCTTGTTACTTAGTAAAACATCTACTGTAATAGATAGTTTCGTTGCACTGCTATAACCCGCTACCCGCTATTGTGTGAATAGATAGTTTCAGTAACTAGTTACGTTATGTAACGACCACTCCTAGTGCTCATTTGTGCGCGGTGACAGCCAGATGTTTCACGTTGTAACAAGCGCGCTGATTTCGCCAAAAATAAAAACTCAGGATGCCATTATGTGCCTTTCGAAAGTACAATAATAGTTCTAGAAACATAAATAAAGCCCAAGGTGTAACATTTCATTACACTCGTAAGTATCTATATTTTATTAAATATTGAATTTATTTTATTCCGATGTCAGAAAATACCAAGAAGTAATTACGGGCAAAGGGAAATTGTGCGACAGAGAATGCAGTATACACAATTTCCGTAAGACAATAAGAGATGACACTATCGTCTCAGTACTCTTCTAATAACCAATCTGACTGTATTGCGCACGCATTAGTGTGCGCGCGTCAGCGTCTTGCAAACGCACACATTCAAAAATAATGCCAACAGTTTTTCAAGGTGCAACTAGCTTTAATAGCTATAGCTGTTATTTATAACTAGAGAATTTAAATATTTAACAGAATATTGTAAAAGTGCTGCTAGAAGTTGTATTAAAATGGTTCACTGCACAATCCTCCTTTGGATTCTGTCATCCAGGGGCCCAAGTTAAACAGTGCCCGAAAGGAAATATTGACCAGAAGAAGCCTCGTAATTTTACAGTTTTTATTAACTTGACCACCACTAACTTATTGTTCATAACTAAAAAAACTGCACCTTTGTAGCAAAATAAATTCCTCCTGAAGAGACTTGTACTGTCTAGAGAATTTATGTTTAATGGCGTCCTAGGCCCAGCCCGATATGTAGGAAGGTAGTTAAAATGTAGATTAAACAGTAAAAGGCTATTAGAATAGAATAAATTCATTTTTATTTAATATTATGTAACGTCATTTGCATTTGCCAGTACACTGGGTTCTATTTCGGAACACAAGCATGATTTCTGGCTAGCTATAGAGGCGCCGCCGCACGTGCAACGGCGCAGGCGCCATAATAAAAGTAGCCTTGTGGGTCTAAGCCTAAATCCGCTGCTACTGTAATTTAAATTTAAATTGTTGAACTAGAGTGTATTGAATACTATTTGAATTGTTGGCAAGTAGGATTCATGTTTTCTGCTCCGTGGTTTTTCACTGAGGAGAAAGTATTCAGCAGAGTCTTAGTTAAATTAACGCATTAACTAACATATTGTTATCATATGACGACTCCGTGGCGCAGAGGCTTAGCAATGAGTAGCTGCGCTGGGGGTCGCGGGTTCGAATCCCGCACGGAACAAGTATTTGTATCTCCTAAATATAGTTGTTCCGGGTCTGGATGTTTGTCCTTGTGCAATTTATGTTTGTAAAATGCCCCCACGATACAAGAGAAAATCTTAGTGTAGGGGTAATGTTCATTAAAAAAGATAATAATAAGATAATAATAATATAGATATTGAAATATGTTCAATTGGGTGTCTACTCACCATTTATTTCTTATTCTTTAACATTTTTTAATATCATTTATTTCAGTCCAAGAAGAAGACCTAATCGTGCCAGGCACGGAGGAAGAAATGGCTGAATTCACAAACAGTTCCGTTGAAAACTCATCTATACACCTTGATTTCAACTTGCCGATACTCAGTTTGCAGCTCGAGTATGTCTTCATTTATATTATGTTTTATGTATCACCATTACTTCATTGTATATAAAATGTTCCAGATTCCAAAGCCATTTTCTAAAGTTAAATTGAAAAATTGCCAAATTCAATAATGGGAATCTTTAGATACCAAAAATGTCAAGTATTTTTTATCAGAACTCTATATCTAGTTGGGCCATAAGTCTCTTTTAAATTGCAAGGATGTACCGTTATTTCGGATCGACAATTATATTGTTAGAGGTTTCACACGTATAAAGCAATCTTGTTTTATGGATTACTATTTGACAAATATTTGATTTTGGTAGTTGTGGTAGCTCAAATGGTTAGCGCTCGCTGTAAATTTCACAGTACACGAGCAACCCGGGTTCGATCCCCGCTGACACCAATGTTATTGTTAATTGCAATTTTAAGTGCTGATAAAGGAAAACATCACGAAGAAGCCTGCTTGAAAAGTTCGCCAACACGCATAGGGGCAGCGTGGTGGACATATCCTTGCTCTAAAATCCTCTCAGAAATATGAGGAGGCCTGTGCCTATATAGGCGGTAACTTTAATTTTACTTTATATGACTTTTTAGCCATTAATTTACTAGCGTACCAGTGCAGTACTCTTTTCTGATTGAAATTGAAAATTGAAGTCATAGTGAACTTTGTTACTTTATTACGCTTTGTTATTTCATTATTTTTGTTCTAGATCTAAACAACTATATGAGATAATTTACAATAGGATAAACTCAGACCTTTTACTTTGGGAGCCACAAATAGTAGACCAGTTTGAGATTAGTCCGCACATCTGTGGAACCATCTACCCCGCCTTTGGTATGTGCAAAGGCGCCGGATATGGTAAGCACAATAAAGCGAGTCTCAGACTATGCAGATACGATAATATATTATCTGCGTGTGAAATTATCTGAAAGCATCACACACTACGCAGATACGATAATATACCAAATGATACATTCACTCGAAATCCTTTAAACTTACTGGACGTGGTTTTGGAGCGAATTGTTTATATAGACAACTACCTACAATGAGTTGGCGTTTTGCTTCTAGATTTACTAGAGAGCTCGTCAGAATAGGATTCAGATTTTGATTTTGATGCACGTGCTGCATTAGCATTTACTAAAAAGCGAAAAACTTGGATAGACCTCATATAAAGAGGACCGAGGCGGATTTAATAGCATTTTTTCAGTGACCACCAGTATTTATCTGCAGGTTAAATCTTATGTTATATTTTTATTTGCAGATGCTATTTGCAGCTTGCATAGAGCCGTGGTAGCTCAGATGGTTAACGCTCGCTGTAAATATAACAGAACGCGAGTAACCCGGGTTTGATCCCCGACGGCACCAATGAAATTGTTAATTGCAATTTTAAGTGCTGATTTACCACGTGCTCGGCGGTGAAGGAAAACATCCTGAGGAAACCTGCATATCTGAAGAATAATAAAAAAATTTATTATAAGACACGTGAAGTTCGCCAACACGCATTGGCGCAGCGCGGCGAACACTTCCTTGCCCTTAAACTCTCTCAGAAATGAGGGGACGCCTGTGCCCAGCAGTTGGACGTATATAGGCTGTAACTTTACTTTTACTTTATGCTATTTGCAGATACATTTGTATGAGCAGATAATATTATCACTATCTTTCGATATATGTCGGTGCTTACACATACTTAACAATAGAATAGAAATTATCAGCGCTGTGTGTGTTAGTTCGTTAAATATCATAGAGAGCGATATTGAAAAATATGTGCTCAGATATCTTATCGTATCTGCGTAGTCAGTGACACGCTTAAGTTTAGATTATTATAAAAGATTTCAATACAAAACCTTACATGTCCTTTTTCATACGAATTAATCTAGGTATAAAAGTTTTATTTTGAATAATTAGAAAAGTAACTGAATATACAAGCCGTTCTAAGCCCTTAATGTTACTTAACAATCTATTTTCTTTTACATATCTATTATATATAAAAAAGTTAAAAAAAAACACTATTGATATTTTTTTACAATTAAAATTACTTCCACAGACTCAGACACGGACAGTTCATCTTCGGAAGAAGACAATCTTTATTACTCTACCTACGACAATAAACTCAAAAAGGGTATTGGCAACACCAAACCGTTGCCTGAAAACAAAGAAAGCGAGAGTCACAACTTCTGTTTGACTCTTAAAATCGGGAAAGGGTTGCTGACTATCTTCGCTCCTGTACGGGTATGTCTTAAAATATTAATTCTTTATTTATTTCTGATTCACTATTTTTATCAAAAGAAAATCAAAGATCTAAATTAGGAGCGAATTAGACAAAAGAGTGCTTAAGGCTAAAAAATTTTCTAAAAAAAAAACAATATACTTTATTTTCTCCCGTATCATAGAGGCAGAGGCATACGTAAATTGCACATAGACAAACATCTAGACCTGTCTGCCAAATACGGCAACTATTTCATGTATGCCCCATCGGTGGTCTTGTTCTTCAACAAAGGCAACAATGCTTTGTTGAAGAACTTCAGACCTATTTTCCATCTGAGTCACGTCTACGTGGTGTTTTCGAGAGTCATCGGACGCAGACTTGACGACTTCCCGAACAAGCCAGTTTTCGAACAGGTTTTAGTACCATATACCACATACCCTTTAGCAAATTGTACAGTAGATCGGAGAGTCATTTACCATTGACCGGAGAGTTAGTCATTTGTGCTAACATCTTGATTCTTACTTGTGTATATTCTAGTACAAGTTTTTCAATAATTTTCACACTTCTGTAGGCGCTGTACTTGTCCCACCCGGGCGGGGGTCATCTTCGATGCTTTCTCTAACTTTTTTCAATTCACTTGAGCACTTCTGTACGGTTGACATTGAAGAAGAAGAGTGTTGGTAAACGGTCACCTTTTCTTCATGAATGTTTTTTTTAATTTTCCTTGTTTGGTTGGGAATTTAATCACCGCACCGATTTTTTCAATATTGTCGAGTCAGTTATTCCCGTCGTCTATGACTGAAGGTTACATAAGAAGTTATCAAAACGAAATTTCATATTTATAACCCCAGGTAGTGCCGTCAGCTAATGATTTTTTTTAATTAACCACATAGTTAATCATCCTAATACCGAGAACACATCGAACGCCTCTCATATATACACAAAACAATGGAGTTGGGCAAAGTGTATCATTATTGCGATTGGAACATTTGCATCTCGATCACTGAAATATTACGAAACACTGATATGTTTCATTTGGCTTATTTGCATCATCGACTCAAAAGATATAAAATACAGAATGTTACGAATAGGTACTTTAAGTTGCGTCGCGGTCGTTTATTACCGACTGATTCAGTAAAAGAAAGGGGAATGAAAGTGAACGCAAGTAAGACGAAAGTGATGGTATTTGGAAGAGAAGAAAGCAAAACGGTATGTGAAATAAAAATAGAAGGAGAGTTAATTGAACAAGTGGATGAGTTGGTGTATTTGGGATGTGTATTTAGCACGACGAGATAGTAGAACGACGAGTAAATGCAGGAAATAGAGTGAATGGGTCACTACACTCTATTATGAAGAATCAGAACGTGTCAAAAAAGGCACGTATGGTAATTCGTAATGCTGTGTTAGTCCCTACTTTAATGTATGGTAGCGAAAGCTGGGTGTCGCAGAAGAAGCACGAAAGTACAATAAATGCTGTAGAGATGCGATCTTTAAGAAGTATGCTAGGGTTGAATCTGAATGACAGGGTGAGAAATTGCGTGATAAGAGATAAATGTGGTATGCAAGATGATGTTGTGACCAGGATTAAGAAAGGAATGCTTCGGTGGTTTGGTCATATAGAAAGAATGAATGACGAAAGAATGACAAAGCAAATTTATATGGCAGATGTAAACGGCAGAGTCGGGAAGGGACGCCCTAGAAGAAAGTTTATCGACCAAATTGGCGATATTTTGAAAATGGGCACGTTAGAAGTACCCTTAACCGACGAGCATGTATGCGTAGATATATGGATGTAAAGGAGGCGAAAGAGGTATGTCAGGATCGTGCCAAATGGAAGTCCGTAGTCTGCCTTGGTGCCTTGTTTATGTTATGTATTCGTTTTATGTGGCAACAATGCTGAATGATATAAGTGCTTAGGTTATTTTTATTAGATATTATATAGGTATTGTTATTTATTGTGTATTGTAATAAGGTTGTACCTATATAAAATCGATTCTCCTTCATACTTTATCCAGGCTTAGGACTGGCAGCTAGTTCCTAATTTATGGCCAGCTGGCGTACCTTTTATTTATGATGAAAAGGAAGAAAGTAAGTCACAATAATCACTACGCAAAGAAATCCTAAACAGAACTCAGTATGTTGACGTAAACAGGCGCGAATGAACATAAACAATTTGACAAGTGCCGGATCAGCGTAAAATGATAACAATATTATATGCAAAAAATGACCGTATAGTATTTGAAACGTAAGCGCCTTAGTGATCTTTTTTACGTGCATGAATAACTACAGTAGAAATCCGAACTAGTTGAGTGATACAATTCTCATTTGTTCACTCTCTCTGACTTGTATAGATTGTAATTATTTCGCCCGCATCGCGAGTGACGCGTCGCGTGAAATGAGCACAGAGCAAAGTAATGTTTCAGATCCAAATGATGCATTTGAAAAGTTGTTACTTAACCAATGTTTTGAATCACTTGAGTGATTCGGATCAGTGAGTCGGTTCCGTAAAGAGTTACACACATCAGTAAGCTGAAGCGGCAGTGGGCTAGCTCGAAGAACTGCCAAACTACATTGAAGAAAGGTTCTCGGTACGAGGTTGGCAGCCTCGTACCGGGAAGCTACTGTAGACAATTTATCTCGCTAAACAACAAAAAATTACATTAACAGACAAAAGCTCATACAAGGTACAATCGTCTTTTTGTTAACAGGACTCCAATAAACGCGTGGTCCCTGGGCAAATGGGAGAACTTGTCTTGGAAGCACACAAGTTGAGCATGTGCCAAGTGAGTGGCCTTAATGGACGCGCAAAAACTGCTCAACTGTGTCTTAGATCCGGAAAAATGACGCTATACCATGAACGTAAGTAATATTTATTTTTGAGTAATATTTATTTATTTATTACTGTGAAAAGCATAAAAGCAGGTAAGGCAGCTGGATATGTTAGAGTATCACTCGAGATGCTAAGGGCTGGAGAATGAGTGGTGGCAGGCCTGCTGTACACCTTGTTTAATTTATGTTGGGAATTTTACATCCAAATCATAAAACTTGTAATATACAATCTTATGGTATTAAATAAAGTGAAAATGTCAGTACTAAATTCACCTTATGTAACAATTTTAAGAGGGCAAAGAATTATCGACCATGAAATATTTTCAATATTATAAAACTTTGAACCTAAGGTTTTAATACGTCGCGTTATAATAAAGTTGGACACATCGAGTCTTAGAAAAAGACTTTTGGGTACAATCGCTTCGGCTTCGTAAAGGGTTGTACCACTGACCTCTATATATACAAGTACGCTGGACTGGCTATACCATACAAAATGACTGTGCCAATTTGAAGCGCCGCTAAAGGATGTCTTGAAAAATAAAATTGACGTAATATGCCAAAGTCTGTTGTCCTATTTATATTGTCTTATTTCATAAGTCTTTATTTCGAACTTTTAAACTAAAAAACGAAAGTATTTTGTTGTTTGATTGTGTATAATATTAGTTACATAATAAGAATTATTTTTATTAATAATGAGAGTGTGCGTAATCTGTAAAACTCGTTACCTAAAGGAAAGTGGTATAACATTTCACAAGTAAGAATTTGCAGCTAATATTTGCTGTCAACAAATTAAAACTATTTGATAATATAAGTACTTAAAAATTTGTTACTAATCTTAATATCATATATACCAACATGTTTGGGTGTATATTACTGAGTTTTGATAAACAATAAAATTAAATAGGGTTGTCGAGTTCCTTGTCTATAATACTTATCGATGTTCTTTCCTACCCATATGTGTTAACAAAAAAACTCGCCAACAACGGATGATTATCAAATGTTTATTAAGTAATTAAAAAATTAAATTAAATATCAAAGGTTTCCAACTGAACCTAGACTAAAATTATGGTTTAAAAGCATAAATATTGTGTATTGGCGTCCGAAACAAAATGATCAAGTTTGGAACAAATAGATTATTATTTCGAATGTTTTTTATTTCTTATTTTCTCATTTTCCACCAAACTCAAGGGCCATAGCCAAGTGTCGAAAAATCGCCTGATCATGTCGAGCCACGTTGGATGTGTGTTAGTGGGCTGCGGCTAGAGGAGATTCCTCTCCCTGGACCGCTGTAGTCGAGGTGGAGTCGTAAGGGAATAGGAGTGTTGGTATGGCGATTGGCGATGCACCAGTTGACTATCTTTCGCGACTTTGGTGAGGCTGCACCACTTGATGCTTCCAAGTGCTCGTTTTTCCCTGGCTCCATTCTCATATCGGGCTCGGGAAGTTCGTAATACAGCTCGTATCTCTATAAATATTTCCTCGGTTTAAGATCTTTGTAGAATATTTAGAGACGATACCAGGAGACCCAACAGTATGGGTTTGGTTGCTTGAGAGAGAGAGAGATAAAGCTTTAGTGTGGGATACTACTTGCGAACACATCTCAGGGGTACCACGTCTAAACCAGGGGTGGCATTAGAGGCAACTGAACTAAGTAAATAGCCCAGAGTATCTGGAAGATAAGTACATATGTGTGTGTGTACAAGTGCAATTTGCTGTAGAGACTATTGGTCCGTAGGGTGCACGTGCGGTGTAGTTCCTAAAAAACTGTATCTGCGACTGATCATCGCTGCTGATAATAAGAAGTTGTTTAGTTTGTTGTTTCCTCGCTTGAAGGCTAAGTATAGCCATTCCGTGAGGAGTGAGGACACGTAGCCAGCATTCTTGGGACGATACCACAGAAAGTAGGACTTTATGATAATTTCAGTTATTTTTTTTTATATTGTAATTTTAATTTCGAAAATGACGTTGTTAATAACTGATAACTATGTAATTCAAAGTTTGTATTTTTTATATTATCTTGCTAACTCGTACCCGGCTGCCATAGCTGCCGCAGTAGAAATAATTGTGGAAATATCGTTAAAATGTGGAACAGTTATATTGTATAATTAGGAATGAAAATAAAATCATTGAATTAGAATGATATATAACTTTCTATAACTTTCAAATAAATAGTCGGTATAATACGCACGCCATCTAGTGTCAGTTATTTGTACCATGCGTATAATCTTCGCACAAGTGCAACCAATAAGTTGACTAAATTTGACAGCAATCTGATGAACGGTATGGCATCGTAGAAAGTACGAACAAACATAAATTTTTAAATAGTAGAAAATATTTTACTGTCTATAGACAAACCTGTAGTTGATTATAATAGGCGTTATTACAGCAGCTGATTTGTTTTTTATAATACCAGAACTAAATGAACGGTTGACAATAAATTATTTTAGAAATTATGTTTTTATTTTTATTTTGTGTAGTTAGTTTAATCTTAATAATTTATAGTTGAATGGTCTAAGGGCTACAATGGCTATCCGAGTACAGAACCAGAGTACAAAACTAGTCCAACTGTAGAGATGTGTAAGACAGGGTGTCGTAATATCCCCGAAATACTTTACCGCTGCATTGGAAGACGTTTTCAAGATACTGGACTGAAAAGGAAACGATATCAACGTCAATGGCGTGTACGTCACTCACCTTCGTTTTGCCGACAATATAGCCATTAATGCAGAATCGCTGGAGGACCTACGCACTATGTTCAATGACCTCAATCGTGTCTCCCAACGGATAGATCTTAAGATGAACATGGACAAAACAAAAGTCACGTGTAATGTCCATGTCACACATATGCCGGTGGTTTTTTGAGCATTTAGCTGAAGTTGTTGACGAGTATTTTTACTTGGGACAAATAGTCCGACTAGGTAAGTTCAAATTCGACCGACAGATCAATCGACGGATTCAACTCGGCTGGGCAGCGTTCGGGAGATTAGATTAGAGAACACATCTTCTCGTCAGGAATACCTCAAAACTAGATTATACAACCAGTGCGTGTTGCCAGTGATGACCTCGATGACGTATGAGGAAGCTCGAAGTCACTCAGCGAGCTATATCAGGGGTTTAAACTTAGGAATGAAGATATCTGCAGCAGAACCAGAGTGACGGACACCGCCCAATGGATTAGTAAGCTGAAGTGGCAATTCACCGGCCATATAGCTCGAAGAACCGAATACCGATAGGGAAAAAGGTTCGAGTGGCAGCCTCGTACCGGCAGGTGAAATGTAGGACGTTCCCCCACTAGATAGAGTCAAAAACTCGTAAGACATGCAAGAAGTTGGATGCAGATAGCTCAGGACCATGCTTTGTGGCATTCCTTGGGGGAGGCCTATGTTCAGCAGTGGACTTGTGAAGGGTTTTAATGATGATGAATGATAATGGCATTATATTAATATGATACATAAATGGAATGGACGTTACGGGTAGAGTCCATCTATCCATAGAGTCCATTCTATTTATTTAGATATAGGTAGGGTATAGAATTTTTATCGATATAATTTGGTACACTGTCTTATCCCTATTATTAGTTCCGTGGACGTGCACTTCTGCTGTCAACGCCAAAATGGCGGAAATCAAATCGCTTCAGCATGTCACGTGTATAGCCAGTCCAGCGTACTTGTATATATAGAGGTCAGTGGTTGTAACTGACATTCATTACCACCCAATGTCGTTTTGTTGATGGTTTGTCGTTTGTTTTACGAGTTTCAATATATAATATAGAGTTGTATATCTATTGATTGTAATGCTGTAGGATTTTATATATTCGCAGAAAATGTTATTGTCTTACAATTCTTATTAGATAATATACACCACAAAAAGAGTTCGTAATCTCTCTAAAACAGTGGTTCGTACAGTGGTATATAGGTAACAGTGGTAGTCTTCTCACCCCTATGACTTAGCTAAGGAATCTAATTTTCAATTTCCACATCCGGCTGTTTTTCCGACACGTAATTATTGCACAAACTGGTTTTTTTTAAAATAAATTGCACCCATAAACAAACATTGGGCAACGGCTTTGACGTCAAAAGTGATGTGTTGACATTTATGGGTGTGAATTGACATTAGAGATGGACCGAATATTCGTTTCATATTCGGTATTCGGCAATTCGGCACCTTTACCGAATTTTAGACTAAATCACCGAACATTCGTCAGAGTGGTACTTAAAGTGTCCACTGGTGACGCTACAGGTTGCCCCTTCTAATCCGACTCGGAGGAACCACAAAATGGTGGAGCGGTGGGGGTTCCGAATGAAGGGTCACAAAATGGTGACCCGAATGAAGGCCACAGAGGTGCTATCATATTTAATATCTAGCTCCAACTGCTCGGCGCCGGCGCACGTCGACAACTCTGGTTGACCAGTGACCAGTTGACTCTTTGGACGCGCGAAATGACGCCACCATGTCTAGCCTTCTATTTGACATGTAGAGGAAGGAAATTTTACCAGCTAATATAGTCAACTAAATGTGCGTTTTGGCGCAACCATCCACTGTATTGAAATGTACAAATTGGGTAATGCCATGTTTTACTGTTGAAACTTAAAAGTATATTTTTTAAGGGTTAAATCGACTTGTAAAGCGTTATGTTTTTAAGGCACTATAGATTTATTTCTAATTATAGCAAATAGAAAGCTTGATGAAATGTTCTTGGGATCAGACAAAGAAACATTACATTACATATTATATTTCACTTTACTTTGGTCGTCAGTTTCTCTAAAATAAGTCCGAAATGTAGATCTTCTGCCTACAACATAAGCAAGTGCTGGCAATTTGCTCAGTACTAGATGATGCAATAACATGCCAGGTATGGCGGGGCAGGGTCCGGCGTTAACCCGCGCTTTACAGTAACAAGTTGCGACATTAATTGGTTAGGCACCGAGGTGATCCTGCCGAATAACTTTCGGTTTGGTAAAAGTTTTACCGAAATTTTGGCCGAATATTCGTATTCTGTGAAATCCATATTCGACCCGTCTCTAATTGACATGTTAGTGGCTACACCGCCTACTTCCCCGATCTATATGTATATAGTATTCCATGGTTTTGTTAGTATAAATAAAAATTCCGCTTGCAGCTGTCCTCAGTATACCATCAGAGAAGCCTCCTCTACGCCTGTACGGTACAACTTTGCCGTTATATTTGAAGAGCACTATATTTCCATCAAGCAAGGGTGTAATCATAAAAGAGCGTCTCCAAGCTAAAGATATGTTTTCCTTAGCACTCAAGACTGAACCTGACAATGAGACACCTAATTTGAAGGTAAGGGAGTGATGAAATCAATTAATTCAATCTTGATACTTTATGAATAAAACAAAAGCGAGAGCTATTTATAAAAATGTTTATTACTTGTATATATTGTTATCCTTAATTAATAATCAAAAATCAGATGCATACATGATGCACTTACCATTTGCATGTGTAACAGAGTAGTATTTTGTCCCGGTCGAGCCGACCCATTAGTGCTGCAGCATTGCTCTACCAAGTAAAAACCTAGTAAATGTAAAATAAAAACGTAATTATTCCAGACGATATGTATAGCGATGGGTATAGAACAAGCAACGTTGCGTCACCGTGGCGACAAAGGCATTGCTTGGCTGACCCAACTCATGGATGTCTTGGATGTGCTGGACTACCCAGTACCTGGCTACACGCCTTCTATAGTGCTGTCGGAGTTGCATGTTCACGTGTGGGATTGCGCAGTCGATTACAGGTAGGCCATCTTACCATCTATAAATGCTTGCTTGTTGTAGATGTTTGATAATAAAACATTCTGTATAATGGAATTATCACATGTCTTAACTTGTATTTATACGGTATATTAAGAATTATGCTACAATAGTTCTTCAGGTTTAGCCAAGTTGACTATAAGTTGTAAGATGAAATCAACTTAGTTAACGTAACCTTAACTCCCTGACTTAACGTTGATATATTATGTCTTATAACCTACTGGCCAACTTGCATCCATACACTGCCGATTTGCACGTAATCTAGGTATTGAAGACCTTGACAAACTTCGTCATGCTCGCTTAAAGATCTCTGCTTACGGCGGCATTGTATGACGTTCAATTTGTAGGTCGTTCACTTCTCTATAATATGATCGAGGAGGGAGATAGCTGCCACATGCGTCGTCTTGCGAACGGGAGCTGCTTGCGGGGCCTGGTCTACTCGCGTTTTCTGTACACTGATATGCTTCCAATTGTTAATCATCTTTTTTTAAGTATATTATAGAACACTCTTAAGTTACTGATAGTTCTTTTATCGTTTTCCATTCTGTATACTATGAAATATTAACTTTAAAAAATTACAAACAGTGTAAAATTAATTTTTGTACAACCGACTTCATATAAATAAAATGAGAACATCATCAATGTATTTTAAGTCAATTAAATACGCATTATTAAGGATAACTCAAAAACTACTGGTCAGATCTTGATCAAATTTTATGGGATTATATGGACCATACGAGTAGCATCAGCTTTCAAATAAAAAAGGATCTTCAATATCGTTTCGTCTAGAAAAAAGTTCTGAGGTAACACACATACAGCCGCATTGCATACCTCCTCATATTTGAAGTCGGGTAAAAGAGGATACTTGCTTTTTACTTTCGTTCTTCGGTTCTTTTCCGGCCAATAACACTTGAAGAACGAAATTTTATTTTCTGACGTCGAAGAATTAAATATATTTTATTTTATTTCTAACCAAACGATCTGAAATTATTTATCCTCGACGCCTTACGATACCCATAGAAACAGAAATAGTGATGGATTGCTTTACATGTTGCGATATTTTTTATACATATCTTCCAATTCATTACGTTAGAAGTGACTTACTAAGACATCCATCAATATTTTTGTCGGGTATCGGCTACGTCTAAGACACAGAATTTGTTCATTACAATAATATATAACATTTATTATTCCATTGCAGACCACTCTATTTGCCAATACGTACAGTTTTAACGCTCGGCAACTTCAGCGTGTCCAGCAACTTGATACCGGAGACGAATACATCATACCTCCGCTTCTTAGCGCAGGAGTGCACTTTGTTCCTGTCCCATTTGACGGGCAGCAAGGCGAACACGACCGTGCCACAAGACGACGACAAGGCCCCCGACATAAAGAGGGACTATGTTTGCGTTATCGATGTTGGACTCTTTGAGTTGTCACTCAGAACAGAGGACAAATCCAATGGTGTGAGTGTTTTATTTGTAAATTGGTGTAAGTTAAGTTTGTAGTTAATTTAAAAAAATATATTAGCCGTGTGTTAATTACTATTTAAGCAAAATAATCATGCCCACTTTACATACATTGATTGACCTGTCACTTGATTCGTTTAACAGGTCGCGTCTACCTGCCACTAGTGTTGTATAAAAACAATTATTGTTTATAATAACATGATAACTTATCATCTTTTCATTCAGAGGCCAGGAATAAATGATATTAAGTAAATAAGTTTTTGAGGTTATAACACCTGTCAGATAAGGTCTGTACAATTATTTTTCTTTTCATACTGTGGTATAAAACCATTAAAAAATGCTACCTAATCATAAATTAATAAGCTATAAAAACAATAGGTTATTGTGAACGTTCATAAACCACATGACGAATGAACAAGTTTTTCGTAGTCTGAAACGGAACGCGTAAAAGACGTTTTTTTTTATATATTTTGGCAAGGTTTCTGGGCTTTTGAGCCATTGTAAAACACGTTTCGTCTCCAAAAGTCTATTGAGAATGATAAACATTGTAAAATTACTTTTTTCCTGGCTTTATTTAAAAATTTAATTATGTTCGATATCGCATAATTAAATTTTTAATTTAATAAGCAAAAAATATATGCAATTTTATAAGATATTTTACATTAGTGGACGCGTTAGATAATTTTCAGGTCAATACTGGACGTAATTCTTTGATAATAAGGAATGCCAGTTTTTGCATCAAAACGGTGAAATAAATCATACTGTAAATGGTCTCTGTGGTGGCCCGCGTCTGTTTTTGCCCTTTCTGTGGGGTGGGGTGGGGTTGTTGTTTCCCCCTTCCCTAAAAAATAAAAAATATCCCTACTTTTTTATACTTCTAAAAAGTGTCTTCTCTTTAAAAGGCTTTATTTCAACATATCGTTTTAGTTGAAATGTGAGTAAATGAAAGAGTTTTATTAATGTGTCAATAAAGGCCCATATCTCTTCCGTTGTAGGCTTTGCCTTAATTATTGGTAAACGGATTAACGATCGCAGTACCAGATGTCACGCATCTTTGACGACGGTCTTCGTCACCTACCTTAATACTTTACGCTTGTTGGGACTCATTTCTTCGCTAGATATATAAAATGAGAGAGATAAAAGTACACTTACATACAATCATATGTTAAAGAAAGTAGAATTGGATTCTATATACCTTGGAACGATATATTGAAATTACGGCGTAAATTCAATATATCGTAAAAAATAATATGGACGTACACTGACACGTTACACTGAAAATGTGTGAAGCACTTTAGGTCCTACTATTTTATTCGTCAAGATACACGCACACAAACACATCAAGGTCTGACAATCTGCGCGAGTATGCGTCAACACTACAGGGTGTGCATTGCATACTGACATCGATTATCATTAGTGTGCGTGTATATATTAACAAACAAAATTGTAGGATCTGGGATGCTTAACAAGGTTTCACGGTAACATTACGTTCATTTTTTTACGTCCATGGTTGAAATATGTTACCGTGTAGTTGCGGTGTAAGAGTAGCTACTGCCCCATATCGTCCCGTGGGTGTCGTAAGGGTGACAGAGGGAAACAAATCAAGAGGTGGGCAGCAGTGTCTTAGTAATAACGACGAAAAATAAAAAACTGCGGATGCCAACCCGCTTGCCAAGCGTGGCAACTATGGAAAATATCCTGCCTACGAGGCAATGTATGGGGGAGGAATTGTTCAGCAGTGGACTTTAATAGACAGTAACGGTAATAGTTGAAATATTGACTTTCAAAGAGGCATACGTCCAGCTGCGGGTTTTTACTTAAGGAGGGTCTGTGTGTAGCAGAGGGGCAGCGAGCAGCCGCGCGTGGAGCTGACGGCGAGCAACAACCAGGTGAGCGTGCACACGTGCTGGGACTCGGCGTCGGCGCTGTGCCGCCTGCTCACGTACGCGGCGAGCGACGGCGACGCCGCGCCGCCGCACGCCTCGCACTCGCCGCGCAGCAGCCTCGCCGACCTCGCGGACGACCGCCTGCTCGGTGAGCACACACTAATCTATGTCTACTACATCACTCTACGTGTGTGGATTGCTGCTCTTTTTTTATAGTGTAGGGTGACAAACCAGCACACAGTCCATCTGACGGTAAGTGTTTTCTGTGGCCTATAGACATCTACAATCTACATCTATCCTCGATTAGGAATCAAAATGCAGATGCATTGTCACCCGTGAGGACTTAGATGGAATGCCTCATTTCCAGTAAACAGGGTCTCCGGTTCTCTACACTCACCATACGAATCATAGCAGCATTAAGCTACTATTTGACGCTGGTATTCTGTGAGAGCGTGGTCCTTCCCCGGTCGAGCCGACACATTCGTGCTACAACTATACTGCTAATATAACTGCAGCATGGCTCTACCACGTAAAACTTGTCTTGTTTTATTGTATAAAAAAGTGGATTTTGATACGTAAAAATGGTAAATATCTGCGCATGTAAACTATTAGTGGGAACGATGAAACAAATGCTCCGACGGTGATGTGAACCTCAAGGTAATGTGTCTGCTCAGGCACCTTGAGATATTGTCGTCATCGACTGTCTGCTGGCTTAAGCTGCCGTTAAAATCTCCCAAATACTTCGCAATACGCATCAACATATTGTGAAGAAGTTTTTGAACAAAAAATTTACAAAAAAGAAGATCCCAAGTGAAATGAAGATATGGCTTAAAGGACAAGCATCCTATCCAGAAATCTTAATTAATAAAAAATCTACTCTATGTCTTATCGTGGTAGAGCCATGCTACAGGCATTATAATTGTAGCACGAATGGCTTAATTCGACCGGGGAAGGACCACCGTCTTACAGAATATCAGCGTAAAATAACAGCTCGCTGCTGTATTTCATGTGGTGAGTTTAGAGATCCGCAGACCCCTTTTTACTGGAAACGAGGCATTCCATGGACAAACCTCAGGGGTCACAACGCATTTTGTTTCTTTACTGAGGATAGATGTTGATTTCCATGGACCACAGTATCCACTTACCATCAGATGGACTGTGTGCTCGTTTGTGACCTTAGTCTACGAAAAAACACACTAAAGACAATACCACGCATACATATTATATACATTCTACAGCCATAATTCCTAGAATAAAAGAGATGTGTCTTTATGAAATTGAAGTAACCAACAAACTCACAGTCCATCTGACAGTAGTGGCACCATAGTAAGACACCTGTAACCAAATTCAATTAAAGAAGTCTATATATGCGTATCAATCACCTCTAAGGACTACAATAAAATGCCTTACTGCCTGCCAATAAACTGGCGCTCTATACCCTTCAAACCGGAACAGAGCAGTGCGTTTACTGCTGTTTGACTACAGATAGGTTAGAGGGTGGTTGGTGGAAAACAGAATATATTACCTAAAGTTTAATTTTTAATAAAAATTGTATAATAATTATTATAAACATTTCAAATTTTATGTATGTTTTTTTTTTAATTTGGTTTAGGTCTGGACGATAGACCAATAGAAGAAATTAGGGAGCTATCCCCAAGTGAAATTCAACAAGTAAATGATCTCATGGCTGAAGCAATGAAAGAAAGCCCTAATAATATGAGTGAGTATTTATAATATTTCATTAATAACTTATAATTTGATCAAATATGGCATTTGTAGAGAAAGTATTTTGAAAATCAAATCATACCATCAAATAGAATTTAGTTTATCTGTTATGTTGGTCACTCACATGTGTAAAATCACGGCAGTGCCCCCGCCAAGTCGAGAAAAAAAGCGGCACGGCCGTACAATACTTTTCTCGAAGCAATTCAGGCCGTTTTCAACCCCCTATATCTTTGTAGTGGATAAAACTAGAAATCTGTAATGTAATCTGTAAAAATCTTTTATGTCTCAAAAAAATAGATTGACTTGGCAATCGCACTAAGGAATCTAATTTAATATAATATGTATTACTTGTGAGATACAATGTGTTTTCATGCGATGGTCGAGAGAGTTAATCTGTATATTTAAAACATAAAAGGTTTTGAACATTGATATGGTCACTATAAGATGTTGTTATGTTAGCTAATTACGTAATAACTTAAAACGGAAGGACCCTTAAGTAGGGACTGAATAAATTAACCGACTTGGTATTACATGGATCTCACAACTTTTTACGGTTGTAGAACTGAGTTGACTTGTTTTTTTACTGATGCAACGGAACTCGGTTTCTGTTTCCGCAACTGCGAAAGTTCTGCATGATTTTTAACATCCGTTTCTGCTTCTGTTTCCGCAAGTTTTATAACGGAATTTTAAACGGAACTCAGCGACACATCCATATAAATAGATTTATTGTATTTTTAGTTAATTAGATGCCAGATGTAAATTATGTGACAAAATATACTCGCGAAAAGGCTGCACAACTACCGCTTTAAAGAGCCATCTTAAACGCCGAAGAGTTTGCAGGGTTTGAGAAGTTAGTTGAAACTGTAAAACTTTCATCCCAAACTAAAAAACAAATGGTCAGTCAAGCATTTGCATAACTATTTATTTATAAAATGTATTCCTATGTTATAGTTACAAGCAGATTTGAGTTAAAACGTGTTTTTTTCGGCTAAAAATAGTTTTTAATAAATGCCTTTGTTACAACTTAGATTTGCAAATTAATTAGGTAGCAGTTACGTTTGCGTGAAGTTTATATTAATTATTTTTAAAGAAACTTTAATGAGTATTTTGGATTCAAAGTTTATTTACGTCAACTTTCGTGCTAGGGCTGTACTAAATTACCTACTCGCTAAACCTAAATGAGGGTTTGCCCAAATTTCAGTGCCTATTTAGCTTTGGTGGTACGCAGCATCGCCAGTGAGCAAATTTATCGGAGCTAGACTTATATATGAAGACCATTGAAACAGATTGTTAGGTGTAAAAGCGGCTGAACTACTTTTCATAAAATATAACTTACCGCTACTTAATTTTGAATGTACATTTGTAATTTTTTTTGACAAGTATTATTTCCGTTTCCGTATCTGTTTCTGTTTCCGTTTCTGCAAAAAATATTTTTAACATCTGTTTCCGTTTCTGCTTCCGATATGACACTTCTGTTGCATCACTAGTTTTTTTTACAAGTTATGTTTTTGATGGCATTATATATTCTAGCAGTGTAAATACTTAACTTTTTTAGTAATGTAGGTTTGCAAGTTAGTATTCAAATAACATTGCATGTTTATTTGAAAATATGTGTGCGATACTATTTTTTTATGTACAGTTCTTTTTTTTTTTTCATTTACTTATAACATTATAATAGATACATGGGTTATTTCTACTTAATTTACAAAAACCGTAAGGTTTGTCCGCGAGTTACAGTCTCACACTATACTAGGAAATAATACAACCATCTAATCTATGGCTGCTTACAAACAGTGACAATAATATTAAGTACGTACTTGTTTGTAATCGACAAATTACAACCCACCATATTTTTATATGTGTGTATACAAATCTTAACATATATGTGCATATCCAGGATTGTAACATATTCTTATTTATTTGCTATAATTTCATTTAATATATTTTTATCGCCTCTCAATAACTCATTGCCACATGGCGTGATCCAAGCACCTAAACGTAATTTTGTTCGCACATATCTTACTGTTATTGCAGTAGATGAAGATGAACTAAATAGTTCAACGGAAAAGGAGGGAGTTGAAATATTTTTCTTCCCTGACGAGTCGAATATGAAGACCAAACAGCTCTCTTCTGAAACCTTGAACACAGAAGCCGAACCGAAGTCCATAGATTTTGAAGATACTCCGCCTATCACTGCCGAGGAGGTTCTTGAAGAAAAACCTGCCGCCGCACAATCTACAAAAGATATTACAGATCCGCCAACCACACCGAAAAGCACACCACGAAAATCGAAACGTAAAAAGGTAACTGATTTTCGACTTAAGTATTAATAAAATTATGTATTTTTAACGTTTTTGTGGGGATCTATTGATATAAATTTCGTGCTTATTATTTATAGATACGTGTTAGAGCCACGTTGCAGCTATATGATTGTTGTAGCACGAATGGGTCGGCTCGACCCGGAAAGAATCACGCTCTTACAGAATACCAACGTAAAATAGCAGCTTAATACGGCTGAGTTTTGTATAGTGAATGTGGAGATCCGGAGACCCTTTTTTACTAGAAACGAAGCATTCCATCTTAATCCTCAGTGGTGACAACGCATCTGCGTTTTGATTTATCGAGATAAAAAGTAGATGTCTATAGGCCACAGCAGTCACGTACCATCGGGTGGACTGTGTGCTCGTTTGCCACTCTTATTCTATAAGAAAAAAAATTATATTATTACGAGCTAACAGTTCATCTAATGGTAAATTGCTACTGCAGCCGATAGGCACCTATAACCAAATTCAAATAACAAGTCCTATGGGTGAAACATTATTCAAAAAATCTCGACTGCGTAATAAAGTTTACCTAAAAAAAGAAAAAAATTATATTTTGCACCACTTCCATAACTAAAACGAATCTGACGGCACCCCATTCATTAAAATCCATCGAGCTGTTTGGGTTACCGAGCGTGCCAAAGAAATGGACATACAAACATACATACACTCGAAAACCCTTACCCTTGGGCAGTCGGGCAATAAACATAGAATACTATAATACATATATAATATAACGAGTGGGCGGAGCCCGTGTAGTCACTAACATTTTAATTGACACCTATAAATGTCAACACAATCAAGCGTTTCCAATTTTCGTGTCAAGCGTCGCTGCACGCAAATTATTTAAAAAATGGCAAATTGTCCAATAATTAAGTGTCGAAAAAACAGCGGGAAATGGAATTTAAATAAAGAAGACATATCTTACAACCAGTACATCGAAACTATTTATATTTTGTGAATATTAGAAACAAAATTAAAGAAATATTTTTTGGGTTTTTGGGTTGTAGGGTTTGTAGTATTGATAACTGATAATACGACGTAATTGCTTGTATGTGTGCTCCCGGCGACGCCGATCCTCGTGCAAAATAAAGTTGACAGCCATTCTATTGTGTATTATAGTATTCTATGGGTAATAAAGCAATCGATGTGACGTCATCTTAGGACTAAGATAAAATACGTCATATCTTATAATGTTGGCTATATTAGCTTTCAAACTTGAACTGCTACAATCGACGATTATCTCCACTGGCTGGGTTCGAGATACTTGGATTTCGAATAATTATTCCCATCTCTTTTCAAATTTCAATATTGTATATTTGCTTAGTTAATGGAAGTTCTAAGTATACTCTGTCTGCTCGAATAGATTAAATCTTCTGGCGACGGTAGCAACACAGACGATGAATATTGCATTGTAGAGAAGAGTGCATACGGCCAAGACAACGAAATGGATGAGCCAGTCGTGAACTGGATAGGCCCTGGACCAGTTTATATGGTTGACAACCATTTCACAGTGCCTGCTGCCAGAACTGATGTACTAAAGGCGCCTAAAAGTTTTCCAATGCCGATGTTACGGTAAGCATGAAACGTTTATGGTAGCCGTCCCTATTTTCAAAATAGGCTCATAATAATACTTTAAGTAGTTAATCCGACCCACTTACACATTCTTGTATTTAGGTAACTGAGATAATACCAAGTACGTATTTATAAGTGCAATGTAATCTGACAAGGCTTAACGAGTGTGTGCTTCTAAAATATATGTGAAAATTAATTAGCTAAGATCCAAGTAAAAAAGTGCCTCTCTCCCTCCCTAGAGTATTAGCGATTAGTCACCCCAAAATCTACTTATATCGACGGTGTCTCGTTTAGAGGTGTATCGTTATATCGACGGAAGTGTATCTTTCCTAGTGTAGTAGTGTTAAGATCAGTTGTGTATGATTTAGTAAAGTTGGGCTTAGCGCTGACAATAAAGTGCTATTCATACCAGTTAGGAATTTTTTTAACGCGAATCATAGGTAATTTATTTCTCATATTTTTAAAATAATGCACTTTTATAAGGTATCGCATGATTCTATTATCTTATTATTTTATTCAACGGAACTTAAATTTATAAAACGTAATGTAAGTTAAAGATATAAGAACGTTTTTATTGTTTCTAGGTACACACTGTGTGAGATGAGTTTAACCTGGAACATGTACGGTGGCCATGATTTCAAGAATGCCGGGGACACGACTACCGCCAAAAAGACTGTCACCATTGAAGGCGACAAACGGAAACAAGGATCGCCTATCATATCAAAGTAAATGCGAAACGCACATATTCCTAAATAATATAAAAAGACGTGGTATTGGAACTATTTTTTACATATACTTATGAATTAATGGTAACATTTAACGTTATTGGCTGTAAGTTTATTTCTTAAGTTCATTTATATTGTAATTGGTGCTGTGGATCTTGTAATAAATTAAAAAAAAATTGATACAGTAGCTAAGCATTTGGTTTCGGCGCCGCAAGTTTGTACAAATAATTGTTTCTAGTCTGAATGTTCATCCATGTACAATTTATCTACTTAAAACACCTCTAAGTTTAAAAAAAATATAATTGTATAACTCTAGTAATTCTTGCGCTATAGACGAAGCAAAGAGTACGAGCCGTACGAAAGTGGACATGCAATGTCTGAAACGTACCGGCACGGCGTTAGCTGGACGGCGGGCACCGAGCGGGTGCGGAGTGTGGCGCCGCCACACCGTGAGCTTCGGACTCGTGGTGGCGTGCACCGCGACCACCACACCTGCGTCAAGCTGCGCCTAGCCAAGGTAACAGCGCACTACCCTACACTGTGACCACTACACCAAGGTAACACCGCACTACCCTGCACTGTGACCACTATACCAAGGTGACACTGTACTGTGACCACTTCACAAAGGTATACACCGCACTACCCTGCACTGTGTGACCACTACACCAATATAACACCGCATTACCCTGCACTGTGACCACTACACCAAGGTAACACCGCACTACCCTGCACTGTGACCACTACACCAAGGTAACACAGCACTACCCTGCATGTTACAAAGGTAACCGCACTACCCTACACTGTGAGCACTACACCAAGGTAACACCGAAGTACCCTGTACTGTGACCACTACACCAAGGTACCACCGTACTACCCTGCACTGTGACCACTACACTAAGGTAACACCGCACTACCCTGCACTGTGACCACTACACCAAGGTAACACCGCACTACCCTGCACTGTGACCACTACACCAAGATAACAGCGCACTACCCTACACTGTGACCACTACACCAAGGTAACACAGCACTACCCTGCACTGTGACTACTACACCAAGGTAACACAGCACTACCCTGCACTGTGACTACTACACCAAAGTAACACAGCACTACCCTGCACTGTGACCACAACACCAAGGTAACACAGCACTACCCTGACTGTGACCACTACACCAAAGTAACATAGCACTACCCTGCACTGTGACCACTACACCATGGTAACACCGCACTACCCTGCACTGTGACCACTACACCAAGGTAACACCGCACTACCCTGCACTGTGACCACTACACCAAGGTAACAGCGCACTACCCTGCACTGTGACCACTACACCAAGGTAACACAGCACTACCCTGCACTGTGACTACTACACCAAAGTAACCCAGCACTACCGTGCACTATGACCACTACACCAGGGTAACACAGCACTACCCTGCACTGTGACTACTACACCAAAGTAACACAGCACTACCGTGCACCTATGACCACTACACCAGGGTAACACAGCACTACCCTGCACTGTGACCACTACACCAAAGTAACACAGCACTACCCTGCACTGTGTGACCACTACACCAATATAACACCGCATTACCCTGCAGCTGAGTGACCACTACACCAAGGTAACACCGCACTACCCTGCACTGCTGGTACACCGCGGACCACTACACCAAGGTAACACAGCACTACTCTGCACTGTGACCACTACACCAAGGTAACAGCACTACGCTGCACTGTGACCACTACACCAAGGTAACACCGCATTACCCTGCACTGTGACCACTACACTAAGGTAACAGAGCACTACCCTGCACTGTGACCACTACACCAAGGTAACAGAGCACTACGCTGCACTGTGACCACTACACCAAGGTAACACAGCACTACCCTGCACTGTGACCACTAAACCAAGGTAACACCGCACTACCCTGCACTTAGACCACTACACCAAGGTAACACAGCACTACCCTGCACTGTGACCACTACACCAAGGTAACACAGCACTACCCTGCACTGTAACCACTACACCAACGTACCACAGCACTACCCTGCACTGTGACCACTACACCAAGGTAGCACAGCACTACCCTGCACTCTAAACACTACACCAAGGTAACACCGCATTACTCTGCACTGTGAACACTACATCAAGGTAACACCGCACTACACTGCACTGTGACCACTATACAAACCTGCATCAAACTGCGCATAGCCAGAGTAACACTGCACCTTTCTGTTATCCCTAATATTAAAGAGGCCCGTATGAAACAGTGAATTTACGAACTTCATTTATTACCCTCATAACTATTTATATGACATAAAAACAATAATGTTTATTGTTTTAATAAATAAAAACTACTAAAACTATCATATAGTCGTCAAGAACGCTTATGCGTTTCCTCGCTAAATGGCTAATGCCTTTGAGTGTGAAAAGAAACGGCCTTTTTGATAGTTTTATTAGCTTAACTCAAAAATCTAATGAATATTGACTTAAAAAGAGGAAAAATACTCATCTAAATTATGTCAGATCAAAAATACTCAGCTTTAAAGAAGTGTGCCATCTTAACTGCAAGTTTTTTGATACTGTAACCGCCAATTAACTTGCCAAGCATTGAAATTGTGTCAAACCGTAGTTAGACCCAAATTTAGCAGCGAATGGCTTGCATGCTGATGCTAATTTTGTCAAATTTTGTATAGGTGAAGTTTCAACACGAAGTGTACCCTTCTGGGGGGACGCAAGCGTCCCGTCAGACCCTCGCAATCACGAAGATAGAGGTGTTGGACCGGCTTGTGTGCAGCGACATCAATAAACTACTCAGTCAGTACAAGCTCAAGGATGAACCTGAGAGAAAGAATGCGTATATGGTACGAACAGTTTGTTTCTTTTACTTCTTGTTAAGCTATAGATATAGTTTTGTAAGAGAAATACTGCATTACGTTCCGATGGTATTGTAAAAGACGACTATGAGAAATATGGTATTACTATCTATGAACGCCGTTAAGAGCCGTGGTAGCTCAGATGGTACAAAATCCGTCCCCCTAAAGCTAAGTCAAGGATACTACTTCAGCGTAACTTTAGTGACTGGGATTTGGAGCAGCTTTTAAATGACGCTGTAAAGATTGATTGGAGTGTAGTCGTCAATGCGTCTACTGTTGATGAACAGGTTGCTTTGTTCAACTCTCTGTTAATTCAGCTTTATGACGTTCATGCTCCTGTTCGTCCAGTGCGTGTAAAGCATCCTCCCTCTCCTTGGCTGACCGATGATATAAAAAAATCATCCACATTAAAAATTGTGCCAAAGCTAAATACAAGTCACTTCCTAGCGATTTGAATAGAGAAAAGTATAGATTAGTACGGAATCGTTGCAATAATCTGTGTAGAAAAGCACAAAGACGTCATATCCATGAATCAGTACAAGATCCTGACCTTGCTAGGGTCTGGAAATTTCTTAAGTCCTTAGGAGTTGGGAAATTACGACAAAATCTCACACAACATAACTTTGATCTCAATCAACTTAATTTGCATTTCTCATCTTCGTCTTGCATTAACGATAAAGTAAAACATAATACTTTGGACTCTCTTTCAAAAGCTCCCACTCCGGACACCTCTGCTTTTAATTTTAGTCAATTTAACAGTTCTAATGTTAAGAGAGCCATAATGTCCATCCATTCAAATTCGATTGGTAGTGACTGCATTAGTCGGAAAATGGTCATCCCTCTCATTGATCTCCTTTTACCTATAATCACGTCTATCCTGAATAATTCACTGAATTCTGCTTTATTCCCTTCAGCTTGGAAAGACGCATTTGTAGTTCCTCTTCCAAAAAAAATCAAATCCCTCTAGTTTTCTGATTATTGACCTATCTCTATTATGCCTTTCTTTTCCAAAGTTCTAGAACGTCTTGTGCACAATCAATTAAGCACCTATCTTTTAAAACACAATCTTTTAAATCCCTTGCAATCCGGTTTCCGTCCTGGCCATAGTACGACTACTGCACTTTTACAAATCACTGATGATATTCGGTATGGTATGGAGAAACAAAAGCTTACCATTCTCACGTTGCTTGATTTTAGTAACGCATTTAATACTGTAGATTTTGATATCTTGTTAAGCATCCTACGCTCTCTCAACATATCTCCAACTGTAGTTGACTGGTTTCGAAGTTACTTGTTTGGTCGTCGACAGCGAATTCAGGTGCAAGAGGTTTTTTTCCACCTGGACTACTACAGCTGCTGGTGTACCACAAGGTGGCGTGTTGTCTCCTCTCCTTTTTGCAATTTTCATTAACTCTATAAGTCATAATTTGTCCTCTTCCTACCACTTGTATGCTGATGATCTCCAAATCTATACTCAGTCCTCTCTTGAAGATCTATCTAAAGCAGTTGAAACTATTAACGCTGATCTGAATTGTATTTCGAATTGGAGTAAATGTTATGGTTTAACGATTAATCCTAAGAAAACTCAGGTCATTGTCATCGGTGGTTCTAGATTAATTGGTAAAATTGACTGGTCTTCCCTACCCCCTATTATACTGGACTGCACTCTAATCCCTTACAGTAACAAGGTTAAAAACCTGGGGTTGTATCTTGACTCCTGTATGTCTTGGACCTCACAGGTTAATGAGTTCAGTAGAAAAATGTTTGCTGCGTTAAGCTCTTTACGTAGATTACGTAATTTCCTTCCCACAGCAACGAAAGTTACGCTCGCCCAGTCTCTACTTCTGCCTATCCTTGACTATGCTGATATTTGCTATCTTGACATTACCGAGGAGCAGCTTAATAAGCTTTAGCGCATTCTAAATTTATGCATTAGATTTATATTTATCATATTTGCGAAGAAATATGATCATATCTCCGAATTTCGCAAACAGCTCAAATGGCTCCCGATCCGCCTTCGCAGGAATACTCACATTCTCTCCGCGTTGTATAGTGTGCTGTTTAATCCTTCTACTCCTCTTTATTTAAAAACCGTTTCCAGTATCTTTCTCTTACCTATAATCGGTTCCTTCGATCCTCCGTCAATCTTTCTCTCTCTACACCTTTGCACTCTTCTTCCTTTTTCAAGAAATCCTTCACCGTAACCGCTGTGCGATTGTGGAACTCCTTACCTCTCCATATTCGTCGTGCTAAATCTCTTCACTCTTTCAAAATTCTTGTTAAATCGTATTATTTAGAACGCTATTAGATAAATTACTTTACCTTTCTCGTACTCTTTTCATTTAATCTATTATATGATATTTTATATATTATACTTTCACTTACTTTTATTTGTATGTATTATTGTATTTTTTTTATTATTAATTTTGTATGGCCCCCCTCTATTTGTAATTTTTGTTTGCATCATTCCTCTACGCAAAGGTTGTCTGGAAGAAATCACTTTCAGTGATAAGACCGCCTATTGTACATACTTTAATTAGTTTTAACTATATTGATGTTTCTGTATTGTGGTGTACAAAAAAGAATAAATAAATAAATAAATGGTTAACGCTCGATGTAAATATAACAGAACGCCAGTAACCCGGGTTCTATACCCACCGGCACCAATAAAATTGTTAATTGCAATTTTAAGTACTGATTTACCACGTGCTCGGCGGTGAAGGACAACATCGTGAGGAAACCTGCATGTCTGAGGAATAAGAAAAAAATATATTTCGAAGACATGTGAAGTTCGCCAACACGCATTGGGGCAGTGCGGCGGATAATTCCTTGCCTTAAAACCCTTTCAGAAATGAGGGGAGGTCTGTGCCAAGCAGTGGGACGTATATAGGCTGTAACTTTTTTTTATCTATTAACGCAAAACGTTATAAACCCAGCCCGGTAACGGGAAACAACGTCAAAATAAGAGACTTCAGGTTAAAGCAAATCTTTCCTACAAAATACAAAACAAACAAAAGACAAAAGAGACTTACGGGCAAAAAAGAAGTTAAAAAGTTGCCCTTACTGGTGTCAAACAAAGGTAGGAATAAATACTATTAATATAAAATCACCAACTAGATTTGCGAAATTAGGTACACATTTCAAGTTATTTGACAACCATTGCTTATTATCATTGTGTATTAAAGTATAATTAAAGTTACAGCTTATATACGCCCCTCTGCTGCAAACAGGCCTCCTCTAATTTAGGCGTATGGCGGGTATCATACAGCGGACGCTTGCTCGCAACTGACCTCTCCGTCATACACGCATACTGCCACAACGTATACGTAAACGTCTAACTTTAAGTAAAGTTCCTTACGCTTTCATATTGCAACAAGTGGTAAAATTAAAAATTTTGTACAACCAACTTCAATATAAATAAAATAAAAACATCATCAATATAGTCGAAGTGAATTAAATACGCATTATTGAGGATTTCTCAAAAACTACTAGTCGGATCTTGATCTAATTTATATTTGACCACATAAGAAGCAACAGCTTTCAAGTACAAAAAGAATCATCAAAATCTGTTTTTGGAGTCTAACTATAAGGTCATCGCCTCATACTTCTACAGTTGGTGGTGAAAGCGGTCCACCTGCGTCCCGACCCGGCGTTGAGCGCTCAGGAATGCTGTCTCAAAGTGTCGCTGCTGCCGTTACGGTTCAACCTCGATCAGGACACGCTTGCCTTCCTCGTCGGATTCTTTTCCAAGCTCGGCTCTGACGAATGCGGTGGTAAGTGAAAATATTTGTGATATTTATTGGGATACACAGAAAATAAACAATTTTTTTTACCATACCTGCACATTGACCAACCCAATCGATAAACGTAGCATAGTAATACTTGATAGATACTAGCATAAATGGGTCAGCTCTAGAAATGGGTCATTCATTGATTTCTAGTGCTCCGATCATTTAAGTATTGATTCGCCTTACGAACCTGGTTATTCGGGTCGATCGTTCAAATGGATAATTTCGAGTTTCAGTACCTTGATCTGTGAAACGTGCTGGATAATGTTGGTCGTCGCGTCGGACAAATTACTATTTTCTTTGGTCGTATTTCCTATCAATCGTTTGATCTGGAACGTTGAAAAAATTTAATTGCAACCATCAGTACCTAGATGTGCCCCGGACTAAATGAAGGAATCATTCACAATTGACGCACGGATTACTAGTTAAAAAGCAGCTTAATAATACTGTGTTTAGTATATTGAGTGACTAGAACAACAGAACTGCAATATAATTGTCATGTATGATTTATCAAGGTCTATAGACCGAAACCTAACCATTAGTTGGACTCTATACTCGTTTGTCATTATTTCTTCTATAAAATAAATGCAAATGTATAAAATATAAATAATGTTACGCGCCTAAGTTGACGTCAGATACCTGGAACTAGCGCCATCTAGTGTCGGGGACCAGAGCGAGGAGGGCTTCCTAGAAAATGTCAACCTTGACTTTCGACCAACAGCGCCATCTAGTATTGAACAGAAGAATTAAGCTTTCTAGAAGCCCCACACTCGAACTTTCTGCGCCTGGTCAGTTGGCGCGCGTATTTACTTGAATATTCTGGATGTTTGGGTGAAAAGGTCTATTTAAAGGCGCTGCAAGACGCGATCGAGGCAGTATTGAATTTGGCGAGACAAGCGAAGCTTCGGAGCGAAATAGTGTAATTCAGTGTGATTAATTATTAGTGTTTTAAGTTTTAATTGGTGTAAAGAAAATTAAAGTGTAAATTTTGGTAATTCAATCGGCAGTTTTTATTGTCACGAACCTCAAGCTCGTAACAATAACTTAGTCCGTATAATGCCTGTCATTTTGTTGTTATGAAACATAAATGAATAATTTAATAGTAATTTTTAGGGAAATCTATCACCATTAGAATATTTAGTGTGGTAAATTTTCTTCTAAATGGTTTCTAATGATTGAATAAAACTAAATTTACGGATTTTATCGCGTTTATTTTACTACTTTTACTTATTTTTAATTCCCGACGTTTCGGGTGCTTTACAGCATCCATGGTCACGGGTGGGACTGAGATGTTTGACGTCCCAATGTCATAGTGCCGACTACCTTCAGTTTATAAATATTAATTTTTGGTCCGATTTACGCAAAACGAGCTTGTATCATGAAGTCTTGCATTGGTATGCATAGGTTTGGGTTTAATTTTGTTAATTATAGGATCCCAAGCAGGTGGCAGCACCCATCCATCTTCTCTATTGAAATTTGGATGTTTTTTTAATTTCAATAGCCTCGCGTATCATCCTTGGTAGGAATCGGTGTTCTTTTGCGAGGATTTGTGGTTTATCAAATCGAATGTAATGGTGGGGACGATCTTGAACATGTTCGCAGACTGCAGACTTCCCGGAGCGTCGGTGCTTCACGTCAGCTATATGTTCTTTCACGCGGGTTTTTATGGATCTTTTTATTTGACCTATGTAAGAGAGACCACATTCACAATCTAACTTGTACACTCCTGCATCTTGTAGAGGGATATTACACTTGACGGATGGTAAAAATTGACTAATCTTCTACGGCGGCTTGTAGTATGTTTTAATGGAAGCTCGCTTCACGATGTAGCCAACCTTGTCTGTGACTCCTCTGACATATGGTAGTACAGCAGGTACACGCTGGACTGTGGCCGGCTTCACTCGGTCACTGTGACGTAGGCGCGGGACCCGAAGCTTGTTGTCTTGCAATACTTGCTTGCCAGATGTTTTCTGTCACAGATCCCTCGTGCTCTCTGAAACAAAGATTTACCCACGGTAGCTAACTGTGAAGGATGATGGTGAGATTCACCATTTAAATATCGGTTGGTATGGGTCTTTTTACTATACACAGTGTGACCAATGGTGTTGTTAGTATTTCGAATGACTAAAACATCTAAGAAAGCTAAAGAATTATTTGCCTCTAACTCCATTGTGAATTGTATTTTAGAGTTTATAGAGTTAAGGTGGTTTAAAAATTCAGACCAAAAATTAATATTTAAAACCTGAAGGTAGCCGGACTAACTATGACATTGGGACGTCAAACATCTCAGTCCCCCCCCCCCCCGTGACCACGGTTGCTGTAAAGCACCCGAAACGTTGGGAATTAAAAATAAGTAAAAGTAGTGAAATAAACGCGATAAAATCCGTAAATTTAGTTTTATTCAATGTGTAGTGTTCGCGTAAATTTAAGGTTGCTAATGATGTCTGTTTCAATCCGATTTAACCAAAATATTATAAATTTAAAAATTATTTGAATTATTGTAACTATTAAATATATAATACTTCTTAAACTCCTATTTCTTATTAGTCTTCAATATATTATATGATATTTTATATATAACTTTCACTTACTTTTATTTGTATGTATTGTTGTATTTTTTTATTATTTTGTATGCCCCCTCATTTTAACTTTTTTTGCATCATTACTCTACGCAAAGGTTGTTGGAAGAAATCTTCAGTGATAAACTTGTACATACTTTGGAACTATATTTATGTTTTGTGGTTAGGTAAATAAATTATAATAATTAATTTTGCTATGTAAAACATTATCAAAACGTTGTTAATTTTTTTTTGTAGAACAAGTGTGACAAACAAGAAAGTCACCTGATGGTAAGTGGATGCTGTGGCCCATAGACATCTACATTTATCTTCGATTAAGAATCAAAACGCAGATACGTTGTCACCCCTGAGGACTAAGGTGGAATGCCTCGTTTCCAGTAAAAAGGGTCTCTGGATCTCTACACTCACCATGCTAAACAAAGCAGTATTAAGCTGCTATTTTACGCTGGTATTCTGTGAGAGCGTGGTCCTTCCCCGGTCGGACCGACCCTTTCGTGTCTCAAACATGATATAGCTGCAGCATGGCTCTACCACATGTAAAAAATAAACACAAAATATTTCTATAGTCGGTTATCGTTGGATCTTTATCAACTCGCAACAGTCCACTGCTAAACATGTGGCTCGTCCATTGTAGGAACAATTTTGCAGAATCGGCACAATTGGCAAGCAAGTTGACAGTCGCAGTGCCAGACGCCTCGCATTTTGATGCTGGCCCCCGTCGCCGATCTGGATAGTATAATAAACAGTTATTATTTTACGAGATAATATGCCCCCCAACTATCGGACACTATTAGATCTTTCTGGCCTTTTTTATTGTAGTTTCTTATGACATTTACGGGACAAAATTATATGCTAGATTCTTTTTTGAACGTAATACGTGGCACCGCTATAAAGTCTGTTAGAATAAAAAAACGTGCGTGCAGCTCACACGCTCAACACTCCTGTTCTCTTCAAATGAAATGAAATATAAAATACAAATACTTTAAATGATTTATTTAATATTCTAATTTAAACTACAAGTTCGGCATAAAGTATAAGAAAATTTATTTTATAGTAAATGTAACAATCCTTTTAATATATATATATATATATATATATATATATATATATATATATAACGTAATTAACGCACACCCTCAGACACCCCAATTAGTATATTATGTTATAATCATAATACATACACTGAATTTTTAGTTTAACATTTTTATGCACTCAATATTTATCAAATTAGTTATACTAATTCCGGAACAATGTTGTGGTCACAGTACAAATCCACGACCGCAAAGACTTTAAGGTGCTTGAAATAAAGTTCATTTTTCTTTATTTTTATTGAATGACAGAATTAGTAATAATACAAATAAAACTGCACTCTTAAAAGTATTATTGCCTTAAGTTACAGTCCATTTCAGTTTGTTTTGACTGTACAGATTTAGTGTGATTGTAATTTAAGTAGTTTTAATTATTCTTGGGATAAAAAATTACCTATATTAAATATGATAGGAATCGATTCAGTAAACGATTCTGAACGAACTACTTTCTCAAAGTGCATTAATTATGTTACATATTGTATATATATATATATATATATATATATATATATATATATATATATATATATATATATTCAATATTATATTGCACTTTTTTCGATATAGCTTATATAGTAGTCACTAATTACAAAAAGGTTTATAACAATTTTACCTATTACGAAATTGAGGTTTGGCCGTTTACTCCATAGGCACACGACACCTTCGTATCTTGTTGAACAAAACACGTAAACGACGCCGACTTTTTTCTCGCGAGCATTGAGTTATAATCTATAATGCTTGCTATCTCATTTTCTCCCACATGAAATCTTATGAATTAATGTGTCTGTCTCTTTTTACTGTTGCTTTTTCGGTTCATAGACTTTCAAATCACAACGATGCTAAAGTAATTTTTACTTTAAAAATCATCAAAATTTGTTAAATACCATTATTTTCATGCGTGTAAAGTTGGATTGGAATAAACTTCAGTTTGTTGGAATTTTACTCATTTTCCATACAGAAGACGAAACAAAGAGTGCAAGCGGTCTATCGACGGATTCTAGCGGATCCCGTCAGACGACGCCCACGCACCGGCCGCCAGTAATGAGCATCGCCAGCCACTTACGGGATCCTCCGCCGACGCCCACTTCCTTGGGCGATGCGGACTCGCTATCGCTTAATGAAACTGGTACTTGCAAATTTAATATTAAAAATATTTGGATAAGTTATCAAACTTTTTGAACTATTTAGAGTATGATAAGCGTAATTTTCACGCATACAACTATGTTGACGTCACTTAATTAATTAATTTTCATAATATAATTTTCATGGTAATTTCTATCCAACTCAAACACAAAAGACTTGAACAAAAATTTTTGCTATGTAAAACATTATTAAAACTTAACTTTGTTAATAAGCACAAAATATTCCTATAGTTGGTTATCGTTGGATGTGCACTACATTATATATCAAATTATCAAGAGTTACCAATAAGTTATGTAAATTACATAAGCGAACATTTTCTAATTTCTCAAGTGATCCGCGATGATGAGCCACTTATGGAGACCTACGAAGCTGAACGCTTGGTCTCTGAGAACTTGATCCAACTGGAGGAGGACTTCCAGAAGCTCGGCATTAATCAGGAGAAACCAACCACCAGGCTTCCAGTGGAAACGGAGACGGTTGACGACTCGCCTATCTATTTCAGGTAGAGGTTTTTTTCTTTATTTTAAAATTAGTACTTTTATAACAACTCTTATGTTTTTAACTCACTTTTAAATTTATTCAGTAATACTAAGCAAACATATCATGTAATGTTTACCTTTAAGTGATTTTACATACCCTTTGCATATAATGTAAATACTTTAAAAAATGTATGCTATGTGAAATATCATATATTGAAAACCATATTTTTTTATGGAATTTGCCATAGATGTCTTACAACACCCACATCGCAATATTGGGTAATAGACTGCCTTACACTGCAATTAGTATTATAAGTGTCTACAAATTCGTAATCAAAATATATCCCAATATGCTGCTCGTTTTCAGTCAACTCAAAAAAATATGAGGTTCTCGATTCTATATTTTTTTTTGTGTGTTACCTCAGAACTTTTTTCTAGGTGAACCTATTTTGATGATTTTTTTTAAATGCTGATGCCTTTACTTGTGGTCCCATATAAATTTGATCAAGATCTGACCAGTAATTTTTGAGTTATCCTTAATAATGTATAATATTTAATAGACTTCGACTACATTAATGATGTTCTCTGATTTGTACTGAAGTCGATTGTATAATTTTTTTAATTTTACCACTTGTATCAAACATCCTCGCAGGATCGCCATGTAATGTAGAAAGGGTGTCAATGAAGGAGAAGACACGTGTCTCTGTTCAAGACTTTAATTATACTACCCAATTCTAAACTAAACACGAATATTAATGGTCGTGGTGGCTACACTACATCACACTATGATGCACAAGTATTATAAGCTACATCTTTATCTTCAGCCTCTTCAAATTACCACATGACACTTTATTTGTGCGTCGCTGCCGTGGCCTTCATACTGTCTTTTTTACGATTATTTTATTGCGCATATCGTATCTATCTTCAGTTTGCAAATAAACATTCATTGGAAAAACATAATTCTACTTTATTTTTCAAGTTTTTTTTTATTTAATTCTTTATTTGCGCAATATGGGTACAGATGGTGTTACAGTGGTCAATTTACATAATTATATGCTATAGATTAAATTAAAATTGTTACATATCAAATCACAGTGTCTAAATAATTATTAAAATAATGTCAAATGAGATTACCTAATTAATACACAATGTCAACTTTGTAAAATAATTCATATAAAATGTCTAATTAATGTCACAGTACCACTAAGCCGGTTACAATACTACATCTATTAATTTGTCTTCAAGAAATTCCCTTACCGAATAATATGATTTTTCTAAGAGTAGTGTCTTCACTTTTTTTTAAATAAAGTATTATTTGAAATTTCAAGCAGAGAGTTGGGTAAATGATTATACACTCTCGGAATCATACAAAATACACTGCTGTTTAAAAGTTTAGTTTTGTTATACATAAAGCTTATTTGGAAACGGTATCTCTTGATTTTTAATTTAACAAATAAGTTATTTCTTACAAATAGCACCATATCCAGTATATAAATACACGGTAGTGTCAATATTTTAATCTTTGGAAATATCGACCTACAGCTCTCGGTTTGTTTCATTCTGTATATAGCCCGAACGCATCTCTTTTGCGCCCTAAAGACCAACTCTTTTCCCACAGAGTTGCCCCAAAATATAACACCATACATTAAAAGAGGAGTAACATGTCCATGGTAAGCCGTTAAAACTGTGGATGTACTGGCAGTTTTGGACAACACGTAGATCGCATATGAATATTGATTAAGTTTCGAACACAACATCTCTTGTGTGACTTCCAGTTTAGTTGAGAATCAATGTTTAGTCCCAAGAATTTTATTGTCTCTACTTCTTCAATTTTTGTTTGTGTATAGTAGATTTTCATATCCGTTAATTTATGAACTCTGTTTCGAAACGTCATTAATTTAGTTCTTTCCAAATTTATTTTTAAATTATTTAAAGTCAACCATTTAATAATATTGATTTTCATAATTTACTTCGACAGACGCGTAGTGTTCTCGCCTGAGGTGCCGATCCGGCTGGACTACGTGGGCAAGCGCGTGGATCTATCGGCCGGGCCCGTAGCCGGCCTGCTCATGGGCCTCGGACAACTCAACTGTTCCGAGCTCACTCTCAAGAGGCTCGACTACAAGTAAGCTTTGTTCCCTGTTACCTTATGTACTGATTTCGATTACTTGATTTTCACACATGGTAGAGCCATGCTGCACTTATATTAGTAGTATAATTGTAGCACGAATGTAGTATGTAGACGAAAAATAATCGCACTAAATAGAAGTCACTTATAATTGGAATTTGATAGTGAATCCAGCCAACATCTATTATTTTAACTTCTAGTACTCAGTCATGAAAGGGGAGTTATTTCGATGGCTCTGATAGGATAATGTTACGAGCTTGGGGTTCGAGACAGTTAAAAACTGCCGAGTGAATTATCAAAATTAACACTTTAATTACACTAATTACAACTTAAAACCATACTAATAACAAAACACTATTGTACTACTGATTACTTTAGTTCCCAGTTGTTTTGCTTCGAAGTATTCGCTTGAATCGCCAATTCAATACTCCCTCGGGTCGCGGTCTATACCGGCCTTATATAGGGCCTTAAGGGCCGCCTTCACGAGCGAGAGAATCGCGGCAATATTATCGACGCGCCACGTATTTCTATACACTCTCTTAGAACGTGTCTACACACGGCGATGTTATCGCGGCGATGCGACGAGTAGCTGAGTGCGAGCGAAACATCATCATATCGCCGCGCGCTTGCAACGGAACGTGGCGCTGTCGCAACTGTCAAATGTAAGGGTCCCCCCCCCCGCGTCATTTCTGTGTTACCTGTCTTTCTGTTCGTCCGGACACTCAGCGATTCCGTTACGAGACACGATGATACGCTGGCGGAATAATCGCTCCTTCGTGGAGTTTGCCCGACGATAGAAGCGCGGACTCGTCGTAATTCTCTCGCTCGTGGAGGCGGCCCCTGAGATAGTTCTCAACCTTCTACTGTAGAAACATCTAGAATGTTCGAGTACTGACTAGGTGTAGATAGTTCTAGAAAGTTTTTCCATGGAAATTTATAGAAGGATCTCGAGTCTCCTAGTTCTGCTACTCGATACTAGAATGCGCCAGTGGTAACTTGTTATGACCCTTTGCTGTACATTGTATTGAGTCACCAACTTAGAGAAATCTGCAAAAATATTGATTGTCATTATGGTATCATTTTGTTACTAACAAAAAGTTTCTTCCTTCTAATGGCAATATTTTTTTCAAGGTTGGGCTTATTGGGATTAGAAAAACTAGTCCAGTGGGCTTTACACGAGTGGCTGTCGGACATCAAGCGACATCAGTTACCCGGTTTGCTTAGCGGAATTGGACCCATGCATTCTCTTTTACAACTAAGTAAGTACATCTTTTAATTTGCATAAATCAATAAATGTTATTACTACACACATTTTATTGCTTCAATTTCAAGTAACAGACTAAAAGACTAGACTTAGACTATTTTGAAGAGCTACTGACCGGTTTCTGTTCCGAGCTGCGTCTACGTGCTGATCTAGAAAGTCATTACGTATCGTCTCGCACGCAGATTCGACGACTTTCAGCCTCCCGAACAAGCCGGTTTCCGAAAAGGCTTTAGCGCCATTGACCACATACATAGACTTCGGCAAATTGTACAGAAGACCGAAGAGTACAATCTGCCACGTTGCTTGGCGTATGTGGACTATGAGAAAGCCTTTGATTCCGTCGAAATTTGGGCGGTGCTACAGTCCCTTCAGCGGTGCCAAGTTGACTGTCGGTATATCGAAGTGCTGAAGTGTTTGTACAGTAGGGCTACGATGGCTATCCGAGTACAGAACCGGAGTCCGAAATCCATCGCAACTGTAGAGAGGTGTAAGACAGGGTGACGTTATATCCCCGAAACTCTTCATCGCTGCATTGGAAGACGTTTTCAAGCAACTGGACTGGAAGGGATACGGTTTCAAAATCAATGGCGAGTACATTACTCACCTTCGATTTTCCTATGATGTAGTCTTTACGCGCAGAATCGCTGAAGGACCTATGCTACCTCGATAGTGTCTCCTAACGAATAGCTCTTAAGATGAACATGGACAAAGCAAAGAGCATGTGTAATGTCCATGTCACACCTATGCCGGTAGTTGTTAGGAGCACTAAGATCGAAGTTGTTGACGAGTATGTTTACCGGAAACAAATAATACAACTAGGTAAGGCCAACTTCGATCGAGTGGTCGAATCGACAGATTCAACTCGGCTGGGCAGCGTTCGGGAGATTACGACACGACACACCTACTCGTCAGGTCACCTTAAAACTTGAAAACGGGAATGTACAACCAACGTGGTCCTTCACTGCTGGCCGTATGAGGAAGTACAAGGTCGCTCAGCTAGCTATGGAGACGTTTATGTTTTTTTTATTAATTAAGGTTTACCAATGTTTGATTACACTGTATTTAAAAAAATGGCTTAAGAACTAATTTACGTAGCTAAGTGTAACAATCGTTTAATGTAAACACCACATGCATCGAGAAAGATTATAAATACGAATAAAAAAAAGTATAAATTACCTAATAATTAAAATAAGTATGTGGTAAAAAAAACTATTATTATTTATTTGTTGGTTTCAGACCATGCTAAAGCAAGAACTTTCTTAATTTTAGCAAATGAGTCGGCATGAATGTCAACTTTGTCACTATGTCCATTGACCAATTTGCACAACCTTGGAATTGGGGAGTTTGCACCTAAGACAGATTTCCTAAAAGGAGGGCAAAGTGGAGTAATGGGTGCGCGAGGAATTCTCAATGGAACACGAAATTTAAATTTTTGGAGCAAGAGGGGACAGTTAATTTTTTGATTAAAAATTTTAACAAGAAATGACAGGTCAAGCAAATTTCTCCGATTTTCCAGGGATAAAATTTTAAAGAATCTTAATCGTTTTTCGTAAGACCGAATTTTTTGTGAATCCCATTCCAATAGGCCAAATTTGCCACGAACTTTTTTTTGCAGACGTTCCAATCGTAAGGAGTGTGTCGCATAATGTGGCCGCCATACTACAGTGCAATACTCAAGTATGCTTCGTACGAGGCTGTTGTACAGTAGGATCTTAATGTGATTATTTTTAAACTCTTTAGCGTTACGCAAAACAAAGCCTAGCATTCTATACGCCCTTTTTGTAATATTCTCGATGTGGGGAACGAAGGTTAATTTTTTATCGAACACTATTCCCAGGTCTCTGACTTCCTCTGTTTTCTTAATGATGTCGCCGTTAATTTTGTATGATGAGTTCAGTAACTTGATCTTTCTACTGAATTTCATATGGTAGCACTTGTTTATGTTCAGGTTACATACCAATATCTCGACACCAATTTACCATACGGTCAACATCACTTGAAACTGTTCGATGTCCTCTAGAGTTTCGCAGATGCCAACCAATTTCAAATCATCGGCATACATAAATGGTATGGAGAACTGAAAGCAACTAGGGATATCATTGATGAAGGTGTTGAAAAGCAGAGGTCCCAAATGTGATCCCTGAGGAACCCCCGACGTAATTTTGTATGGTGCAGACTGAAAACCATTAACGACCACACTAAAACTACGATTATCCAGGTACGACTGCAACCATCCCAATAATGAGCCAGTAATACCATATGCACGCAATTTACATATAAGAATATTATGAGGTACTTTGTCGAATGCCTTACTAAGGTGCCTTACTGTATATATTACATCAACATCCCTACCGTCATCTACCGCTTCTACCAAAGTTTCAGTAAACAAGGTCAGATTGGTACAGGTTGACCTAAATCGAACAAAACCGTGCTGGCACTCAGTAAGATAATGATTCGTGGTTCTGCAGCACAGGATAGACAAGAGATTCAAATATTTTACTTAAAGTTGACAGTATTGAAATAGGCCTATAATTACCTACCACCTCGACGTTATCGGCCTTGTGAATGAGAACAACTTTCGCGGACTTCCAAACATCAGGAAATAGGCCGGATTGAAGAGACTTCTTAAAAATTAGATATATAGGCGTCACTAGCTCATCCGCACATGCCTTAATGAATATAGGAGGGACACAATCTGGCCCCAGGCCCTTGTTATGATCTAGGGACCTCATGCTCTTCAGTATCCGATCCTTGTTAAGGTAGGGAGCAAGGCTGTAATTGCAAATCAAATTTCATTGCTGACATTCATCTCTGAGTTTATGTTATCTTGAGAATTATACACAGCTCCAAAGTAGGACGCAAATAAGTCCCAGATGTCCCTAGGACTAGATAACTTCTTATTACCATCAGTCATTGTACAAGGATAATTACTTTTCCCGTACTTCTTTGCCTTAATAAATTACCAAAAAAGTTTGGGGTTCGACTCAATACTATCTTCTGTCTTCTTTATATAATTTTTATAAGATTGATTTGCTAGTGTGCAGCAACGCTTGTTAAGTAGCCGCAGCTCAACCTCATCCATGGGATTCCTATATTTTTTATACCGCTTTCTTATGTTCTTTTCACGTAACATTATCTTTAATGAAACATTAAACCAAGGAGGAGAAGAATTATTTCCTATTTTTTTGTAGGGCACATATTTATTTATTAGATTATTAATTATATCATAAAATAAGTTTGTCATTTCATTAACATTCAGGTTATGAAACATTTCATTCCAGTCATATTCGGCTAAACAAAGGCGGATCTGAGTATAATCGGCTTTCTTAAAATTGTGTATTTTAGTTTCGATGTTATACGATAGTGCAATATCAGTATTTCTTTTCATTAATATTTCGAGAGGGGGATGTAGTGGATCTACGACACTAAGAATATTAACTGATCCTGCCACTGTACACATGGACGATGATAGGTTTGTCAGTGCAGGGTCTAACAAGCGGTCCGATTTGTTAAGAATATTATTCATTTGATTAAGCTTGTTAAGATGAACTAAATCTATCAATGCTTGGCTAGGACTAGGTGCGATATAGTAATTCGACAAATCATGTACCAAACTCCAATTTATATTACCTAAGTTAAAATCACCAATAAAGCACAGGTTTGAATCAAATTTAATTATGACTGAGGTACAATTATCTACAAAATACTCCAACATTAGCCTGTTCACCGGAGGTGGTAAGTAAACACCGCAAAGAGCTATTTAATGGACAGAGTTTTCAATTTTCAAATCCAAAACCACCCAAATGTCTTCACATTTACTTTCCCATTCAAACTTCCGAACCGATTTGATAGTTTTTAGTACCGCAACTAAGACTCTTCCCCCATTCTTATTCTCATGAAACCCTGTACTTTCCCAGTCTCTTCTGTATATCTCGTATCTGTCATCAAATAACTCATTGCTCATTACCCTACTATTAAGCCAGGTTTCAGTTAAAACTATTACATCATAATTATTACAATTGACTTCCCTTAAAAAGTTGTGAGTTTTCGTACGCAACCCACGAACGTTTTGGTATTATAATTATATATATTCTTTATACCATTTATAATATCAATATTTCGCCTTTCCAAATAAATCTTGAAGTTTTTCGAATAAAATGTAGTCCAGATCCTTCCTGGCATTGTTAGCTACCTGTTTAAAAGTTTTATTACTATCGGTTTAGCCATTTCAAAGATTAGCCCACAGACAGACAATCAGATGAAAATTTTTAAAAATTGTTTTGTCTTAATAGCATGCACGAGTTATGAGCACAACCTTGTCACCTGTGGATCGCTTGGGCGAAAACTGGGAGGGTAACAGCTATGATAAAAATGTGCTACGCAGTTGTATTGTTTTAAGGCAAATCTATAGAAATAAATTAAATTAAAGTGTCTGTTTGTAATGTCAAAATAACATATTTTTTACTAAACACATATGAAAGTTTTAAAGCCATAAATTAAAACATTCTGCCATAAGGTACTGAGAAAGAAAAAAACATGCGTGCAGCTCACACGCGACAAAGTGAACCTAAAAATTATAATAGCGCCACCTACTTCATTCTATGGGTAGTCACTTTATCCAACAACTGATTGACACCCAAGTACGTAAAATAGACGCTAGATGGCCTGAAATTATAAAATGAATTTTGAAACACTTTACCACGAACACAGTTTATATCAATAAAAACAAATGAGTTTATACTATATTATATTTTTTCTACCAAATACAAATAGCTTGAAACTACGGACTTTATTCTTGCAGTCAATACGTCAGTGCAAAAGAAGTATACCTGATTGATAGAATCAGGCGTTACTTTGCGGAAATCCATTATAATAAATAATTTATCACTTTGCAACCTTCCGCTAACTAATTACAAGATGTGTCTTACCTAGATTGAAGAGCACCTCCCGCCCTCCCTCAATTGCATGCACTAACTCCGTCACCACTACTCCCGGCACCACTACTTCCAACACCACTATTCCAGGTAAGACACACCATCGATGACAATACGACACGTGTTTCGCCTCTACACGAGGCGTCCTCAGGTAATTTACTCTTAGCGGTCAGTCGCCATAGAGTCTACATTACCTGAGGATGCCTCGTGTAGAGGCGAAACACGTGTCGTATTGTCGTTGATGGTGTGTCTTAACTGGAATAGTGGTGTTGGAAGTAGTGGTGCTGGGGCTAGTGGTAACGGAGTTAGTGCATGCAATTGAGGGAGGGCGGGAGGTGCTCTTCAATCCAGGTAAGACACATCATTGTAATTAGTTAGCGGAAGGTTGCAAAGTAATAAATTATTTATTATTAGAAGTATACCTGTAAGTTGGTAAATAACAGGAAAGTCAATGCAGTGTCTTCTTGTGTATCAAATTCTAAAAGAATTCAATGAATATGTACATTCAACAATATAAACCTATATTATCTTTAAAACATTTATCAATGTAATATACCGAAAGAATAAAATTAATATTAGGAAAAATAATTGTAGAAGGTATGAATTTATTAATATAATGCTTCCTATCTCATTTTCTCCCACATTAAATCTTATGAATTTAGGTTTCTGTCTCTTTTTAACTGAATAATGTTTATTATCTCATTTTCTCCCACGTTAAATCTTATGAATTTTGGTGTCTATCTCTTTTTAACAGAATAATGTTTCCTATCTCATTTTCTCCCACATTAAATCTTATGAATTTATGTCTGTCTCTTTTTACTCTCCCTTTTTCGTTTCATAGACTTTCAAATCACAACGATGCTGAAGAAGTTATCACTTCAAAAAATTTTAAATTATCTTTGTCTTTCTGTCTCTCTGTTCTAGCTAATTTGAAATAAAGTTACATACTATTTAAATCACGTTGATAAAGTTGTTCGGTGTGGTTTGTTGTTCGGGACGGGATATTTAAAAATAATGCAACTTAAATGTGGTCTTGGACGATTGTATTGATCTCACAACAGTTGAGAGGGTAATAAAATATAAAAAAATAACCTGTTCAAAAATTAACGTAATCTACTGACGGAATTACTGCTAATAACGTATTTTTTGACTCGTTGCTATGAAACAAGGCGGAGGCGCTTCAATATGCCCATGGTTGTTGAAATATTTGATTTCAACCAGAATTAAGTGATCGGCAATGGACAAATCCGATTAAATGCCCTCTTGATAATCCCAATGGAAGTTCTAATGTCTGCAACTCGAGTAATGCCGTCGACTCCTTGAATTGCGACGATTCTTCCCAGCTTCCATTTCAGCGGAGGACGGTTGTCCTCCTTGACTACCACCAAATCGTTCATCATCAATCTGTTTTTGCAAGAACGCCATTTAACTGTATGTTGTGAGATCAGTACAATCGTCCAAGACCACATTTAACTTGCATTATTTTTAAATTCCTGTAAACTCCCGAACAGCGCACGTAATTAATATGACAGCGTTATCTTAAAAAATCAGTGTTAGACTTTCGAAAACAACATTCATTGTTGTCGACAATCTAACACACAGAACTACATAGTCTTCTGCGCTGCTCGCAGTCGACTTAAAGAGGTACGGAGAGTTGGCCGTAACTTAGTGCGTAATCTATTAATAAGGTAGCGGCGGTCTGGTAATATATATGTATGCAGTGAGTGCGTGTGTGCGCAGTAACGGGCATCCGCGACCTGGTGTGGCTGCCGGTGGAGCAGTGGCGGCGCGACGGGCGGCTGGTGCACGGGCTGCGGCGCGGCGCCGCCTCCTTCACCGCGCGCACCGCCGTCGCCGCGCTCGACATCACCGCGCGCCTGCTGCAGCTCATACAGGTACCGTACATATGTATGGTGGGGGGGGGCGGCTGGGGGTGCGGCGCGGCGCGCCTCACGGACGGTGCCCGGACATCACCGCGCGCCTTCAGGTACCGTACATATGTATGCAATGTGTGTGTGTGTGTGCAGTAACGGGCATCCGCGACCTGGTGTGGCTGCCGGTGGAGCAGTGGCGGCGCGACGGGCGGCTGGTGCACGGGCTGCAGCGCGGCAGCGTATTTCCATTTCAGTGTTCACTAGGAGACAATACTGCCTTGAAACACGTACGGGTTTCTCGCGCTAACTGCATTTAGAAACTCGTGTTCAATTCAAGGCACGTGTCCTCCAATCGCGCACGGGTCTGCAAGGAGTATGCGACTTGATTAAGCGCCACAAATCCGTTTTTATTCGAAGGCATTTTTGTGTTTAATGAACTCCGCCATCTCCTTTGTGGTTATTTTATTTTAAACCAATCAAAAGTAGGAGCCCCGCCAAGCGGGGCTCCGTCGACCGGGCTTCCCTCTTCTGCGCTACGGGAGAGAGTTGGGGGAGGGAAGCACCACGCCACTCAACGTAGCGCAGTCGAGGGAATCCCGATCGACGGAGCCCCGCTTTGCGAGGAGTGAGTGGATTATGAAAAAAATAACCACGAAGGAGATGAAGAGGTCTATTCGCTCGCTCACTCGACCCCGCTATCTTTTTCTGACCTAACCTGTCCGAGTCGGGATTGCCTAAGTCCCATCCCACCTTCAAAATACGATTCAATTAATTGTTCACAATATTACCAATTTATTTTTTAATATATAGTTCAATAATCTGGAATTTAATTATTTAAAAGCACACTTATCCCTGAAGGAAGGAGTGAGTTTGCAAAGGCAGTTAGCGCGACAAACCCGTGCGTGTTTCAAGGCAGTACTACCTTCTTGTGAACACGGAAATGGAAATACTGGCGCGGCGTCGCCTCCTTCACCGCCATCGCCGCGCTCGACATCACCGCGCGCCTGCTGCAGCTCATACAGGTACCTTCCAGCGCGCCAATACCTCCCTACACTCGCTAAGATCTTGGGAGGCTACTCAGAAAATTAATACTCTTTGTTGATGTAGCTACATAACTATCATCTGCATCCAAAATTTAATTACGCTACTCGACAGATCAAGGATCAAAGAACACGATACGTTGAGTGAGTAATGTGACGCATCGCACGCGGCGGAGTGAAGTCTTCTTGTTACGTACACGTATTGACGTAAACATACGGCCGTCTCCACGACACAACCATACACCGGTTTTTTTATTGAATAAGGGTGATAAATGAGCTATAGTCCACCTAATGGTTAATGGATGATGTGGGCCCATAGACACCTACGTTTTACTCATCTATAGACTTACATAGATAATAACCGGGCACGGGTGCTTCGGTGATTATTTGTGTAAGATCGGACGCGAAGCGACGGCGAAGTTTTTCAACAACCAGAACTCCGCATCCTATACCGGTAACAACATGTCCAGCGTGGGAGCGGGAGGGAACGGTCGGTGGGTCGGGTAAGCCGGATCGGTCAGAACTTCTCGCTGTCATCAATGCTCGTGTCCGCGATGCTGAGGAGAGACTCGGCGTGGAGGGACGTAGCCACCTTCTGTGAATCCGTTATGGCCCAGAAAGAGGCTGCTGAGCGAGACCGGGAGAGGGTGGATCCTACTCGGAGACGACGTCGCCAAGGCGTTTGTCACGACGCTCCTCTTATAAACGGTGTTACCCTACCAGAAGCGGGGCCTCTGGGGTTGTAGACGCTCGGATGCTGGGAACAGAAAGAACAGCCCTCGGGACGTGCTTCCAATATAGCAAAGCGAGAGAAGGCCCCGGTTGCGTTTGGAACGGAGATTCCGAGACCGCTCATATATACGGTGATGGTGACCACCGTGGGATTTTGGCCGGTAAGAGTTCGACATAACCTTCCTGTTGCCCCGCAGCAGAAGGTACCCATGAGGATTTCCCCATGATAAAAAGGCATCTACGTTTATCCTCAATTAAGAATCAAAACGTAGATTTGTTGTCATTCCTGAGGACTAAAATGGAATGCCTCATTTCCAGTGAAAATCCGCTCCGGTCGCTATACGACGAAAATCAAACAATTTATGTATGTATATTTATATGGTATGGTATTAGTGACTGCTAGGAACTACTAGGTATAGGGAACTTAGGATCTGGAAGGTCTAATACTCCTTCCTACCATATTCATGTGCAGCCAGGTAGTTAAGCTATTGAAAGGAAATCGGGTTATTACTTAAACAAATAGCTACTTGACTTGTACCTTTTGGTTCGGGGTAGGAGTTTAGTTTGGTTCGGCGTAGAACCATGTTCTCACAGAATAACAGTGTAAAATAGCAGAAATAAGACGTTACGACTACGTTGTAAAGTATACGTGCTAGAGTAGCTAGAGCCATGCTGCAACTATATTATCACTGTAAAATGAATGAACTTTACGTGAGAGCTGATTTACACTTCGACAAATACAGTTGCGAGTTTAGTTACAGGGCAATTGACAGTAAACGGTTAAATGGACAGTAGCGTTCAAATGTCTTCGTGGCGAGCTTAGTTAAAAAAGTACAATTTTATATTTTGAGGGTCGAACGTGAAAACGTTACGTCCTGTCAACTTATGCACTAAATTAAATTCGTCCATTCACACGACCGGAGTTTATTTGCGGGTGGCGGAAGACGGTGCAACACTTCGAACTTAACTCGCCGAACAATGAACCGGCCGGTTAACTCGTTCAACTTGATTGTTAACTTGCTACTTGACTCACTAATTGCCGATCAGAGATTTTCTACTAAACTCGCCAGGTTCGCAAGTTAACTCGCTACTGTACTTGTCGAAGTGTAGATCGGTCTTAAGAATGATTGTTACTCGGTGTGCAGGCGACGGCGGAGACGGCGCTGGACATGGTGAGCCCGGGCGCGGCGCTGGCGCTGCCGGCGGCCAGCGCGCGCCGCGAGCGCCGGCGCCGCCGCGACTCCGCGCGCCCGTACGACCTGCGCGAGGGCGTCGCCAGCGCCTACCACACCGTGCGCGAGGTATCACCTCATCACTTACTACACACCCAAAATATTTACTACAAAATTGCTCTCTCGAATACCAACGTCACAACTTTTTTTAGTTATTTTGATTAACACATGTACTTGACACGCTTATATTTACTTTAATTTATTTAACTTTATAAACCAACCAGTTTATCCTCATTTATTTATTTTAAAAGGACATCCTACAGCAGTTACAATATACTATAAATACAGTGTGTCCGGTCACGGACTAGCGAAATTCTAGGTACTTATAATACAGCTATTTTAATACAAAAATACACTACACACTGAGATCTAATCCCCTCTTCCTCTATGTGGCAGCCATTTTGTTTTCTTCTTGAGATATTCTCTACGTCTTTAAAAAAAACATTCATATCTCTCAAAGTTTTGGTCGGACTGAGATAAAAATTAGCTCATTGGAAGGACTATATATATTGTCTGTCGTTTCCGTTACTAAAAAAATTGTTCACATACTCGTATCTTTAAAGAAAAGAAATATTACTTCAAATAAATATCAAAAAATTATGCTAATCGGTAAATTATTGTATATTACTGCAAAAATAACCACGTTTACCCTTTTTATTTTTTACTAGATCGACAATTTTTGAGTTAAGCTACAATAAAACATAAAGTTTACAGCTGTATGTTTATTACCTTAAGAATTATTGTTGTTTGAACATAGCGTATGCGCAAACACAAAAGGCCTTTGTTTAGTGACAATTGGCAATACCTGCCTAGGAGTAATAGTGCTCTGTGCTGCCTGCTCTCGAATTGATGTAATGATGTATTCCATTCAAGAGCAGGCCGAAAATACTGTAAGCTACTAGCAAAAAAAATTCAGTTTGACAGTTGATTAGTTAAAGTGCTGTTTACATGCTGTATTACTGTTTATCGTTAAGAGTGTGAAACAAATATGGCAAATCGTCAATATTTATCGCAACATATTGTCGACATACACTTCGTGTACGGCTTTTGCAACGGAAGTGCAAATCGAGTTGTACAAGAATATCGACGAAGGTACTCTAACAGGCCTACACCATGTCGCCAAACTTTTGTTGACGTGCACTCGAGATTAGCGGAAAGGGGCATTCAAACTACTGTTAATGGACATGCTCGTTTGGTATTGCCCGAAGATGAAGAAGCGTTCGACGGATTGCACGTTGGCACATACAACACGTACGAATTAACTTGAGACTCCGCTGGAATGCGACCCCCTTCCCGACTCCCCGCACCGCGTCCCACACTGGCCGTGCGCGCTCAGTACCGATAGCATTTGTGTTACGGATACGCGTCTCGACTCTAGTTCGATATTTTTGATAATTGTTTGTTGTTTGGTTTGGACTTTTGAAGAGAGAATTAATTATATCCCTCGGAGGGGAAGAATCCAGCTCAGATAGTGAAAGTGAGGACGATCTATGGACGGAATAGAACCGATCGTATACAGTGACAATGAATAATAAATATTATAATAAATCCTTATTAATATTCCTTACTTCTATTCCTTGATTTTACATAGTTTGTGCTGTTCCGCTTATCCAAGATTGATTCACTTTCACCCTAAGGTTGCCTGGGAGAGATTGCTTTTTAGCAATAAGGTCGCCTGTTATGCTTTGTATTTTTATTGTGTACGAATCTGTAACACTTTTTATAGTGCAATAAAGTGTATAATAAATAAATTAATAATATTATAAATGAGAAAGTGTGTATGTTTATTTCTTTGTCCTTCCTTGACGCGTTAACTAAAAATAATATTATATATATTATAAAAAATAAATATTTAAAATATATAAAAATGGCAACAGTATATCACTTATTACTTCACCCCTTGCCAGAACATTTTATTTTGTTTTTATTAATAATCTCATGCAAATCTCAAAAATTTCAAATAAAAAAATATTACGACGCATTATTTTGCACACCATACATTGACAATTACGTCATCGGCCCAGGTCTCAAGTTAATTCGTACGAGTTATAGAGCTTTAACTTTTCTACAAGCTGGAGGTGGCCACTTTTAGCAACTTCTTTATATATTTTAATTGTAGGTAAATTTTGTAAAACAATTAAATATAAACTATAATAAGTAACTTAAGCAGTGCCAGTTGCCACAAAACAAAGGCCTTTTGTGTTTGCGCATACGCTATGTTGTTCAAACAACAATAATTCTTAAAATAATAAATATACAGCTGTAAACTCTGAGTTTTATTGTAGCTTAACTCAAAATCTTGTAAAAAAATAAAAAGGGTAAACGGGGTTGTTTTGCAGTAATTTACAATAATTTGCCGATTAGCATAATTTTTTGATATTTATTTGAAGTAAAATTTTTTTTTCTTTAAAGATACGAGTATGTGAAATTTTTTTTAGTAACGGAAACTACAGACAATATTGTTGTCCTTCGAATGAGCTAATTTTATATCAGTAAGACCAAAACTTTGAGAGATATGAATATTTTTATAAACTCGTAGAGAATATCTCAAGAAGAAAACAAAATGGCTGCCACATAGAGGGGGAAGCGATTAGACCTCAGTGTGTAGTGTTTTTTTGTATTAAAATAGCTATAGTCGCTAGAACATCGCTAGTCCGTGACCGGACACACTGTATATACTATTTCTTGCTACCTACGAGTATGTACATATCTTATGCTTAAGGTAGGGACAAACTGAGCCCACGTACGCAACGTATGCAACGCAACGTGGGTGACTTGGTGTGCACACTTGTCCCAAGTATACGACGTATATTGGCATCAGACGCTGTTGTAATTTCTTCAGGTGTACAATATTTTCCGAGTCTGACAGTGAATTTGAGGACGATTTATTACGTTTGTTATTTTTAAATGTATATTTCCGCATCAAAAGAACAAAAAAAAACAGTTAAGAAGAGAAGATATTGGGTTCATGAGATAAATAAAGAAATAGAAAATGTAGGTGAATACCATACATTATTAAAGAAATTGGTAAGTGTTGAAGACCGATTCTTTATGTACTTCCGTATGTCTATAGTACAGTTTGAGGAGATTCATAGCATTATTGAATGTGACATAAAAAAAGAACATACACGTCTTCGGAAGCCAATTAGTAGATACCAAAGAACGGCTAGCAGTTTGTCTACGGTATGTTTTATCTGTTTTTTTATTGCAGAGATAACTAAGCTAGGTACTATAGGAAATAATACAAATAATAATGGTTAAGAATGTTTTTATTACCTACATATTGATATTTTTGTAATAACAGTGAATATTTTCGACCTCACCAGTTTCTTCATCATCATTAGCCGCTTCTGATGAAAATTGGATATGGGGCAGTTCAAGTATATAAGATGGGGAAAAATATGAAATGTGGGGTTGTACCAAACTCCCAGAAGTAGAATTTACATTATGGCGGTTTAGGCTGTTTCTTTCACTCCTAATAGCAATTGGTGTTCTCAAAACTTTTGTTGTGACTCCAGTTGTTTGATCTCTTCTTCACCTATAGCTTTAAGCAAATCCATTTTAATTCGAATTTGGTCCAGTCTTGGGAGCTTTTTCATAGTTTTACTCATGCTTAAAAAGAATGTATTTAGATCATCCAGTTCCTGCGTTTTATTTCTATTTTCTTGTGAGCTTTTCATCATATCCATCATATCAGCCAAGTAATTATCAGTACTGGGACTTGCCTTTTGTATGATGTATTCGACGTAGGAGTATTGGTGCGGGATAGTATACTTTCTGGGGAAGGTTGGCTTTCAGCATATGGACTCTCCGGGGATGGAAGAGGAGAATTTTCATTAGACACACTAGCATCAGGATTTCCTGTAGTAGGACGGCCCTCCAAATATAGCTTCAAGAATGACATTTGTTCTTCAAACCGCCAGGTCACCAGGACCGGTAACAGGGGTCCGCCATTTTGCCGCTCCCGCTCAAAGTAATCTTGCAGCTTGATGATTAACTCACGGGCTCCACTTTTCAATGTTTGTCCACGTTTAGGCATTATTATGCACCAAAAGAAAAAAGAACGCAATACAAAACACAATCGAAATCCGATTTAGCGCCGATGTCAGTTTGAAAAGCAGAAACAGTTTATTAAACGAAAGCCGGGTAATCAAATAAAAACAGATCGAAAACACTTGAAGAACGTGGTCTATGCGCACGAAACGACAACAGACGACTGTTTTAGCGTCACAAAATGGCGGCCCATAACGCCATTTGGGGGTTACCATTTTCAACCTAAATATAAAAATGCTACTTGCGCGTTCGGTTTGGTCGTAGTTTTATTTTTGTATTTAATAAAGTTATAGTCCATTATTTTCAAACTCTTAAAAAGAAAAACAAAACGTATTATTTTATAAAGTATAACTGTATAAGAACAGATTACGATACTGTTATTGCCTGTTATTGTTAGCACAGTACTACAAATATAAAGCGCTGACATAACCTTGTAATAGCGCAGTATAGATTTAGAAAAATATTGTTTACCAAGTTATTTGACACTCAGTTTGGCACAAAATTATAACATTCATTGATTATTGGTATAATAATGTTGTTTTAATGCTCATCAATTGTTAAAACGGTAAACAACCAGCAAAAATATTTTTATCGTAACTGCAACGCCATTACAAAGTTACGTCGTCAGTTCAATCGCGACGTGTCAGGAACGCATTCTCTGAACGGCCGAACTATAGTGTGTTTCTAGATCTACGTTCGCAACGCGTCAGACACGGATTGAACGTCTATGGTATACTACCTTCGCTTTAAAATGGGAGACGAACAACTCATTGATTTGGTTAGGCGTTATGAAGACATTTATAATATTAAATGCATTGAATATCGCGATTCTATTTTACGCAATGCAGCATGGGAAGAAATATCAAAACAGCATGGCAAGCCTGGTAAGTACCTACTTATTACTGTATTTTTTGTACGCCGTGGTGCCTACCCCCCTGGGAAACAGGCGTGGCGTTATGTATGTATGTTTTTTATGTGTAGTAGTATATATTTGTATTAAAGCAATACTAGCGGCCGCCCGCGACTTCGTACGCGTTTATCCCGTTTTCGCAACATTTTTCACTGCTGCTCCGTTCCTATTGGTTGCACGCAGCGTAATGTAGCTTGGAGCCTTCCTCGATAAATGGACCATCCAACAAAAAAATATTTTTTTTTAATTCGAACCAGTAGTTTTGAGATTAGCGCGTTTAAACAAAAAGTTAATGTACAGCATTTTATTTGTTAAATTATAACTTCTGTTTTAGGGTTTAAAAGTCAGATAAATAAAACACAACTTTCATTAATTAAACGCTTATTATTTTCAAGTAGGTACCTAGAAACTAATCATTGTCGTTTCGTGTAATTTGCATTCCTCTTCTCACCATATTTAATTGCCACGGCACCGAACCCTCGCGTGAAACAAAATATTGTTTGAACTTTTCTCTAATGCTGTGAGCATATTGCGTGTGGTTCCTTCTAAGACCATCCAATGTTACATTAAATGATCGTTGTGTACATTTAATGATTGTTGTGTAGTAGGTTCTGTAGATATTTCATCTTGCAACTCAAAAGTTGTGCCCAAATAGTTATGAAGGCAGCATGCTGCTAGAACTACTTTGTCTACCATTTCTGGTTGTACCTGAAGAGGCCCTTGAAATACCCGCCATCTTGATCTTAATATCCCAAATGCGTTTTCTACTATTCTTCGGGCCCGGGACAGTCAATAATTGAAAATTTTATTGGATTCATTATTAAGCAAAGCATTTTTGCTGTAAGGTCTAAGTAAATAATGTTTAAGCAGAAATGCTTCATCACCAACTATAACATACGGATACGGATAATGATTCTGATCCTGGCATAAGAGGTTGATCTTCCGGTATGTTTAATTTCTTCTGATCTAATAGTTTGCCTAGTGTCGATTTTTCAAAAATACCTCCGTCACTGTTTCTTCCATAGGAGCCCACGTCTACTACTATAAAATTGTAATTGGCATCTACCAAAGCCAAGAGCACTATGGAATTTTGACCTTTGTAGTTCCAATAATCTGAGCCACCATTAATTGGACACTCTATGTTTATGTGTTTTCCATCCAGAGCGCCAATGCAATTTGGAAAATTCCAAAAGCGTTTGAAATCAGTAGCTACTTGTTTCCACATAACTTCTGTTGGTTGCGGCAACACAATAGGACCAAGATGTTTCCAAATCGCTTCACAAACCTCCTTCACTATTGTTCGTATAGTAAATCCCATGCGATAACTAAATTCGATACTTCGAAATGAATTACCCGAAGCCAGGAATCTGTAACATTTAATACAAGTTCTTAAAAATTTGGAATACAGGATTTAATCTTTATTGTTGCAGTTGACGAGTGCAAAGAAAATTGGAATAAGTTGCGTAATTGCTATAATAATGCTATAAAACAGCACCAAAAGAAAAGTGGCCAAGCTGGAAAAAAATTGCGCCCTGGCGGTTTGAAGAACAAATGTCATTTTTGAAGCCATATTTGGAGGGCCGTCCTACTACAGGAAATCCTGATGCTAGTGTGTCCTCTTCCATCCCCGGATAGTCCATACGCTGAAAGCCAACCATCCCCTGAAAGTATACCATCCCGCACCAATACTCCTACGTCGAATACATCATGCAAAAGGCAAGTCCCAGTACTGATAATTACTTGGCTGATATGATGGATATGATGAAAAGCTCACAAGAAAATAGAAATAAAAAGCAGGAACTGGATGATCTAGATACATTCTTTTTAAGCATGAGTAAAACTATGAAAAAGCTCCCAAGACTGGATCAAATTCGAATTAAAATGGATTTTTAGGTGAAGAAGAGATCAAACAACTGGAGTCACAACAAAATGTTTTGAGAACACCAATTGCTATTAGGAGTGACAGAAACAGCCTAAACCGCCATAATGTAAATTCTACTTCTGGGAGTTTGGTACAACCCCACATTTCATATTCTTCCCCATCTTATATACTTGAACTGCCCCATACCCAAGTTTCATCAGAAGCGGCTAATGATGATGAAGAATCTGGTGAGGTCGAAAATATTCACTGTTATTACGAAAATATCAATATGTAGATAATAAAAATATTCTTAACCATTATTATTTGTATTATTTCCTATAGTACCTAGCTTAGTTATCTCTGCAATAGAAAAACAGATAAAACATACCGTAGACAAACTGCTAGCCGTTCTCTGGTATCTACTAATTGGCTTCCGAAGACGTGTATGTTCTTTTTTATATGTCACATTCAATAATGCTATGAATCTCCTCAAACTGTACTATAGACATACGGAAGTACATAAAGAATCGGTCTTCAACACTTACCAATTTCTTTAATAATGTATGGTATTCACCTACATTTTCTATTTCTTTATTTATCTCATGAACCCAATATCTTCTCTTCTTAACTGTTTTTTTTTTTGTTCTTTTGGCGCGGAAATATACATTTAAAAATAACAAACGTAATAAATCGTCCTCTAATTCACTGTCAGACTCGGAAAACATTGTACACCTGAAGAAATTACAACAGCGTCTGATGCCAATATACGTTTTATACGTGGGACAAATGTGCACACCAAGTCACCCACGTTGCGTTGCATACGTTGCGTACTTGGGCTCAGCTTGTCCTTACCTTAATTCAACTACAAATTACAGGTTGTCACAACATTATTAAATTTAATGAAAATAGAAGAAAAAGTAAAAAATTAAGGAAAAGGGCCAATATATATAACATATTATATAAATAAAATACATAATAAATGTGCATCACTCACTCAGAATATTTTTTCATTTACAATTTTGTAAGGTGTCGTTAAAAATGTCGAAATCTGTGTCATCAGTTGATATTATATTATAGGTACGTGTCAAAAGGGAAACTCATCATCAAAATTATTGTTGGTTTTTATTTGCCAACTACAAAAAATAGAAGATTCATAATTCGACTGTATATGTTTGAAGTAAAAACTTCTTTAGAATCGTTGTTATTTAAAACTCGATTAAATGGAAAAGCAACCCTAAAAAGAGACAATAAATACTTCTATAGGATTTAACCTGCGTGATAATGCGATAAAATACATTACACAGCGTTTCCTTTGATCAGTAAGGACTAAAGATAAAATTTGTTGATTAGAAAATATTTAAGTACTTAAGATGATAAAATTGAAAACTTAGTATGTATAATATAAAATATAAATTACGTAGAATAATTTTTATTGTTACCAAGTTTAAAAATTAGTAAAATAATTTTTAAACTTGGTAACAATATTATAATAAATAAACCCGACACTATTATCCTACTCCTGATACTTTGCATTCGACTCACTCTCTCGCAGCTTAGTTTTCTGAAGGTTTCACTTCTATCGCATGTGAACGGTTCACGTTTTTTTATTATTAGGTTATACTTAGAGATGATCTCATATAGAATAAAATAATTTTACATTCTGAAGTCGCGAATTAAATACTCGTGTACGCTATGGCTTAACAAAAGTTTATATATAGCAATTAGCAATATAAACAAACGTATATTAAACAAAGCTTATTGCTTTGTTTAATATACCATCCTGGCACGACCAGATGCTCTTTTGCGGCATAGTACCTATATATTATATACTATGCCGCAAAAGAGTATATAATATGCGTATATTACATTTATTTATTAGCAGGTGTCACTTGTGTAATAAATGTGCATGTGCGTAACGTGGTTAAACAGGGTTTCGCGGAGACAGCGGCATCTATGTCTCTGGCAGCGCGGTCGTCGCGTGTGGGCGTGTTGCGGCAGCTGCCCGGTGCGGCCGTCACACCCCTGGCGCTGGCGGCAGCGGGCGCGGCCGACGTGCTCGGCGGCGTGCGGGCCGCGCTCGCGCCGCACCTGCACCGCGACCACGAGGACAAGTGGCGCCGCCCAGGTAACTAACTGCCGACGTGCGGGCCGCGCTCGCGCCACACCTGCACCGTGACCACGAGGACAAGTGGCGCCGCCAAGGTAACTAACTGCCGACGTGCGGGCCGCGCTCGCGCCGCACCTGCACCGCGACCACGAGAACAAGTGGCGCCGCCCAGGTAACTAACTGCCGACGTGCGGGCCGCGCTCGCGCCGCACCTGCACCGCGACCACGAGGACAAGTGGCGCCGCCCAGGTAACTAACTGCCGACGTGCGGGCCGCGCTCGCGCCACACCTGCACCGCGACCACGAGGACAAGTGGCGCCGCCAAGGTAACTAACTGCCGACGTGCGGGCCGCGCTCGCGCCGCACCTGCACCGCGACCACGAGGACAAGTGGCGCCGCCCAGGTAACTAACTGCCGACGTGCGGGCCGCGCTCGCGCCGCACCTGCACCGCGACCACGAGGACAAGTGGCGCCGCCCAGGTAACTAACTGCCGACGTGCGGGCCGCGCTCGCGCCGCACCTGCACCGCGACCACGAGGACAAGTGGCGCCGCCCAGGTAACTAACTGCCGACGTGCGGGCCGCGCTCGCGCCGCACCTGCACCGCGACCACGAGGACAAGTGGCGCCGCCCACGTAACTAACTGCCGACGTGCGGGCCGCGCTCGCGCCGCACCTGCACCGCGACCACGAGGACAAGTGGCGCTGCCCAGGTAACTAAATGCCGACGTGCGGGCCGTGCTCGCGCCGTACCTGCACCGCGACCACGAGGACAAGTGGCGCCGCCCAGGTAACTAACTGCCCACGTGCGGGCCGTGCTCGCGCCGCACCTGCACCGCGACCACGAGGACAAGTGGCGCCGCCCAGATAACTAACTGCCGACGTGCGGGCCGCGCTCGCGCCGCACTTGCACCGCGACCACAAGGACAAATGGCGCCGCCCAGGTAACTAACTGCCGACGTACGGGCTGCGCTCGCGTCGCACCTGCACCGCGTCCACGAGGACAAGTGGCGCCGCCTAGGTAACTAACTGCCAACGTGCGGGCCGCGCTCGCGCCGCACCTGCACCGTGACCACGAGGACAAGTGGCGCCGCCCAGGTAACTAACTGCCGACGTGCGGGCCGCGCTCGCGCCGCACCTGCACCGCGACCACGAGGACAAGTGGCGCCGCCCAGGTAACTAACTGCCGACGTGCGGGCCGCGCTCGCGCCGCACCTGCACCGCGACCACGAGGACAAGTGGCGCCGCCCAGGTAACTGACTGCCGACGTGCATGGCCGTGCTCGCGCCGCACCTGCACCGCGACCACGAGGACAAGTGGCGCCGCCCAGGTAACTAACTGCCGACGTGCGGGCCGTGCTCGCGCCGCACCTGCACCGCGACCACGAGGACAGGTGGCGCCGCCCAGGTAACTAACTGCCGACGTGCGGGCCGTGCTTGCGCCGCACCTGCACCGCGACCACGAGGACAAGTGGCGCCGCCCAGGTAACTAACTGCCGTCGTGCGGGTGCGCTCGCGCCGCAACTGCACCGTGACCACGAGGACAAGTTGCGCCGCCCAGGTAACTAACTGCTGACGTGCGGGCCGTGCTCGCGCCGCACCTGCACCGCAACCACGAGGACAAGTGGCGCCGCCCAGGTAACTAACTGCCGACGTGCGGGCCGCGCTCGCGCCGCACCTGCACCGCGACCACGAGGACAAGTGGCGCCGCCCAGGTAACTAACTGCCGACGTGCGGGCCGCGCTCGCGCCGCACCTGCACCGCGACCACGAGCAAGTGGCGCCGCCCAGGTAACTAACTGCCGACGTACGGGCTGCGCTCGCGCCGCACCTGCACCGTGACCACGAGGACAAGTGGCGCCGCCCAGGTAACTAACTGCCGACGTGCGGGCCGCGCTCGCGCCGCACCTGCACCGCGACCACGAGGACAAGTGGCGCCGCCCAGGTAACTGACTGCCGACGTGCATGGCCGTGCTCGCGCCGCACCTGCACCGCGACCACGAGGACAAGTGGCGCCGCCCAGGTAACTAACTGCCGACGTGCGGGCCGTGCTCGCGCCGCACCTGCACCGCGACCACGAGGACAAGTGGCGCCGCCCGGGTAACTAACTGCCGACGTGCGGGCCGTGCTCGCGCCGCACCTGCACCGCGACCACGAGGACAAGTGGCGCCGCCCAGGTAACTAACTGCCGTCGTGCGGGTCGCGCTCGCGCCGCAACTGCACCGTGACCACGAGGACAAGTTGCGCCGCCCAGGTAACTAACTGCTGACGTGCGGGCCGTGCTCGCGCCGCACCTGCACCGCAACCACGAGGACAAGTGGCGCCGCCCGGGTAACTAACTGCCGACGTGCGGGCCGCGCTCGCGCCGCACCTGCACCGCGACCACGAGGACAAGTGGCGCCGCCCAGGTAACTAACTGCCGACGTGCGGGCCGCGCTCGCGCCGTGTAGTTATCACCCTACTCATTATGTTAACGGAACATAATTACCAATCCGTGTACTATTTAACATAAAGCCTCAGACCGTACGGGGTAATTTTTTATTATATTAAGTAGTATTTTGATGTGTGATGGCGGCGTAAGAGAATTCATCGCCTCGTTTCATCGTATTGGGGTCGTAAGAGGCGGCTACTATAACAAATGCCAAAAACATCTAATCTTGGGTTACGTCACTCCTCCAGCCAAGCGTGACGATAAATGCAAATCCTTCCACTACAACTGGAAAGGTTCTATGTCTAAGCAGAGACTTCTATGGGATAAAGAACCGCTTGTTCATATTTTCAGGTTTTAATTTTATTTTCCAGACTCCACTGCAGAATAGATGCCAAGTCCGCCTGTTCTAGATCTCGATGGAAACTCTAGGTTAGAGAAGATTAAGATTTTATGAAGATTCAAAAAACGCCCTTAAGTCAATAAAACAGATGTATCTGAAATTTATCCTTTGATGTACCCCAAATCTTACTTTAATGAAAGACATTAATATAAACATGAACAATAAACATTCAATAAAGATTTGATCCATCATTATATTTACATATACAATATCATATGTTAGGATTTTAAAATCATAGTATCTAATGTTGTATAATAGAGCATAAAAGCTCTGACCGAGAGGTGGTTTTAATAAATCATTCCTCACATTCATATCAGAAATGTTAAATTAGTTTTCAAAAATAAATTTTGTATTTAATTAAAGATAGAGTACTTAACAAGCTGCGTAAATAATATATTGTAATGAATGATAAGCGTGCTGTTCTTGCAAATTTTAATAACTTGCTTCGAAATTGGCAGTAATAAAAAGTGTTCGTCTCAATGTCTACGCGTCAGACAATTAGTACACTTGAAGACGTGATGGCCAATGAATCATTGATATTAACGTAGTAATAAAAACAAATTCTTGTAAAATGTATTTCTGTATAAGAAATCTAGGGTTTTTCTATGTATTGTTACGAGCTTAGGGTTCGTGACGATAAAAACTACCGATTGAATTACCAAATTGACACTTTAATTACCGAACACCAATTACAACTTCTAATAATTAATCACACTTAACACCTGTTCGCAATTATGTCGCTTCGAAGTATACGCTTGTACAGCCAATTCAATACTCCCCGGTCGCCTTTTCCACTCAAACATTTAGAATCTTCGAGTACATACCGGTCCCGATCGACTAGGTGTAGAAAGTTCTCTCCTAGTTCTGCCACTCGTTACTAAATAGCGCTAGTGGGAAAGTTCTAATATATAATTTTCTAGAAAGCTCTCCCAGTTCTGCTACTCGATAATAGATGGCGCTAGTTGCATTAATTATGACTTGTAACAGTATCAAGAGACATATTTTGATAAAATGTTATAGTAAATTATACAAGAAAATTTCCTGAGTTGTTTGCTTTAAATTTTATATCAAAATTAGCTATCCGATCCGGCTTCGGCCCCGTGATTTCTGGATCTCGACAACAACCCTACCTACCGGATCCGATTGACTTTTTTTAAACCATCCAGGGACCCACAAAAAAATCATCAAAACGGTTACCGCGTATTTAACAAAAATATTTCTAGAAGGCATTATATCAAATACAGTTTATAAGTACTATGTGTGTAAATGTTTGTAGACCACCTATTCTCATCTGTAATTGTTTACCTTGAAAATGTAGTGTAATTTGTAACTCGTCTAAATGTGTTTCAATATTAAGTTATTGCTATAGTGTAATCATTATTTGCGATCGCTTTCGCTTGGCGTCGCTACTAAACGTAATTGCAAATTACATTTACTATCTTACTTCCTATATATAGCACGTACCATGAACAGAGAAAGGTTATTACTTTACAAAATGCAGAATACAGTTATTGAATTTGGTAACGACTGCATAAAGTCATATACTTGCTTTTTCCTGATATTATAAAAACTAAAAAGAAAAAGAAAACAGGATATTTAACATGCTTAGATTTTATAGTCACTTCAATATCGTTTTCAGTCGCAGTACAACTATGTTATTTTAAAATCTTTCTGTTCATAGTGCATGCTATACTACACATAATGGTGCTTGAGTTAATCGATATAGCATTTAGAGCATTTAATTGCTTGTCATTTTATTATAGATGTAAATATTTTTTTAACTAATGTAATCAGGAATGACTATTGGGTGCCATGACAAGTATGGAAGTTTTGCCACAAAAAACTGTGGTATTTAGTTTATCTAACATTTGATTTGATCATATAGACATATAGTGTCATAGGGACATATTATTTTTATGACTAGTATCTTAAGATAGTAGCAACATTGTTTTATAAAAGAGGTCAACATAGAATTTTGAAATCACAAAAATTATTCTTTTTGTAAACAAATTTATAATGTGAAATAAATGTTTAACATGGAACACTTTCTTCTTGTTATTATTTTACTACAGTAAAACGAAAAAATAAAAGACTAATCCTATTTCTGACTTTGTATTTTTAATCTAATTAAATATGTATAAAACTAAGTTTATCTATGTTTCACTTTCAACTTTCTCTTCAGGATATTTGTCGTTAAGGAAACTCTTGACTTCGCCATATTCCACTTTAAGGTTCAAGCGGATTTTTTCGTGATTCCTATACCTCTCAAATTTCTTAAGGAAAATATCATAGTGGGGCATAGTCTCATAGAACCTTGGGAACTTCTTCTTTTTCAAAATGACCTTGTCATTCATAACATATTGAATGAAGTCCAGTGTTTCATCCTTAGGTATTTCTTCCTTGGTCCTGACTACACTTGGACTGGCTACTACAGTAGGATAATATTCATTCTCAGCCCTGTACTCTACAAGATGTAGTTTTTTCTCTTCGGCTAGCTGTTGGTGTGTTCTCTGAAATAAAAATAAAAAATTACTAACCAGCCTTTCATTATGCATCACACCTGTAAGTAGTCAAGATTAACATTACAATGGTATGATTCAACATCACATAGCCCTAAAATTATTTGATTTCAGACATAACTTGTCAAGAAACTGCTTATAATGTAGGTACTCTTAGTATTAAGAGTAATAGAGCAATAATAATAATGATGATCCATAGCACTGCTCCAACTGCATTTTAAAAAACTACTTTTTTATATGGGTAAACGTGACAAATGAACACAGTCCATTTATCAGTCAGTTATCATGTCTCCATTAAGAATAAAAGTAATATACTTCATGTTTTAGTTTGCATAAGATTTTTCAACAGACATCTTTATTGAAACAGAATAAATCTGAGACTAAATACAAAAGTGATAGGAATAAAGCAACTAACACATGTACCTGCTGTAAAAGACCTATAAAGAAAGCTTTGACAATGTGCTGCAGATTGTTGGCTCCTTCTACTTTGGCTCTGAGGTCTTTAATGCCAATGGCTTGACAGATTTCTTTAAGTGCTCGATGGCAACATAAGCCATAACCCTCATTCTTCTTTTGAACAAATATCTTTGATTTTCCAAATGCAGTGAAGAAATCATGGAAAACTAAAACAAATAGAATTTACAATTATTTTCACTCCAAATTTTTGATGGTGTCAATTCAGCAAACGGAAACTAATATCTGCCTAAATCACCAAACAGTAAGTATAAGCCATTTGTTCCATGAGTGTTATAAGAGGCGACTATATGAATTGCATAAATGGCAATAAAACTATCACATTTTCGCCAGACAAAATACCGAAACCATGATTAAAAGTGTGTGGCATTCAGGTGCTAAGATTGCCGCCAAACTGAAATTTTCTGTGTCTGTTTATACAGGATGGCAGCAATTTTTCTGCAAATTATATATTGAAGGTCTAGCATGACCTAGTAATGCTAAATTCCCCATAAATTTCCTCTTACATTTTGTTTTGGCCAGGACAACATCATAATCATCATACCTAATAATGGTCCTACTGCAATCTGTGGGTTTATTTACATGGTCTTTGTTACTTTAACAATATGTACTAATAGAATGCACTTTTTCTGTGGGTAAAACTCTAATGAGGTAGTAGAAGTTTTTATCTTCTAATGATAAAAATCCTGAATCCTCTCAGGCATTCAATAACATGATCGGAATATTCATTTTTTTTATTCATAAAAATCTAAACTACTCTTACTTGTATGCCCATTATAAATATTAAAATGCATTAATTTCTTTCCAGCCCTATTTTTCGCCTTCCTCAGTGCAGCTGCGGCTTCTTTGGCTTTTCCAAAACCAAAACCTGCAAGGCCTTGTCCATTTCCAGTTACAACCTATAACCAAATCACAAAATACATCTAAAAATAATGCAATGTTCTAATCTATATTAAATTTATTTTGGTATAAAGATATTTTGAAAAGTACCACAAGACAATGAAGACACTATTATAAAAAAAGCAGAGGAAAACATACCATTGCTTGGTAATTCCTAGTTCGGCCCAATGTGCCTTTCATTATGAGCAATGATCGTAGTTGAAGCACTTTAGTGTCAAACCCAGTAAATTCTTCTACAAAATAGAAAGAATTTTTACCCAAATAGATAAAAAAATTAGATAAAATCACACAGATGTATGGTATGAAAAAAGAACTAGAAAATACATAAACCTGATAGATAGAAAGATATATCAGAAAAAAAATGTATATATCTTATATAGTTGGGGTAAGGTTTACAATTCGGTCGCCAGAATTTGGGGGTGGGGGGATGGCGTGGGGGGAGGGGGGAGGAGTTGTAGAGTCACCCCCTACTTCCACTTTCTGCCGGACGTACTTAGTTTTTTTTTATTAATTTTTAAAAATCACATTTTGAGGTTATGTTTCGTAATTTTTATGACAATTTTAACCTGATTTATGGGGAGAGAGAGTTGGGGGACGGAAGCCCCACGCCACTTAACGTGGTGCAGTCGAGGGAAGTCCGGTCGACAGAGCCCCGCTTCGCGAGGCTCCTACTTCTGAGTGGTTTACAAAAAAATAACCACGAAGAGGATGACGGGGTCTATTCGCTCGCTCACAAGACCCCGTCATCCTCTTCTAACCTAACCTGTCCGAGTCGGGGTGCTCCACGTGCCAGGCTCGCTTCGCTCGCTATTGCACTCGATATAACACCAAATTATTAACTTTCATAACTACTTTTATTTATAAACATAATTTATGGCTGCCACCATTTGTAAGAAAAGATCTTTGCGATATTTAGCAGTATTCCGCCGCCACAAATATTTCACTATTCACCAAAATTCTGAAACTCGGAAGCAACGCCATGAGGAAAAGCTGTCAACAAAATGGCCAACATAGCCATAGCGATTTAATTTTACATATTTTTAAATCGATTCAAATCGAAATTGGATGAATCGATTCACAAAAAATCGAAATCTTAAAAATCGATTTCGCAAAAATCGATCTTTTTTTGATTTGCGTTAAAAGTTTATATTTACGATAATAAAAGCAAAATAAAGTACAGATAACATTGAATAATTAAATTGAAAACTGTCATTCTTTAAGAGTTAGGGTACATTCAATTAATTGTAAATAATTTTACAAATCTTAATAAAACAGAAAAAGATTCGATCTCGATTCTCTAGGGTGAAATATCGATTCACTAGATTGATTCAGTACTATATATCGATATGACATTGACAGATGAAACGTCAAAAACGTAATTAAATTAGTCATTTACCAATATTTTTAAAAAATAATTAAAAATACTTCGACACTGCTCCGGCAGAAAAAATCGAGTGGGGGTGCTTCAGATAAACCCCCTTGACTCTCCCACAGTGACAGAATCTTCAAATTCAGGCGACCGAATTGTAAACCCAACCCTATACTTGAGGTTTGAAAGATAAATATGATTTAAGTCAAATCATCATCAAAAATTGTAGACAACATCCAAAATAATTGATGGAAGACTTAATGTTAATACCTACAACCCACTGACCTCTATTTAAGCAAATATGTTGGACCAGCTATACTATACAAAATATCTGTGCTAATTTGAAGCACCACCAATTTCCGTCCTGGGAACTAAAATTAACATAATATGCCATAGTCTGTTGTCTTATTTAAATCTTATCTCTCTATTTTAAACTTTTAAACTAAAAAACGAAAGCATTTTACATGGTTTGGAGCAAATCTCATTGCCTCATTATGTCATGGTGTATAGCCAGTCCAGCATACTTGTATATATAGAGGTCAGTGCTACAACCCATTCACTGTCGCTGTTTCTTATGTCCTTTCCTTTGTATTGGTCACAGCAGTGAATTTGTTATAGGTTTAACTTTGTGTTTAGGTTTGTATGAGGGAAATATTATTTTTTAAACAAAAATTATTACCATCTCCAATTGGGTCAGGTGGACCAATGCTTCTACCAGGCATCCTTGCACCCGACCAACCTCTTTCAATAGGGCTAAGTTTTAACCTTCTAAACTTTGTCATAGAATCACGCAATTTAATCAATTTTTCCATTCTATAACAATAAAATAAAATTAAATGTAAATACACTAACAATTTAAAAAGGCAAATAAATAAATTTTCTGAATTTTAGTTACTAATTATACTTAATAAATCTACAAAATACTTTCTCACATGATCATATTATTGCTGCTTTAGGTGGCAGAATGAATTAAGGTTATTAATTTATGGTAAGTAGTACTTTTATGCATGCTATGTAAATTGTTGCATGCTATAATTTGCGCCCGGTATATGGCGGGTGATTATTAACACCATCTGGCATCAAGCAGCAGAAAGAGCGAAGAGAGAGGAGCATCAAGATCTTTCTAGAACACTCCCACTAGCGCCATGTAGTATTGAATAGAAGAACTAAGTTTTCTAAAAAACTCCACACTCGAATTTTCTACATGTAGTCGGTCAGGACTAGTATTTTCTGAAACATTCTAGATGTTATGGTGGAAAAGGCCTATATAAAGCCATTTAGGCCGTGACTGGGGCAGTATTGAATTGGCAATACAAGTGAAGACTTAGGAGGGGAATAAAGTGAACTAAAGTATTAAGTATGGTTAATTATTAGTGTGTATTAGTTTTAATAGGTGTTCAGTAATTGAAGTATCAATTTTTGTAATGCAATCAGTAGTTTTTTTACTGTCATGAACCCTAAGCTCGTAACAATATTATTTACATCTTTTTGATCTATATAAGTACAGTTATATTTTTCATGCATTAGTGAAAAGAATGCAAGATCCTATAGAATATGGTTATTAATACAAAACATAGCATAATTCTTTAATCAAACCTCTCAGGATCATCCGGTAGTCGTTGCTGTTTCAATAATTCTCTACCCCTTATTACTGGTGCCGACAGTCCAGGCCATAGCATATTGATTCTTCCCACACCAATTACTTGCCCGCGATTTAAATCACGAATTCTTATACGCCCTGCACCCTTACCACGACCTTTTTTAGCTCCAGCGTTACTCACAGAGGTAACAGATTTCCATAACTTCTCAGCAGGTACTAAAAAAAATTAGATTACATTTGTTAACATTAACGGTCTCTCACGTAGCCGTTGAGTATTATTTACATTAAAATAAGTATTTATTAACTCTATAGCTTGACCAATGATCATTTAGTGAAAATAGAGCATTTCTTAAATTAACATATTTTTTTATGAGTAACAATCCTAAATATGTATATATATGTATATTACGGGTAATACTCACATTTGTTAAAAAAATTCACACAAGCAATAGATGATGTACTAAAATTTGTTAGGTTATGTATAACATTTTTGTGGTACAATGTTGTTTGATTCGAAATAATAGGTTTATTTAAAAGATGTCTGAGTGAAAACAATTTCAGAGACATCGTATAAACAGAGACTGAGCTCTGCTGTCTGTATGCTCTAATAAATAATTATTAAAAATAGATATTTTCAATACAATGACACAGACAACAGACAATGAAAATGACAAGAACCATAGAGGAAAGTAATATATCGTACAGACAAGAACCAGAAATCACAAACATGACAAACACACAGTGCTGCCATAACTGTATTTGGAAAGAGAGCTAGAAGAATATAAAAAAGAACTAAAAAAGAGCTAAATTTAAAGTATATGAAATTAATATTTTAATCTATTGACATAGCGAAACATACAAATTAATGTCTAATAATCTTAGAAATTGCAAATAAATATGTAAATGAAGAACTTTTAAACAGGATAAAAAAGATGGTAAATTTCAGACTTAAAATATTATGGTTAATCATCGTCGTAAGAACAATCATTTATTAAATCAATCAATGATATTATTCCACTCGTGCTTGCTTTTTCTTCATTTGCCTTTGAGTTTTCGTAAGTTGCCATTGTATCTATTTTTTCAATTATTATAAAAGATTCGGATAGGCGCGTAACTAATACTTGAGAAAATTATAACCTTATTTTTTCATGTGGGGTAAAATTCTGTAAAAAGCTATGAAGCTAAATAAGTTTTTTTAAGCTAACTTATTGTAAATAGAACTGAATATAGCTCTAAAAGCTAAATTAGCAACACTGCAAACACATGACAAATTGACAAAGGACTAATGGTGGATGGTGGTTAATATAGCGCATAGCGCCGTATTATAGCGCGCTATCTTTCCATAGCGCGTAGCGCGTGCTATGTAAGTAGCCGCCATGGTGCTTTGGCATTTTTGAGTATTAAACCAGCTGGAGAGGCCATGTGCGTTAATTCCTAAACAAAAAAGTCTATCAATGTTAGGGGGCACAAGAAAAACATAATACTGTATACTACTCTACAAATGCAACATTGAATCGCGTCATTGTACACACATACTATATATTATATAGTATATACAGCATATTAGCAATACAGCATATTTATACAGCATTTGTGTTTGTGTTCATTGCATTCACGCATACCATCAAATTGTACACGTGTCGACACAATGATGCCGCTGTCTACATACGTAAGCAAAGTAAGGCGAGGACTATGTCAATATTATTTATCGATAAACAAGTCATCATAGTCCGCATAAGTTCAGCGTTAGTAAAAGTGATTTTAGTATTTTTTAATTCATTACCTACAGCCCTTCACAAGTACGCTGCTGAACATAGGCCTCCCTAAAGGGGTGGCACAGAGCACGGTTCTGATCCACCTCCTGCATCCATCAACAGCCTGCATGTCTTATCAGGTCGTCACTCCATCTATTGGGGGGTAGCCCTGCACTTCACCCACCGGCGCGAGGCTGCCACTCAAGAAACTTTTCCTCCCCATCGGTTGTCGATTCTTCGAACTATATGGCCGACCAATTGCCACTTCAGTTTATCAATCAGTTGGGCTATGACGGGCTTTCTGGTTCTACTGTGAATATCCTTATTTCTATGTTTATCATGCAGAAAGCCCCAAGCATAGCCGTCCCCGTAGCTCTCTGAGTGACTTTGAGCTTCCTAATACGGCCAGCAGTGAAGGGTTTTTTAGTGTTATATAAAATTATAATTTTATTGTAAAAATAGTTATGGCCAGTTTTTGAAAGCCTGAACAAACTCGGATTTTAATTCAAATTTAATCAAAAAGTTGGCTATAGGTACTTTCCACTTGTGTTGGCATAACCGAACAATAAAAAACTAATACGTTAGTAACTTCACCGAAATTATCGGATATTATATCAAACCCGTAGTAGACATAGCCACAATGCCTTTGACTACTAGCACGGTATTTCATTTTCTGCTTTATTTTCATTTCATCCATGACTAAGGTTCAATAAAATAAAAAACTTTTTTTAGTTCAATTTTCCTCGGTGTGCAGTCTGTTCACTTAGATACGGTCGTTTTTGTGCCGTGGTTTCCACCTCACCTCACATCTCATCACGTGCCGAATTTCGTCAAAGGTCCTATATTAAAATTTGTGCTGTAAAGCACCCGAAACGTCGGAAGTCAAAAATTAAAATTTAACACGTATAGTACATACATGTATGTTAAATTTTAACATACATACAAAATAGTTTAATTTAATGTGTAGTGTTCGCGTAAATATAAGAAGTCATAATTATAAGCTTATCGAAATTATAAAATATTTTCAAGAAGAATAATATTGGTGTCAAGGGTAATAATAAAAATATTTAATCTATTGATATTGTTGCGCGCTATAATTAATGCTCAGTACATGGCGGGTGGTAGTTCCGCAATCTGGTATCAAGTAGCAGAAATGGGAGCATCAAGATCCCTCTAGAACTCTCCCACTACACTACACAGTGTTTGCGTAAATATAAGAAGTCATAATTGTAAGCTTGTCGATCTTCTAAAATATTTTCAAGAAGAATAATATTGGTGTCAAGGGTAATAATAAAACTTTCTATTGATATTGTTGCGCGTCATAATTAATGCCCAGTATATAGCGGGTGATTATTAGCGCCATCTGGTATCAAGTAGCAGAAATAGGAGCGTCAAGATCTTTATAGAACTCTTCCACTAGCGCCATGTAATATCGAATAGAAGAACTAAGTTTTCTAGAAGACTCAACACTCGAATTTTGTACACCTAGTCGGTTGGGACCGGTATTTGCTGAAACATTCTAGATGTTTTGGTGGAAAAGGCCTATATAAAGCCTTTTAGGAGCCGCGACCGGGTCATTATTAAATTGGCGATTTAAGCGAAGACTTGGGTGCGAAATAAAGTGAACTAATGTGTTAAGTGTGATTAATTATTAGTGTGTTTTAAGTTTTAATTGGTATTCCGTAATTAAAGTGTCAATTTTAGTAATTCAATCGGAAGTTTTTACTGTCACGAACCCTAAACTCGTAACAATTCATGTCAGAAGTGGGATAAAAACGTGCCGATTTTACCTAAAGACAAAACAATGGGTATCCGTACCCAAAGTCAACGCCAGCAGGAGACGTACCAGAGACGATTTGGTTGTGCAATGCGTCATACGTCGGAGGGCCAGCTGCCGGTCAAAGAGGCCGGTCCGTCAGCAGCTCCTACATCGGTAGCACCTGACTTAGGTGCTCTGATGATGATGCTGCAGGAACAGGCCCGCCGACAGGAGGAACAGGCCTGCCAACAAGAGGAACAGGGCCGTCGGTTGGAAGAGCAGCTGCAGCGCGGACAGGAGGAATAAGCCCGTGGGTTGGAAAAGCCAGGACTGCGGGGCGGCTGCCGGCTGATGTTAAAAGAGCTCCAAGGATTTTGATCTCACAAACCCATGATGAGAACGGCCTAAACATCAAGGGCGAGATCAATGGAATGCCGTGAAAACTGACCATAGACACTGGAGCCTTTCTCACGGTTATGAGTTCCCAACTTATAAGTCAGTTACTTGAGGACTCCGCATACAACCAACAACGCATTAATTTGGTAACAGCCACCGTTCAGCGCATACCCGTCCGTGGAGAGAAGGAGATGGTGTTGAAGCTAGAAAACATGATCTACCTGCATAATGTCATCGTGGCTGATATAAGGGACGACGGCATCCTGGGCCTAGACTTTATGAGGAATAATTATTGTTACGGCCCTCAGTTACCCCGATAAAAGTCGACAGGATTAGGGCCCATCAGTAATCCAAATCGACGAGCAACCGAGGGGAGGGCCCAATAGCCTATGGATAATTAATTTATAACGGCTGTATAAGCAAACACAAACTTACCGAATTCCGGAAATAGGGTCGACCACAAGGTGCTGTCAGGGGAAAGTAAATGATATGTGTGAGTGGTGTAGGAAAGTGTATAATGTAAACTGACGTCACCAATGCAATCGTTCAGCAGAACCACATTCGTTGCCACGCTCCACAAGGCCTCGTTGTCACGTATATTAACGAAATAAAACAACACGATGGAGGCCGTCGCAATGCGACGCAGCAATTCTTACGTAACTCGCGACTCTAATCGACACTGCAGTCGCGCCAAAGATTCTTCTAGACTAATCTCACTGCCGTAGGCGTAAGGCCGAACGCCCCCCTCCCGCGCAAAACGACCTCTCGCCCGGGACTAGTGTTCCCGCAAGCTGCAGCTTGTAACGACTTGGCGTAAACAATTGTTGTGAGATCGACGTTAGGCAAGGTGTTTTGAAATGTGGACAGGAGGAACTTTTTGTGGAAGGGGCGTTACCAGGGAACATGTACAGCCTTAAGAAGATTGTTCTTCCGCCGAGATCGGAAACGATTGTGCCGGTTAGTTTTCCTCGGAACCCTGGGCAAGCTCACCGTTGTGTACTCGTGTAAAGGGTAAACAATGACCTTCCATGGAAAGTAGCTCGAACCTTGGTCAGCACCTGACATCTCAGGAGTACGTGTGCTGAACCTTTGCAACCAGGAACAGATTGTATAAAAAGGCACACTGGTTGGTCCTTGTAAGGAAGTGGATTGATTGTATCGGTGCCAGTATCTATCGAGTGGGACCCCCAGCAAGGATACACGAACGAGAGTGACCACACTTTAAGAAAACTGTCGCAGCCTTCTGTCCCCTAACATAATGGTCAACGCGAAGAAGTAGTTACTCAAGTACTCCGATGTATTTATTCTCTTCAAACGATGCTGACATAGGGACGACTGGCTTAGTTCAACACAAAATAAACATAGGAGAAGAATTGCCTATCCGTCAACGGCCAAGAAGATTGCCGGTAGCACGTGAAAAGGAAGTGAAAACCGTGTGAGGGAATGGTTAAGGATGGTGTTATTGAACCTTCATCTAGTCCATGGTGTTCACCCGTGGTGCTGGTAAAGAAGAAGAACGGCAGCATGCGGTTTTGTGTTGACTACCGCCAAAGAAGGGACAGCTATCCCTTGCAAAGAATTGAGGACACGCTGGACATGCTTATACGAGTAAAATGGTTTAACACGCTGGATCTAAAAAGTGGCTACTGGCAAGTTGAAATTGATCCTAAGGACAAGGAGAAAACTGCATTCTCGTCGGGAAAGGGTCTGTGGCAATTTAAAGTAATGCCGTTTGGATTGTGCAATACTCCAGCAACGTTTGAAAGGTTGATGGAACTTGTACTTACCGGGCTAATTGGCGATATTTGTCTGGTCTACTTGACATCCTCATTATCGTAGGCCGTACGCTAGAGGAAGATCTTCAAAACCTGGAATGCGTGCTCATGAAGAGTTCCAACTTCAAGTTGAGTCCAAATAAATGTTTACTACTATTTTTTGGGGTATGTAGTGTCGGAAGAAGGTATCCACACGGATCCAAAGAAAATCGCCGCTGTCAAGGATTGGAGGGTTCCAAAATACAGGAATCAGGTTAGAACATCTTTGGTTTGTGCTCCTATTATCGGCGATTTGTGAAAACTTTGCAGATAGCCAAACCCCTTCAGAAGCTAACTGAGGAGAACCGACATTTCAGCTGGGATGAAAGTTGCAATATCGCATTCCAGAAGCTCAAGAACCGTCTGTGCAAAACACCTATTTTGGGTTACCCTGATGCAGGCAAGGAATTTATAGTTGACACAGACGCAAGTGATACAGGACTTGGCTGTGTGTTCATCATCATCATCATCATCAGCCTGCGGCAGTCCACTGCTGGACATAGGCCTCTCCCAAGGCGCGCTACTTAGCCCCGATCTTCGGCTATACGCATCCAGTTTCTACCAGCCACCTTGCGCAGATCGTCGCTCCATCTGGTCAGGGGGCGATGTACCGCCAGTCAATTTGGCACTGCTGCAAAAAATCTAGAACAGCCCAAGTTTCAATGGAGACAAAGGCTTTCTCATAGTCCACAAATACAAGACACAGAAGCTGATTGTACTCTGTTGTCTTCTGTATTATTTGCTGCACTATGTGAATGTGGTTTATAGTGCCAAATCCTCCTCGATGAGGGGGATAAGTCGCTCGCGTCCGTAGGCTTTGACCACCTGTTCCTAGGCCCACCCTACACGTGTCCCCCGGGTGGTGCTAAATGAGCGACAAGCCGATACCACAGACTCGGCTCCACGCCGTGGTAGCGGCGTTAAATATACCACCCCATTTCGCACCATGAGGAATCGAATTAAAGAAATGGCCCCGAGTTCCCGGCGCCCCTTTAATGGGGCAGGGGTGCGAAGAATCTCCGGGAGGAAAACCGGCGACGAGGTTCGCCACCCGTCATGTTCTGTCTCCCGGAGAGGCGAAAAGTGGATTGCAGAGGCCCGTCTGGCTACGTTGAATGTATGTGGGGCAATGAATGATAAAATGGATGAAGTATGCGATATGATGTATGATAGAGGAATAGATGTGTTATGCGTAAATGAGACGAAAAGGAAGGGGAAGGATGTCACTACACATGGCATGTATACCGCATACTGGTCTGGTGTAGACGAGATCGAGCGGGCATGCCAGGGAGTAGGTATCATCCTTTCAGAAATAATGGGCCAATGTGTGAAAGAGTATGAATGTGTAAGCCTAAGACTGCTAGGGATACGAATGAAAGTGGGCTTAAAGAAGTTGTTTGTGTTAGGGGTCTACGCCACAGACATGTCTAAGCCCACTTATATCCGAGAGCAGTTTTGGGAAATGGTAAGGATGGTGTTAATGAAGTGTAAGGGAAATGAAAATATTATTATGCTAGGAGATTTTAATGGAAGGGTTGGGGTCAGGATGCTTGGTTATGAAAGGATATTGGGAACGTTTGGTGATGAAAGTATAAATGAGAATGGTGAAAGTCTCCTCACCGTATGTATGGAAAAGAATCTTTTTGTGACGAACACTTGCTTTCGCCATAAGAGGATTCACATGTATACTTGGGAAAGAGGTGACGATAGAAGCATGATAGATTTCATAATTGTGGATGAAAGATTGAGGGGCGCAGTGGTAGATACGAGAGTTTACCGGGGTTCTAACGTAGGAACGGATCATTATTAAGTTTTATGCCGAATTAATGGTCTACTCAGGCGTTGGCGCCATCGATCGTCTATGTCTACCACTGCGTTACAGCGTATTAGAACAGAAATGTTACAAGATGAAAGTGATAAAAACAAGTTCAAATGTAGACTTAAAGAAAATATAAGTGGTTTGGATGAATTATGTATGAAGGAGTTAGACTTGGAGAATATATGGCAAAATGTAAAGAAAGGTTTAGTGGATGCAGCTACCGAAGTATGTGGTGTTAGTAAGAGAAAGAATGAAAGGAAAAATAATACGTTATGCTGGGATGATGAGATATGTATGGAAGTTGAAGCAAAGAAGAGAGAATGGCTAGATTTACTAGCAACAAAGGCTGCTAATTCTAGTGGTACGAATGGTGATATTGAAAGAAAAAAGGTAGTCTTTAGACATCTTAATAAGAGAGTAAAAAAAGTAGTTGAAAGAAAAAAGCAAGAAAGAACGGATAAGAATTATAGAAGAATATCGGATAACTTCCAGGCAAATATTAAAATGTTCTGGAAACTTGTAAGAACTGCCAGGGGACATTCAAAACAGCCTATGATGAATGCTATAAGAGACGAGAATGGCTATATTCTGAATGATGAAGTTTTGAGTTTAAAGAGATGGAAGGAATATTTTGAAAGCGTGTTTATGAGTGAGGAGACAACGTGTGTACTAAGTGAAGTAGAAACACCGAAAGAAGAATAAAGAGGTAGCGAGATAAGTATAGATGAAATAATGAAAGCAATGAAAAGCATGAAAGCAGGTAAGGCTGCCGGATATGATAGAGTTTCACTCGAAATGTTAAGGGCTGGAGAGGAAGTGGTGGCAGGCCTGCTGCACACCTTGTTTAATTTATGCTGGGAACTGAAGCGGGTACCGGTAGACTGGTGCAAAGCCGTGATAGTCCCAGTATATAAAGGAAGAGAGTCGCAGCAGCACTGTAAAAACTACCGTGGCATCAGCCTTCTTAGCATTGTGGAAAAACTGTATGCTAAGGTACTGATTGAAAGGGTCATGAAAGAAACTGATGGAAAAATTTGGGATGTGCAAGCGGGATTTAGAAAGGGAATGGGATGTACAGATCAAGTCTTTTCCATGCGCATGATCGCGGAGAAGTTTCTGGCCAAAAACCAAAAGGTTTTTTGTGCGTTCATGGACTTGGAAAAGGCCTATGACAGAGTGGATAGGGATTTGCTATGGCAAACACTGAACTCATTTGGGTTGAGCGCTGGCTTGATACAGGCATTGGAGTCTCTTTATAGGGACTCTAGTGCTTGTGTTAGGATCAACGGGGTCTACTCGGACTGGTTTGACATCCATAAAGGTGTCAGACAGGGCTGTGTGGCTTCCCCGTGGCTGTTCAACCTATTTATGGACAGTTGTTTGCAAAATTTGAAAGTTGAAGAATGCGGATTAAGAATGGGTGAGTTAACCGTCAAATGCCTTTTGTACGCCGATGATCAAGTTATTCTTGCGTCGTCGGCGGCCGAGTTGCAAATTATGGTTACATTAATGAACGCATCATTAAAAGAAAGGGGTATGAAAGTGAACGCAAGTAAGACGAAGGTTATGGTTTTTGAAAGAGAAGAAAGTAAAACGATTTGTGAAATAAGAATAGAAGGGGAGTTGAACGAGCAAGTAGATGAGTTTGTATATTTGGGCTGCGTATTTAGCAGGGATGGGAGATATGATAAGGATATAGAACGACGAGTGAATGCGGGAAATAGAGTAAATGGGGCCTTGCACTCTATTGTGAAGAGTCAAAATGTGTCGAAAAAGGCACGTATGGCAATTCACAATGCTGTGTTGGTCCCTACTTTAACGTATGGTAGTGAAAGTTGGGAGTGGCAGAAGAAGCACGAGAGTAGAATAAACGCAGTAGAAATGCGGTCGTTAAGGAGTATGGTATCTGAATGACAGGGTAAGAAATTGTGTAATAAGAGAAGAGTGTGGTTTGCAAGATGATGTTGTGACCAGGATTAAGAAAGGAATGCTTCGGTGGTTTGGTCATGTGGAAAGAATGAATGAGGAAAGAGTGACAAAGAAAATTTATGGTGCAGAAGTGAATGGCAGAGTCTGAAAGGGACGTCCTAGGCGAAAATTTATCGACCAAATTGGCGACTTATTGAAAACGGGCCAAATTAGGAGTACCCTTAACTGACGAGCATGTATGCGTAGGTGTATGGATGTGAAGGAGGCAAGAGTGGTTTGTCAGGATCATGCCAAATGGAAGTCTGTAGTCTCTGCCTACCCCTCTGTGTGACAGGCGTGAGTGTTTATGTTATGTTATCCTCCTCGAAACCCAGCCTGTTCCGTAGGCTGAAAGTCGTCGAGTCTTTGCGCGAGTCGATTTGTGATGACCCTCGAAAACAACTTATAGACGTGGCTCAGAAGCGAGATGGGTCGATAATTTTTTAGCATAGTCTTGTCACCTTTCTTGTGAAACAAGACTGAAATGCTTTTGCTCCACGCCTTTGGCGTTCTCCCATCATGTAAGATGCAGTAAAAACTCGACAGAGCTCTTTTAGCAAGGGTTGACTCCCAGCTTTTAAGAGCTCTGTTGTAACTCCATCTTCTCCAGGGGCTTTTCCATTTTTAAGTTGACCGCATCAAATGTCAGGCATCTCGTCGGTATAGTGGCGGGTCAGCGTGGCTCTGGGATCATCGCATTAAGGGTCAGGTTGTGGCTTATGTGAGGCATATAGGTTGTCATAATAGTGTTCGATCTCAGAGAGAACCTCAGACTTTGACGTGAGGACTTTGCCATCAGATACAGGACTTGGCGGTCTGTTGTCTCAACGGAATGGTGATCAAGAGGTTGTGATAGCGTACTTCAGCAAGTCGTTGTCAAAACCGGAAAGAAACTATTATGTCACAAGACGCAAACTGCTAGCTGTGGTAAAGTCGTTGATATTTTAGCAAATATCTCCTGGGGTGGAAATTTCACTTACGAACTGACCATGCTGCACTAAAATGGCTATTGCAGTTCAAAAATTCAGAAGAACATATTGCGAGTTTCGTTGAAAGTTTGTCAGTTTCAGTGGGACCGTTTCCAGAAATTGAAAGTATTTCATTGTTGTGATGGATTACTTCACTAAGTGGCCAGAAGTCTTCGCCATTCCAAATCAAGAAGCTTCAACAATAGCAGATAAACTAGTTCATGAAGTCCTCTGTCGTTTTGGAGTACCTTTAGAGATTCACAGCGATCGATCGAATTTTGAGTCTCAAATAAAACTTGCCGAGTTATGGGTCCTCATAAAACAAGAATGACTTCTTACCACCCGCAATCTGATGGAATGGTAGAAAGATTTAATCAGATATTGGAGAGGTACCTAGCAAAAGTTGTACGCAATCAGCAACGAGATTGGGACAAGCACATATAACCGTTTTTGTTGTCATATCGAAGCTCTTTTCACGAAAGTCCATCAGTGACACAGTGGCGAAGCTTCAATAAAAGCCGAAAAGCGGGGCTTGCCTTATTAAAACTGAATCAATCAATAATATCAATCAATAATATCAACTAATAAAATAACTCATTAACTGTTTCAAATTATTTCAATTTTCCCGCGCACTCCACTGTTCGACACATGTCGACCGATGACCTAGTATTGTCTTAGCGATACGTTTATACAAAGGTACTCTGTGGCAATACTGCTGCTGTTATAAAGTGAGTTTTAATAGAGCGATTAGTTGCCTCCCTCGCTCGCGTGGACTTTTTACGGGGCTTTCGAGAAGACGATCGCTCTCTTTCTAACCTATGGCAAAATATTCTATAATGAAATATAACTACGAAATGTTTATATAGCAATTACTATTGAGCCCACAAGCCTGCCTTTGTCGTGAAGTTGTTTAGGAGTTAATAAAAAAATTTTATTTGACTGGAGTTTTGGCGGGAACTTGGCCGTCGAAGGATTGCCGCTCCTGTTTTGTCGCTTGAATAATAATTGAAGTTGATTTTGATTCGTAAAAGGGATGCCATTTTGCGAATTAGATGTCTGCGCGTGTGAACTATTAGCGATAACGATGAAACAAGTGATTTGATGTTGATACAAACCTCAAGTTATTTTGATTGCTTGGGCGTCTTATAAACTTGAGTGACTGTCGTCACCAACTATCCACTGGGTTGAGCTGTCGTCAAAATCTCCCAAAAACTTTGCAATATGGCGCATCAGCATATTGTGAAGAAAAAATATGTAAAAATGAAGATTCCGAATATGAAGGTTAGAGAACAGGAGAACGATCACTACGTACTAAAGCGTAGCCCGCCTGTCCTTGAAAATTGTAGAATGTATAGCGGCACTGACGTCGATAAGTAGTAACTGCGAAGTTAGCTGTTTATGAGTACATGTAGATGAAGTTAGTTGAATAATGTACAAATGTTCATTTCATTTTTAATGAGAAAATCTTCATGCTCCGTAATTTTGTAATTTTTGACAAAAAGAAACATTAAAAAATGTTTTGTTGTGCGTGGATGTGCATGTGGTTTAGTTTCTTATAGGAAAAATAGACTCAAAATGACTTTTATTGATCGAACCTTGAGCGATCGCAGCACCTTACTTATGGTGTACATATTTCTGGACACTATTTTCTACGGTGATCGTTCTCCTGTTCTCTAACCTTCATGATTCCGAAAGAAATGATAGGCTCAGAAGAGCTAGAACCTAGAGCCTTAGAGCCAGTTAAATAAAGAATATATATTTGACCGACTACGGTACTGCCATATAAAAATTATGTAAATAATGTGCTCTACTGTTGAAATTAAAAAAATCTACCCCATATCAAATCGGAATAACACACTGGATAACTTTTGGAGACACAAATTAGAATAGGATCTTTTTCCACTAGCATTGTATTATTGCAATAATTCATGCAATTTTTCACATCTTTATTGGTTTAAAAAGAAACTACAATTGTAAAACCACAATGCTATGTTATTCTTTTTTGATGCAACTTTTCGTTCCGTAAGTTGATAGGAAACAAATAAATTTTTATACACAGCTTTATTTTGTTAATTCAAAAATGTTTTTATGTTTAGGCCTCTCGAATATTCTGGTTATTTCTACATTATAAAATAATCATATAACTATATTATTTGTTAGCGCATGGTATTCACAATCAAGAATAGGCTCACCTCAAACTTTTAAATAGGACATTTTTATGACCTTACCCTATGCGCCGAACCACAGAGTACTTTTTATATACCTGAAACGCCGAACATCAAAAACACAAGAGAGGTAACATAATAACATCTATCATCAGAACAATAATGTTTGGCATTAGTTTTTAGAGAGGAGAACAAAATTAATTTAACTCATTAAAAGCAAATTAGCAAACAATAATCCTAATATTGATTCTAGAGAATTTATTTCTATGTTTTTTTTTATTTACTACGTTTTATACACTAATCTCAAAATTGTTTAATAAACTTTTGAACGTAAAGGCGCATCAACAAAATATTTTGACAGTTAATTTACGTGGCTGACAGATTATGAGAGTCAAAATTTGAATCATGTACACTTCATGTTAGCTTCTTGAGCACAATATTTTTTAATTAATTTGTGCGGAGTATTTTATCTTTACGTACAGACTTAATATAGCCGACATAATGGGTCTTTGCAAATGCCCTAAAAGAAGGGTGACTAATCAGTTTTGTTTCGAACACAGAGTGAATGTTTGTGAAAACTGTATGGTAACAAACCACCCTAAGGTAAAATATTGTAAAATTAAATTGTTACGAGACAACTGAGTATGTGCTTATCATAATTTATACCTTTTTAAAACATCGTCTTTATCTTTTGATTGTAGTGCATAATACAGTCATACCTTCAATGGCTGCAAGATAGTGATTATAATCCTATTTGCGAAATTTGCACAAAAAGTTTATCTGAGGGAGAGTGCATACGGCTTACTTGCTACCGTAAGTTATTCTTTTTGATTAACATAGCTTATGTACAATGTCACTTAAAATGTATATAGCGCTTATACCTATTTTAAGTCAATGTTTGACTACTATCTCACCTAATGTTAATTGTTGATCTATGTGCACTGCCGTAGTTTAACAAAATCCTATTCACTGCTACATTGAAGACATTCATATTCTAAATTTGTAATTAAATGGAAAGACATTGCTGGTAAATTATTCCACTCCTTTGCATTAAAACCACAAAGCAAACCATTTGGTTCAGCTGTGAGGTATATCAACAACAAATGGAGGGGATACTTGCTTAGAGGTTGTTTGATGGTCAAATGGAGAGGAAGGAGGTTTTATTTAAATAATAATAAGGGCGATTGACCAGAAAGGACCAGATGGAGTGACAATCTGTGCAAGGTGGCTGCTAGAAACTGGATGCGTGTAGCCGAAGATCGGGCTAAGTGGCGCGCCTTGGGAGTGGCCTATGTCCAGCAGTGGACTGCCGCAGGCTGATGATAATGATAATGAAGGACAATTTGGTAAATTTTTTTAACAAAAGTGTAATTTCACAATGAAATCTCAATTTCAGCCAAATGTAATGTGATATTGGATTTTTTTAAATAATCCAATTAAAGGTAACCAAGGAGGCTCTAAAATTGAAAAATCATCCGATATCAATGATTTTTTTAAAAGTTCATTTTTATGGCGGATTTATGAAAAAAAATATGGAAAATATCTCACCTGAAGATTTCATATAGTTATATGACTTTAAATGTAATCATAAACGCACTTCTTCAAATATAATCATTCGTAACTTTTTTGCAAAGCATTAAACGAAGTTTATATAGCTTTTTGTTAATCTACACAAAAAACAAACATTTAAAAAACATTGAAAAATTTTGTTTATTAATTTTTAATGTCACTGAAAGTTTTTATATGGTTTTCTGACTTAAATGTTATCTTAAACACTCTAGAAAATCGAAATCATTATAAAAGTTGATACTTTGGTGTTTTATTGAGTATAAGATCAAACAAAGCGAGCTCGGGACTTAGGCCATTAAGGACTGTGCTACGGGAGAGAGTTGGGGGAGGGAAGTACTACACCACTCAACATAGCACAATTGAGGGAAGCCCGGTCGACGGAACCCCGCTATGCGGGGCGCCTACTTCTGAGTGATTTATAAAAAAATAACCATCAAGGAGATGATGGAGTCTAATCGCTCGCTCACTCGACCCCACCATCTCCATCTAACCTAACCTGTCCGAGTGAGAATGCCCTAAGTCCTGAGCTCGTTTTGCTCAATCTTACACTCAGTAAAACACCAAAATAAAAAAATTACAAACAAACATTTTTCAATGTTTTTTTAAATGTTTGTTTTTTGTTAGATTATGAAAAAAATATAACAACTTTATTTGATTATTTGTAAAAAAGTTATCAACAATTATTTTAATATTTTATATTACAATTTTAATTAAATTGTTGTGGATGTTAAATAAAAACTTAATAACTAAAAACTAAAAAATAAAGAGCCAAAATAATATTATTTTTACATTTTTAGTTTTTCAAAATTACACATGAATGAGTGCAATTTCATGCACATTTAAAGCCGTAAAAACGAAGATTTTAAAAATAATCATCAAAATCGGATGATTTTTCGATTTTCCATGAACCAAAAAACGAAGGGACCGCGATGGTATAAAATTACCCTAGACAGATTATGAAGTGTTTAAATTAATGTTAATGTAAGACCTAATGTTACAGTGTATAAGAGTCCTTATGATGGGCAAAAACCTTAATTTATTTAGTATAGTAATATGGACAAATAAAGTCTTCTGTGTTGCTACAGTGCAAAATACAGATTAAAAGTTTTACCCACCTTTGCTTCTTTATATGCAAATTAGCAGTACTTTTAGTTTACTTTCACTGTTAAGCTTATAGTTCTTTTACTTATTGTAAGCTAGTGCTTGATTACAATCCCACCTGGTAGTAAGTGGTGATGTAGCCCTAGGTGGTGAATCACACTGTCCTAGCATAACAAAGCCTATTCACTCTCACCCTGATTGTATTTGAACGGAAAAATAGATGTCGGCAAGTTATTCCATTCCTTTGCTATAAGCATTACAAAAGAAGAAGTAAACCACTTGGTTCTGATGCTTGAAATATCGACAACATAGGGGTCAAGATCCACCGATCTGGTTGTCCGATGGTGGAAAGGAGAGGGAGGAATTAAAGTGTGTAATTACTGTGCACACTCACCGAAATGTATCCCATGTATTACTGTGAGGCTGGCTACTCTGCGCCTGTGCTTGAGGCTGACGAGATTGGTTTCAACCAAATCAAGTTTACCAATGAGCCTCTTAGTCCACCAATATTTGCAATAACTATTCGGCACTAGATTTCAATCTTCAAACCTAAATATTAAGTTTTGAATTTCCTACCATTTTTTTTACGTTTGGTAGCCTTGACATACTTCTATGAATCATGTAATCATAACTAAAAGCGATATATTGCCACATACATTGGTAAAAAAACACATAATCCGAAACAACAATTATTCACTTCATTCTGGACGGCTTTTTTATTAAGCATGCATATGACGATAATTTATTTTAATCCCTTTAAATATTTGCTTATATCAATTATTTTAACATATTTTCGAGTTAACTGCATAATATAATAATAATAAATATAACTATAATATTATGTATTATGAGAAAATGCTAATTTATATCAATGATTGTTATTGTTAAACTATTGGAACACAAATTCTATGATTTTCCAGTAATTTTCCATTTGGTCAACAACTGGTGATTAAGCTTTTTAATAAATTTTTATTTTACATTTATATTCACTTAAAATACTTCAACAAATTATTAGAAGAATTTCTTCAAAAATTCACTGTGTTCCAGTTGTTAACCAATGGTTTATTACTAGTAGTAATATCTATACTACGTGTTTGTTCCAGTAATTGACCTTCACTTTTTGAACAGACACAATGCTACGGATAACTTTTTCAAATATAGGGAGGAGGATTCCATAAAAGCAATAGATGAAATAAAGGCGCGAAAGTAAGAAAAACCTGTTGAAAGTATAATATACCCCACAAAACCATTATAAATACAATTAAGCTGAAAAACAACATTTTGAGCCTTGGAGCATTGAAGGATTGTATGAAACTTGTGAACTTATTTAAAGTTGTAATGATTACTATAAGTATGTGCGATTGAGAAAAACGGACAATGACCTTTCGGTCGTTTAACCAGTGGTTACAAACCTTCAATATATAGGCACATTTTATATGTAGTACTTTATTTATAATGATTTTTTTGTAATGACTGATATAATATATATTTATTAACTATTATTGAAAAGTAATGGAAAAGATCGTTGTAGAAGAAAAATCATCTATTGTTATAAAGTACTTTGTTCATTTAACAACAAAAAGCATTAATTTATAACACTTAATATAAAGATTTGAGTGATAACAACACCGAATAAGTACATACTTATTCAAAAGATAAAACTTTATCTTCAATATTATATAAGAACTTTATTTTTATTCAGTGCATGCGGACCGGCCCAAAAAAAGTTGACGCATCTCTGACTGCCATTGTCTCGTTTCTTTTAGAACGAACTGACGTAACGCGCGTTTTGTTTACTTTATAGGAATGAATTTGCAAAAGCTCAATATGGTGATTATATTGCTTCAATTTTTTTTTATATGAAACTGTTATTAAATTAATTGCTGTGTTAATTACCATAAATTGAAATATAAAATATAACATACTTTTCGCGACCGTAAGATTTTACGATGTTTGTAGGAACCACAGACAATATTATTTAAAAAGAGTGTGTATAATATCAATATTTAAATATTGTTATCACATCTAAATTGAGATTTTGTAAGTTACGCCTTTTGACACTCGGCTCATATTTGAGGTCATTGTCCGTTTTTCGCAATCGATTTGGCACATACTATAATTACAAAACTCATTAGTATTATTAATAATGAAATTATTCTTCATTAAAAGCATTTGTTTTAATTACTGTCACAATGTCTGGTCTATTACTGGTACAATCTGGTCCGTATCAGGCACATTACGACTTGCCACACACTAATAAAATAGGAATAAGCTAGATGATTATAATATGGTAGTTCGGGATTATGATGACTTTTTTTGCAATAATTTTGGATTGATCATCAAAATTGTTTCAAAATGTCACCTAATTGGTTTGTCACTGGTGCACCCACCCTACTAATTGTATACAAACTATATGTAAACTATTTAAATTACCTGGGTTCAGTGCTATCATAATGTTTAGATTTTTATTTTTTGCAGATGTATTTCATTGGGAATGTGCGGAATCACGATATCGTGCACTTCCACGCACAACAGCACCAGCAGGCTATCAGTGTCCATCCTGTGCCACACCAGTATTTCCACCACCAAATTTGGTATCACCTGTTGCTGATGTTCTTAGAGAAAAGTTGGCTGGAGTGAATTGGGCTCGAGCTGGTCTTGGATTACCATTGGTTTGTTACCTATATAATTTTAATATATGATTGCACATGTAGTTGAGGTTGAAATAGAGAAAAAGTTGATCCAAAGCATCTTTACAACCGGGTTTAGATATAACTGATTCAACTCCACTGTCTCCCGCGCATGCGCGAAGAAGAGTAGTGCACATTTTTTGTTTGGAATAGCTTCTCTAGTACGTAGTACAAATAACTCAATGCTATAGACCTATATCGAGTTGACGTCAACTGTTAACGAAACAAATCCCGCTTATTTTCGCGGTATCTTTGATTTCGAAGTAAAGTAAAAGTAAAGTTACAGCCTATATACGTCCCTACTGCTGGGCTCAGGCCTCCCCTCATTTCTGAGAGGGTTTTAGGGCAAGGAAGTGTCCGCCGCGCTGCCCAAATGCGTGTTGACGAACTTCACATGTCTTCGAAATATTTTTTTTCTTATTCCTCAGACATGCAGGTTTCCTCACGATGTTTTCCTTCACCGCCGAGCACGTGGTAAATCAGCACTTAAAATTGCAATTAACAATTTCATTGGTGCCGGCGGGGATCGAACCCGAGTTACTCGCGTTCTGTTATATTTACAGCGAGCGTTAACCACTGAGCTACCACGGCTCTTGATTTCGAAGTATTAATAAGTTTTTAAAAGGTGATAAACTGGTGAATCGGGATAAATTATCATTACATATAATTATTGTAATGTCACTAACAGCCTGATAAGGTTAACCATATATTACGTCTATAAAATGCTTAAAATTTAGCTTTCAGATGACCAGGATATGAAAGGTGCTGCTGGCCGACGTAGCCAATCCCCAATGGACAAATATCACTATTCTAATAACATAATGGACAATCAACGTGGAACACCCGTTGGTGCAAGTGATGACGAGTCAACAAATCGTTCTGCGACAAGCAGTCCACATTCCATAGTTCAAATTCCTGATGAGCCTGTTAATATATATGATGGTACATCAAAACGAAATGACAGTTTACAAGGTAAATGTAAAGCTTATTTAAGTGTCATTGTGACAGGATATTTGTATTCTATCCTCCATTATTAAAATCTACAGCATCTTTCGCTGTATTGCAAATTACTTATTCTATTCACATTTACTATACAATGTCAGTTCTGAAATAATGTGGTTAGCTTATCCCATTTCCACAGTGAAGGTCTGTGCAATAAATTTTGAGCACACAGTGCATCTGATGGTAAGTGGATCCTGTGGCCCGTAGACACCTATATTTATCGTAGATTAAGAATCAAAAGGCAGATGCATTGTCACTCCTGAGGACTAAAATGGAATTCCTCGTTTCCAGTATAAAAGTGTCTCTGGATCTCAACTTACGAAACACAGCAGCAATGAACTACTATTTTATGCTGGTATTCTGTGAGAGTGTGGTCCTTTCCCGGTGGAGCCGACCAATTCGCGCTACAACCATAATATAGCTGCAGCATGGCTCTAATATGTATGAACTTATTTTTGGAATAATATCAAACTAACTTAAAATGTTACTTAGTAATGGTGGTGTAAGAAAATCAAGCACCCCATTTCTTTGGCAAATGCAATCATATTGCAGTATAACCATCTCATTTACGGCATGAATAAGATACCAAGTTCGACGACGAAAAGCAGTGTCAAATGTGAATAGTTCAGTAGGTAGTGCAATGTTCATCAATCTGCCTGCTAAATGTGACTATTAAGGCAAATCCAATCAAGTTACAACGAAGGAGACCCATGTTTGGTAGTGAACTTTCTACAGCTTGATGAAGATTAAGTATCTTAAATGCTTCTGCTAGACAATTCTTTATTGTGTAATTCATGATGGATTTGAACAACCTATGTTCAGTTTTGCTATCTATAACTTAAATTATTATCCATATGTAATTGGAGGTGAGATAGTTCATCACATGCAATTTGTTTATTAACTGTAATTAGGGCCAGTCTTAGGCTTACTTTTTGCAGACAAAAATATTTGACCTGGTAAGCGAGATCAAAATGCAAATGTCTGGTTATCTTTTTCACCTATTCTTCGCTTTTTTTGCGCCTGTAATACACGTATTTTATGAAGTCGAACATTGACTTGAATTAAGAAATAATTATATATAATTCAATATAGTTTTTTATCAGCAACTGTACTTAGCTACTACTTAGCTACCGTGTTGTGGTGGTGTAAGAATATCTACAACCCAACTTAGTTCCCTGGTTGTCGTAAGAAGCAACAGAGGGAAACGAACTAGAAAATAGACCTGTGATGAGACAATCTGGGGGAAGCTTATATTCAGCAGTGGACTTTTGATAGGCCTGTAATGTTAACAGTTAAAAGTGTAATACTTGTAAGTTCTAAATACAGTCATAAAATTTTAGCTGCACAAGCATCGAGGAAGGGTTTCAAACCAGTCGACCACTCTAATGTTTTAACGAATTTCGATCATGATGAAAATAAATACAAACAAAAATCAACATTTGCCTGGATAAACAGATGGTGGAAGTGAGTATAATTCTATTATAGTCCACTTTGACACTTATATTTGTATATAAAAATTGACTATCACAGACATACACATCTATCTAAAATATTTATTATAATAAAAACTAATACCCACTAATAACCACTCTTTATATGCTTAGGATGAAACTGGTCAGTTGTCATTTACTTACTAATGAATGTTTCTGATAGTGAATATTATTTTGCTTGTTTGCAATACAATTCATCCATTTATGATGAAGTAGTATTATGCAATTGTGTGCACTTCCGCCAATGTCGCTGAAAAAATTGAATGTACTGATTAATAAAATTAAAAATATACCCAGCTTATACCTGATTTTTAATATTTTGTTAGGTTTACAAGTTGTCAATCTAACATGTAAAAATTAATGTTTGTTTGTTCGTATTTTATGCGCTGCCATACCATTCATCAGATTGCTGTAAAAGTTTGTTAACATATTGCATGCACTTCCGCGAAGGTCATAGGCATAGTTGGACCCGGTGGGTGGCGCTGCTGTAGAATCCACATATCACCCGCACGAAGCCCGGGCAGATCACTAGTAACTAATAATTACTGTATAAAATGATGTCAATGGAGGCAAATTTTTTATTTTGAGTGATTTAAAATTTGTTCAGAGCAATTTATGTTAACATTAATAAAATGAGAACATCATCAATGTATTCATAGTCAATTAAATACGCATTATCTAAGGATAACTCAAAAAATACTTGTCAGATCTTGATCGAATTTGTATGGAACTACACGAGAAGCACCAGCTTTCAGATAAAAAAAGAATCATCAAAATCGGTTCATCAAGAAAATAGTTCTGAGATAACACCTAAAAAAAACATACAGTCGAATTGAATAACTCCTTTTTGAAGTCGGTAGAAAAAAGTAGCGGTTTTCCGCTTTCTGCCGACCTTTTTGTACTTTGTAACATTATGGTCCAAGAGCCAGCGCCTAAATACTGTTTGAATTTATAAGGCTAATTGTTTTTATAGTTCATTACAATACTTATGTACACAAACATACTGCGGTCAGTCAGGCGAAATTGAGAACAGGTGACTCAGGTGCACTATCAAAGGTGTTATACCTGTCGAGGTAATATAATGAATTTACTAAGGCTGAAAATTCTTATACAACTTGTATATTGCATATAAATGAAAGTTGTGACGGTAACTCAGCTGAATATGGGGACGGAGCTGGTTAGTCAGCCGCCATGTACTTGTATGTGCAATTTATTTACTACACTTCAAAATTTTTGTAGGGGTATTAAATATTATTTTTAACATTAAAAAATAGTCTGACCATCATAATTTTTATTTATATGCAATCTACAAGTCGTATAAGAATTTTCAGCCTTAGTAAATTCATTTTATTACCCCGATGCTGGCTCTCAGTCTACTACTTGGAGGATGCCTACGTTCAGCAATGGATTTGTAAAGGACAGTAATGATGAACAATTTATAGAGAAAATTAGTCTTGCTTAATTACATCCTGCTTGTGTAAAAATTAAAATCTTTACAATTTTTTCAAACTTTTACCTAATTCACAGAGAAAGATATATGATCATATTATGTTAAAAGTATATTTAATGAATATTTATATTAATGTATATTAACAGGAATACACTTCCCACTTCACGGGTGAGAAGAGCCGGTGGCATCTATAGACGCTACTGGATTTTGTTGTTTGTGCTGATTGCAGTAATAATTATTTTATTGCTTCTTAGTCACCGAGATGTCGATGAAGATACACCATTTGGATTTGTCCAAGTTGAAGATGGAAGAATATTACAGAAAAACTAATTTATTATGCCTCTTATAATTAAAAAATATCTTATGTCTATAAAATCAAGCAATTTTCAAAGTGATATGCATATTAAGTTTAATTGTATGAATATTTATCTTGTACAATTTTAGAAAATAAAAACTTAATTAAACTAAATGATTTATTTTATTTTACATAATTAAAATATTATATCTATCCATATGTATAACATTTGATATCTTAAGGTAAATAACATTTCAAAAGAAGAAGACTTAGTAGAGCAAAAATTCAAATTCACAGCATAATATTTTAGAGTATTTTTGTACAAGAGCCAACCTCCCTATCCAAAAATAAAACAGAAAAAATATCATTATAAAAATCAGGATAGTATTCACAGGCACGACGGCAATCTGGCATCCAGTTGATTTCTAAAAGCTTGGGCTGCATTATTGTAGAGTTGTTAATGGTATCCCAGCTAATCATTAAATCAGCCGCATATAATGCTCTGGATTGTGGACTCTTAGCAATACCACATGGTGCTTCCTTAGAGGATGCTGCTGTGAACAATTCAGCAAACATCTTAAATATTAACTTTTCAACTTGATCCCAAATATAATCAGGATACTGTTGTTCCCAAGCCTGTTTAAATTCTGCACACAGCATCCTAAACAGTGGAGCTTCATCTGTATAATTCATAACTGTAAAATGTTGTTCATAATCTTCAAAGTTGTTAAGTGCAAATGCTTTATTGGAAAATCTAAGAAAGAAATTGTTGTAAACATAGAGCTGTGTAGGATTAACAGATTTCAATAGAATAACATACCGAATGTCAAATTTTACCAAACCCACATCAGGTCTTTCAAATAAAACAGGATTATGTACATATTTCTGGGCAATTTTAGGTCCTGTTAGAGGTAATCTACAAAAAAAATTAAGATTATCAGTAATATAAGTATCCAATCCTCTGGCTAAGTTGTAAGGCTTGCAGATCCAATGATTATCAAACCCCTTTTGCTTTCTCTGCATATAACAGGCTACAAGTTTAGATAGCTCTGTTTTCATATTAAAGGTTGTAGGTAACCAGGCAGGTGTTGTTTCAAATGTGTCTCTAGAAGTGTTGTCATTTAGGTTGCTACATCTTCTTGATACAATAGCTAAAAGATCTTTAACAGTAATGACATATTCAAAAGGAAATTGATTTACAAATTTAGATGGAGAGTTTACACTTAATTCCTCAAAATTTTTAAAATGGTTTACAAACCACAAAATATCTGCTTCATTTTCATTTTCAACAATTTCAAATTCAGGAGCAGTTAAAAACTCATTAATTAGAATGTATTCTGAGAACACCTTAAATTTAACAGATGAAATTTGCCTTAATTGCAACATTTCTAAATTAGGAAGTGTCTCTACTATATGGCCTTCCAAGAAATAGTTCTTGTCTGGTTCCTCCTGGCTAAGATCTTCATTAAAGTGATCATAATGTTTCCAAGGAATCAGCATAGCTTCTCTCTGAAGCGGATCAGAATAATGTCCCTCTACAAAATTCCTAGTAATTGTGTCACCTTCTTCGACATTTTCAATTGGAAAAAGTAAAGTATAAGTCAGCTGATCAGGCACATGAATAAATGGAACTGCACGAAAGTTTGGATTATCAGAATGTATTATACCAGAACCTAATTCATCTAAAACATACCACACAGGTACCCTGTCTTCTACCGAAAATTCACTACCAGCAATAGCATAGGTGTGAGCATATTGCCAAACATTTTTAGAAACTTTCTCTATTTTTTCCTCCGTACTTTCAACGGCTATTTGCATAAGATTACACATTCTTTCTAAAAGACCTGGTACATTTCTAAGATTATTTTTTACGCTATTTGCTTTAAAAGTCCACGCATGATCTATGAGATAAATGTGATCTGAATCCGATTTGTCTATATCGCGGATAGCCATTACACTCCAAATAGGATCATAGGGCATTTTATTTTCATCTTCATAATCAATTTGTACCAACTGAAAAGTCAGGCCGGAGTCAAAAATTTGATCCCGTAATTTCTTGCTCAGAATTTGCCAAAAATGTTCTGGGACACCCGATAAAACTAGTTGGGGTTTATGAAGTGCTATAAATGTATTATAGCTCGATATTCCATCCATGTTGCTTAAAAAAAACAAACCTAATAAACTCGAACCGAAGAGGTTATTTTATTTTTGTTTGTATTGTATGAAATGCGAGTGCGAGCGTGACAATGACATATTGTGGTTTGTGGTTAGTATTTTTTTTTTCTTTTGGAATGGACTCTTACAAATGCACTTTTGCCAGTCGACCTTTGACAGACCTTTGTCGCTGCTGCTCGGCACCGGTTTGGGTATACATCTGGCAAAAACATGATAGGCTGCCATCTATCAGGGGTATCGGAGGCCGTTATAATCTTTGAGTATTAAACCAAAGGAGACGGCATCGCAAGGCATACCCCTCTGTAAAAGGTACGAGAGTCCGACTCATACTCGTTATATAAAACTAGTTGCTCCGCGTCGTGCGTCATTTCGAAGTGATCGTGCCAGTAAATCGAGCTCTGACAAAATGCCGAATTGCAGTGTATTTACATGAAAAAAACAATCAAAATAGTCAAGTATACAAAAGGACAATGTGACTTTTCATCTGTGAGTATTTTTAACATAATATTAAAGTAATTTTATCATTAAAACTCGTACTTTGTGAATATTATCGTCCAATACCGAGTGTGGCCATCATAGTTCATAAAGTGAAAAATAATCTATTTTTAAATAAACATAATTTACTACACAAGTTATATATATTAACGAAAACATATTTCCTAATAACTAAATCAGTTTGTGATGAATAATAATCAATAGATGTGTAGTGGATTTTCTTAATTGATTTATATATTCAGCTCAATTTTAACACGATACTGAATATTATATAATTAAATATAATCGATAACTAGTATTTATTAAAATATTATACAAAATACGGGCCAAATAAGCCAAATCGAAACTTGCTACCTCGCATCAAAAGTGTGCAATTTTTATAAAATAAACTGGTATCACTGCAACCGAAAGTATTGCACTATAGTGATGAACGCCGCAACTTTAGCTATCGATAAGTTAATTAAACGTGCGGGTTTGTCTGCCGAAGTGTAGTTTTTATTTAGATTTTTATAAAGTATTACAAAAAGTAGTAAATTTTTCTATTATTGGTTTGTTATTACAGATTTCCAAGAGATCCTCTTAGGCGGCACACTTGGATTGTAGCTTGTAGAAACCATGAATCTGATACTGTAGTATCAACTTTGAACTTGTGGGAGGTAATGTTGGGCTGTAATTATATTTAGATTAAATATTTTAATATTACCTTTGACACCAATAGATTTCTACTTGAAAATATTTTATTAAGTTTACAAAAGCACTAACCTATCAAATTTAATTCATATAATATTTATATACCTATTATTGTAATTGTAAACTTAATGTAGCATGTTTTACAAAATAAACATCTTTATCTTTATCATATATATTTTTTTTTTTTTTTTTTTTATTATGCTATATGGGGCTAGGGTTGGGCGGTGAATATTTTTTTTATTCCTAGATAAGGTATTTGGGTTGAGGTTATTTATATTTTATAATATAATAAAATTTTTATTAGGGTGGTGGTGTTGCACACGTCTTCGAAAGAAAGTGGATTTGTTTAAGTTATCTCGAAAGTCACAATTCGAAAAAAATCCTTATATAGCCCGAACTAGTCCTACTCCCACTGCGAGTACGAGCCAACACTTAGGCCAAGGAAAATTAAAATGAAAAAATGCCTTAACATAAAAAACAATAGGATAAAAAGGCTTCACAATTTTTTAAAAAAATTCCTGCTTTGCTGTACGTAAAACTTTTGGAACATGTTTGCCTGCACCCGTACATTGACTAAGTGGTAAACTACCATCGATCGCTGACCAGGGTTTACTCAAGAAGCGCTGACGGCATTAAGATTGAGAGCGGAGCGGAGAGTAACCCTGATAATTTTTTTTTTATTGTACCTTGGTAATGAATGAAATTAAAATTAAGCAATTGACAGAATACCATGCTAGTATCCAAAGGCATTATGTATATAACCAAAATGTCTTTTAGAAGCTTGCGATGGTACTCCGTCAATTGCTTTATTTTCATTTCATCTATCACTAATATACAATATAATTTCTTGTCAGGGTTACTCTCTAGTCTAAGTTTTAAAACAGTTAACGCTTTTTTTTGAAGCTAAGTCGGCCAAGATTTTTGTTATAGTATGTGATGAAGGCAGACCAATTTCAAAACTTTTGATATTTCGCACATATTGTTAAGCTTTCGGTGAACAGTAATGTAAAGTTAAAGCAAAACATCTTTCTGGAGAATACTTAGCCCTAGGTAGATGTCACGTTTTATTTTTTAAGCAGCTGTCTGCTTAAAGTTCACTTTGTTAAACTATTATATAGTGTAAAACTTTTTTGTTTTCCTAATTTATTAAATATTTTCCAGACAGTTCATTTAATAACTCTTGAAAATCAACAACTATTTTTAATTAGCGGTTTTGTGATTGAAGCTTTATAATAAAAACAAAAACTTAGCTAACACCATCTAATTTTTTTTTTTTATGAACTATCCGTTGCTTTTTAAATTGAAAGAAAACTGAGTTTTATAGATTTGTCAGAGATGCAGCCATTAAAAGAAAACTGAGCAAAATTGATTCGTCAGCCTATTTAAATGTTTTGAAACGCAGCGTATAGGAAAGCATGAAAATAGCCTGTTTTTTCCAAATGGAAATGGGATATTTTTTTAATTATAGGAAACTGAGCATAATTATCTGTCAGGGATGCAGACTTTTGAAAAGAAACTGAGCTAAATTGATTCGTCGGAGATGCAGTTTTCTGAATTGAAAGGAAAATGAGCCAAATAAAAGATCTGTCAGAAACCTTTTGAGTTGAAAGGAAACTGAGCTTAATAGGTCCGTCAGAGGTGCAGCATTTGGAATTGAAAAGAAACTGAGCTAAAT